CCAAGAATATAAAATTTCATTGTTAAAGGGCTTACACAATATAATATCCAATGAAAGTCAAGCTGTATCATATCATATGTTATAAATGTCGCAAACAAAAGAGAGATCATTTTAAAATAATGTCGATGTCTAAAGACATATCGTTTTATATATAGAGTATTTTAAATACAAATAGGTCAACATTAAGGAAACATAAATATCCAGAATCATATTTAATATCAACCTGTCAAATATAATTTTTACGGAATTTAGGACCTTCCAAAAATTTAATTTGAATTCGAAATCACGAATTTAAATCGTTATCACAAATTGTTTGTTTCGATATCACAGATTAAATTTGTGATAACGAATTTGTGGAAATCGTTATTACAGATTTTGTAATTCGTAATTACGTATTAAATTCGTTTTACAATTTTTTGTAATTTGTTTTAACGAATTAAATCGTGATAACGAATTGTATAATTGGCTATAACGGTTTTTATTCGTGATAACGAATTTGGGGAATTAATAATCACAGTTTTTTTGTAATTTGTGATTTTGGATTAAATTAACTATCACAGATTTTTTGCTCACCTGGCCCAAAGAGTTAGGAAAAGGTTGGCGCCTTTAAACTAGTTTAACCCCGCACATTCTTTATGTACCTGTCCCAAATCAGGAGATTGTTATTCAGTGGTTGTCGTTTGTTGCTGTATATCATATTTTTTTCGTTCGTATTATTGTTCATAAATCGGGCCGTAAAGTTTCTTGTTTGAATTGTCTTACATTTTTCATTTCGGAGCCTATTAAAGCTGACTATGCGATATGGGTTTTGCTGAATGTTGAAGGCCATACGGTGACCTTAAGTTCTGAATTTCTAATTCATTTGTTCTCTGGTGGAGAGTTGTCTCATTGGCAATCATACCACATCTTCTTATTTTTATATTTTCTCTTCACTTTGCGTCCGTCGTTGTTCGTTACCTTTTGCAAAATCTTCTTCCCTGAAGCCTGATGGCCAAATTGAAACAAACTTGGCCACACTCAATTTAGTTTTTACACATTTTATTTGCAAAATTAGCAAAAGGGATTGGATACAAACTGAAACAATATTAGTGATGTCCTCTCCATGTACAAATATAAAAACAAAAAAATTATACCTAGCCGAGGTTATTGTCGTGTAAACCGGGTGGGTTAACTCACAAGCTGGTATGTTAAGTTGGTTAGCCAGCGACTCAGTTTAAACATCAATAATCTTAAGAAATAAAACGTGTTTAATCCTCACCATTCTGAACTGATACATTTTTATTCATTATTTTTCATTTAAACTCTCTTTAGGCCGGGGAATTTCATTCGTGTGTATCGCGCATTAATATATTTGACACAGGAAGTTGTTTCGGCAACATGAAGATCTAACAGACTAATCACATTTGTTGATTTGCTAATGATTGAAACATTTATTTGAAAATGACGAAAACATAATAGGAGTGCATTAAAATCAAAAACAAACAAAGGATATAAAGAAGAAGAAAATAGAATATAATGTCACGGCATAAGTAGATAAGGCTAGCATGGAGTGAAGTGAAGTGAGAGAAATAAATTAGGGTATCTAGTTTAAAGAATGTGTGCGATGATACCGCCTGCCAAACAACATGGCCGACATGGCTTAACATAGAACATAAGGGTAAAATACAAGTTTTCTCTTGATAAAGAATTGTTTAGAATGACGAGATCTACCTGCTGCCTATTTACGTCAACATTGTTAGAATCCTTATAGGAGTATTTTTCCTTTATTGACATTTTCTTTTAATGTGTGTTTTGTCTTTTATTTAATTTGAAAATTATAATAGAGAAAAACTCTCAATCAATTATCATAGCGAGTATGATCAAAAACAAGTATTTTATTGGCACTACATATATAAAAACTTGAGGATTCCTAATTTCTGACAAAGTGTCAAAAACAAGAGAAGCGAACATCCTTTAGCCTTTGGGTCAGGTAAGCTAAAAATCTGTGATAACGAATTTAATCCAAAATCACGAATTACAAAAAAAAATGAGAACTAATTCAACAATTATACAATTCGTTTAAACGATTTTAATTCGTTATCATAAATTATAGAAAAATGTTATCACGAATTTAATTCGTAATTACGAATTACAAAAACAGTTATAACGAATTCCACAAATTCGTTACCACGAATTTAATCTGTGATAACGAATTATGTAATTCGTGATAACGGATTAAATTCGTGATATCAAATTCAAATTATATTTTTGGTAGGTCCTAAATGGGCTTCCGTAATTTCATAATTAACTTTCCTTTTAAAAGGCTTGTATTCAGTTATAAAATGTATTTAATTTTGTTGAAAGAATGTCTTTCGACTTTAAATAATAAACTAAACAAAGAAGACAATTTTAAGATTCTTTCAGACGTTAAATTTTAAATGCAAAATAGTTCACTATTGTTATCATAATCAGTACAAATGTATATGTTAAAGAAGAAAAATGAGGATGCGATTTTGAAAACAGTAATAATAGAGAAAAATAATTAACTAGTATGAAATTTCTCATATCTGCTGACAAACAGGTTATGCAGCTGTTTTGTTTTAGTGAGATTTTTTTCTATAAACTAAAATCGGAATTTCTTCCAAATTATCCATGATTTTTTTTTAACTTACATAAAATCATGTATTCCAATGGTATAATCATGTATAGAGATATCGTCATATGAACTGTTATCCGTCTGCCAGAAAGATTCGTGCTGAAAAGGTGTTCTTTAAGCGATTGGTAATGCATACAATAAGCTGCGACGTTGGATCTGATCGTCACGCTAAAAACATGGGACTGCTATGCTGTCAGAAAGAATTAGAGCCCTTGTGTATTTATTGAAGGGCATACCCAACACTTTGACTAAAATATTTTGGCTAGTTTAATTTTCATAAAAATTTTGAAAAAATATTTACTTAAACCTGTTGACAAAAATTACAGGAATGATTTCATTGGATATAAAGCAGTTTGACAAACACTAATTTTGATCATTGAGAAGCTTCGTTTCTCTTTACTAATAGTATATGATTAAAACTTTTAGCTGATTTTAAAAGAGTTAACTCCCTTTGATCTTCTGTAACCCCTTAATATTATATGTTTTGTCTCATTCGAAAATTCATTGCATATTTAGCATACCACAATGAATCGATCATTAGATTGAAAAATTAAAATCCGTTTCCCTAATCAGCAAGAGTGCCGGCATTTTAAATAAATGAAAACACTGAAAATATAAACATTACAAAACAAAAAGTTATAGAATTAAATTCATAACAGTGTAGACGAGACCATTCGTTGGCACGCTCAATTTTCCAATTGACTGGATCAGATCAGGTAACAGTTTGTCTGCTACGCCTACTTAATACGTTGTTTTACAAGGGACATTTAAACGTACGGGGTCACCGAAGGTTACTTAACGCCTGAAAACAAGTAACTCGAAAAAATACAGGCGTATTGATTAACATTAAATATTTTGACATTCTTCAACGACAATCGATAGCCAAATTATTTATCATACCGCAAGTTCTTTAAACATTAAAATAAAATTTTACTAGCTTCAAAAGTAGTAATGAATGTGTATATATAAGCAATAACCTCCGGCCGTCGGGATGATCTTACACTGACACACCGCGTCCTCATGAGATAACTATAACTTATCGATAGCCGATGGCATACAAGTTCAAGGTAAATGATTCGGTATTATTAAAGACATAATCTTTACGGTTGTCCACACTGTTATGGGACTACCTCTAAAGAATTCATGGTACTTCTCGGAAGCATCATGAACATTCCATAGTCAGGTGTTACTTTAGGATGTTCAATACACTGTTTCAAAATAATAAGCTTTTTAAAATACTGTTATAAATTGATAGTATATGAATAAAGGAACTAAAAAGTAGAAAACATGAAGGGTTTGTATGCTTGTTTCGAGATATAAGCCATTGAAAATTTGTCGGGAAATGATTCTCTCTAGATTTTATATACAGTTAACATTGGCACCTTTTTTCTTTAAAAAATAATGAAAAAATTACAAGGATTTTATAAGATTTTCAAATATGGCTTTTTAAACTATATATAATGATATTATGAAATGAAAAGTAGGGATTAGCGGGCGAAACTTTGTATGGTACTACATGGATAAAACCAGAGGATATCGAATATCTGGCAAAAATTCAAAAACACGAGAAGCGAACATCCTGAACTAAGGAAATTTACATATATATGCGCAGGGCAAATTTCACCTGATTTGATTTTTTTAAATTCAAATGGGAAAAACGAGGACGTTTAACAAGGGGCAAGCTTTTACTGTCAATCCCCTGCTCTGAACTCTTATTGCATACATGTAAAGCAATAAATCGAGGAGTAGAAGTGCACAGTTAATTCCCACAGGAATATCATTTCAGAAAGATTAACAGTTCCTTTTTATTGCTCTTAATTAAAATAGTTCTTTAAATTTTTTTTCTAAGTTTGAGCTGAATGATATCTAAGAAAATCAAGAAATGTCACTTTTTTAAAATACATTTATTCCATGGGAAAATCTCTTTCAATGTCTTTTTTAATATACAAAATCCAACTCCGTTTCATACCAATTGTCTAAATGGATGTGAAAAGCTAAAGGCGAATGCACAAATGTACTGTTAACTCAAAGGCAAACGATGTTCATTGTAAAACTTTGTAAAAACTATCCGGTTTGATTTTTAGCGTCTTTTTTAATCCTCAATTTGTATTCAATTATTATCCCTCAAAATACATGTCTGTTTTATTTCGTATTCTGAAACACCCATACAATAAAATATTTCTGGTTAAGTTGTATGATTCTAGTAAGATTTGTTTTATTAATATTTGTTTATGTGTTTCATCCAGGCATTTAGGTTTAAGTCTTTAACGTAGATAAATTTTAAATAGTAACAGAATATTTCTTATATCAATTTATTATAGGTGCATTTCAAACTTTCAAATTTAAATGCATTTTACTGTTACAGTAGGTTCTCCAGATACGAAAAAAACAGATTTTTTATCACGTTTGCCTAGGACAAAAAAGCTCCAGCAAGAAGTCTGTAATGAACAGTTTACCATTTACACGCTGAGAGGATTATATAATTTATTATTTCTATAATGGGCTTCCAAAGGAAATTATCATTTAGTTTTATATTGTACATAATCGCCATTGCATTAGAAGGTACGTTGAGTCAAACCAGCACAGAAACTAAGATTTCTACATTACGGCAAATGATCATTTCAAATGAAACAATATATGTAGGAGGTGTTGGAGGTATTGTGTCTCTTCATAGAGAAAACATGACGGAAAAGGCATCTGACATTAATTATTCAAACGTTTGGTTACTGTTATATGATAAGGAAAAGGAAGAAATTATACAGTGTAACGAAAATTATGATAATGTGAGCCACTGTTCGAAACTTGATGTATTTTTACAAAACACTGGAATCGAAAGGACCGATATATCGGTCGATTTAAGATATCTACCGACTTACAATATGATCTATGTAAACGAAGTAAACACAAGCATTGTTGTAATAGGTGCAAACTCTGCAGAAGTACTGAACACATCGTATGGAATTTTGTCTTTTAACTTGACAAATTTTACCTTGTCTAATACTGAACAAAATCGAAGAGGACCAATGAATATTGAACGTGCTGATGAAGAAAACTTAACCCTTGCATTCAAGTCATCTTTTTATCGTGCACCACATTTTTACTTCTTTTTTCAAGTGCACGCAAATAATCAGTTCGAATTGTCAAGAATCGGCAAACTTTGTTTGCAATACAAAACTTATAACGAAAGAGATGGATACAATCATTCCTATGAAGATATGAATATAATGTGTACATATAATGGAACTACTTTGACAAAGATTGATTATGTATTAGATGGTGGAGAATTCGCTATATTTCATTTCCTTCATAACAATTATAGTGTTATTTGTGCTCATTCATGGACCGATATAGAAAAGGATTATAAAAAATCCAGGAAGTTGCAGTTACTGTGTAGGAACATTTCGAACTCTGAAAAAGATGGGGAATATTTCGAACCAGACACTTACCTTGGGCAACGTGGTCAGGAACATTGCTTCAATAATGAAACCTATTGCGATAAGGGAGATGTAGTAAGTGACATAAAGTATACAATTTATATGATCAAAAAACCATAAAAAAATACATTTCAAAGCCTACTGGTTTTAAGTCCTTGTAGTGTAACATCTAAATCACTTATGGGAATAAACATGTGTATTACTCCCGCCCCTTAACCAAACAAAGTTGACGTCAGGTAATGGTGACCATTATATTTTGGTAGTGGGAAAGTCCAGCAGTTTAATCCTAACACAAGTTGTTTGTGCTTGAATGAAGAAAGTGAAACATGCCATTGATTGTCATTAACTTTTCTTTTTGATGTCATTTGAAAGAACATTTATATTGTAATATTTTTTTTCGTTTTTTTTTCATTTTCTTTTTTAATATTTTAAAGCGTCGCATAATTGGCAAATTTTTTATGCTTTAGAAAACTTATGCAAACGCTTATATTGAATTTTATGTTTCAGTTTATTATAATATATTGCTAAGCTAGTCACTACTTCATGAGGGTCTCCTATGTGCCTGTTCTCTTTTAGCCAAAAGTTACTTGTATCTAATAAACATCTCTTGAAAAAAAGTTCCTATGCAATAGATCAAGACTCTGGTTTTGTTTGTCCCTTTTTAAAAGTAATCTTATTTTTCTTATTAGAAAGTTAAAAACGTTAACACCAAATGGGATCAATGAAAATGTGTAGATCGATCGTGCAGTGATAACCACGACAGCTGGATGTGTTGCTTCCATACGTAGCCCCGTCTATTGTAAATACTTACTTTGCATGAGCTTCCAGACTGTCGAACTTCTACAAGCGTTGTTCGGTTTTTAATTTGTATTACGGTCAAGATTTCTGAAAATAGGCATGGATTAAGACGCCATTTTACATCGGGTTGTTCATACTGATGAAGGATATCTGTTATCCGAAATATTTATGACGCAAAGAAAACGGAGGGTCTTCATGGGGGAGGTCACAATTTCCTGACTGTGTTTTCTTTATTTGTTCAGGCCAGTTTTCTCTTTTCTCTATATATTTCAGCACAGATTATCTTTTATACTTCATTTTTGAGCATCATTTCACTAACATTTTGGTATTTTGGCTATATTTAAAAACAAGGTTTATTTATTGTTTTATCAAATTTTCTATATTTAAGAAAGTATTGTTGGTGCTATATTTCAATGGCATGTAATCTTTAATGAAAGAACCTTATTGAGCGCGCTCACATACCCCACGTCCCCATATTGTCATTGGAGAAATAAAATAAGTGTAAGAAAACAAAATTGTATCAGAAAAAAAAGTTGAATCATAATTTCCTGTCAATATGCACATCTACATAGTATGTCCTTATTATTTACACAGTTTCATGAAACTCTGCTGTGTGGTTTGAGAGTAGTTGCGATGACAAAAGATTGCAGTAGTATATCGGGCAAATAAGTTCAAAGGGGCGTAACTCCTGGAAAAAAACTGAATCGTAATTTCCTGTCGATATGCACATCTACGTAGTATGTCCTTATTATCTGAAAAGGTTTCATGAAATTCTGTTGTGAGGTTTGAGATGAGTTGCGATGACAAAAGGTTGCAGTAGTATATTGGCAAATAAGTTCAAAGGGGCGTAACTCCTGGAAAAAAATATGCACATCTGCGTAGTATGTCCTTATTATCTGAAAAGGTTTCATGAAATTATGTTGTGTGGTTTGAGAGGAGTTGCGATGACAAAAGGTTGCAGTAGTATATTGGGTAAATAAGTTCAAAGGGGCGTAACTCCTTGAAAAAAAATGAATCGTAATTTCCTGTCGATGTGCACAACTACATAGTATGTCCTTATTATCTAAAAAGGTTTCGTTAAATTCTGTTGTGTGGTTTGAGAGGAGTTGCGATGACAAGAAACAGGACTTACGGACTGACGTTGCGTGGGGTATAATTACAATTCATACAAGGCGATTTGGCATTCTTTTTATGCTTTTGTTTCAAAAGACTGTTTGGGTATATATTTTTGTGTTTTGTGTGTATGGGTTATATTTTTCTTCTATTTATTTGTTTACTTCCTAATTTTTTTCCGATTAAATATACGGACAAGAATTTTTTTAGGCGATTTTGTTTTTATTTTTGTTATCTTACAAATATCACTTCCCGTATGAAACAATATATAAACGTATTTTTCATCAAACTATTTATTTTTAAAAAGCATACACAAAAGATTTGATTGTCGGTGCCTTACAGGATTCGAATTTCAAATTTGACACCCTGAGGATGATTGGGGTTAAGTTAGAAAGCGGATGTGAATAAGTTTGAGTTGCTTTATTAACACACGACGGACATTAAATACTATCAATTATAGCTCATAATAGCCAGCTTGACTTATAATTGAAAAAAAAACAATTATTTATGAAGGCTTATACCATGTATACTACCGAAATTTACCCAAAGGAACTTACTTTAAATAAATCTAACATAAACAACAGTAATTGTCCTTTTCTAGATTTAGACATTTCAATTTCTATAGGGAAACTCCATACTAAAATTTACGACAAAATAGACGATTTTTTTATTCCCTATTGTTAATTTTCCTTTTTTAGACGGCAATGTTCCTTTGGCTCAATCACACGGTGTTTATGTATTCCAACTCCTTCGTTATGCCCGTGTGTGTAGTGATGTCATAAATTTTAACGAACGTAATCAATGCATCACTGGTAAATTATTAAGTCAGGGATTTTGTTACCATAAATTACTTAAAACATTTACTAAATTCTTTCATAGATAGAAAGATTTGATGAGTAAATTTGGCTGTACCTGTAGAAAACATATTAAAAACGGCATTTCACATTCTAAATTTTACGGTAATATTGTACTAAAAGCGCGGAAATCACTATGTGATCCGTGTTAACTCATCGAAACAAACTTATAAGTAAAGGTTATCTTATTAATGTTGTAATAAGATCTTTGAATATTGTTTACATTGGCATTAACATCGATTTTGTCATCAACAAATTAAAACCTAACTTAACTTGTATTCTTTTCGAAGGTTTTTTTTAGATGTATAAATAAACATCCACGTTTAATTTCTATTTAGAGATTGCTTTACTAGTATCTATATATAACATGGTACATATTTATTAAAAGGTTAAATCCTAACTATCCTACTGCCTGTTCGATAATAGAGCTATGCTGAATACAACAACATGGTTTCGTCAATTGAGTGTTAGAATGATGCATCGTGGAATAGCGTCATTTCTTGACACATGGCGGGAAATATTTATATTGCCACGAATTTTTTGAAATTTATTTTTAATTTCATATGAAATGCAAATTAAGCAAGTATAATCCAAATGTTATTGATAAACATCGTGAATCAACAGTTTATGAACGATCCGGTCGATATATTCCTCGTTTATAGGACGCGCACATGCGCAGTAATTCAGTCCTGGTCAGCGCTGATAGTTGGCCACGTGGATTGTATTACACCTGACCCTATCGACGAAGAATTAGATTGGGTCAGGATGCCAGGCTATACTGCATGTCGATACTTTTATTTTGGCATTGCACAAGTCATGTCTTTTTTGACTGTTCATGGCGTTAAAGCGCTAAATCCCTCGGATATGTTTTTAATTGATTTTAGTCTCTGATGCATGATTTTTTATTATCAATTATTTTGGCTTTAATTAGCTTTCAGTAACTGCGAGTCCTCTCAAATCGTACTTTCGTGTTAAGTTGACCTGTCGACACAATTTGTAATGCATTTTTGTTATTCAATAAAATTGAGAATGGAAATGGGGAATGTGTCAAAGAGACAACAACCCGACCACAGAACAGACAACAGCAGAAGGCCACCAACAGGTCTTCAATGCAGCGAGAAATTCCCGCACCCGGAGGCGTCCTTCAGCTGGCCCCTAAACAAATATATATACTAGTTCAGTGATAATGAACGCCATACTAAACTCCAAATTGTACACAAGAAACTAAAATTAAAAATAATACAAGACTAACAAAGGCTAGAGGCTCCTGACTTGGGACAGGCGCCTACTTATTTAGTGTTATATCTCGTCCTTTATAGCTTGCTGTTCGGTGTGAGCCAAGGCTCCGTGTTGAAGGCCGTACTTTGACCTATTATTGTTTACTTTTTACACATTGTGACTTGGATGGAGAGTTGTCTCATTGGCACTCATAATAATGTCTACTTATTTAGTGTTATATCTCGTTTCACTATTTTTAATATGTACCAATAAGTATTTTATTTAGTATGACGATAAATTTACACTTCTGTACTCGTACTGTGAACAACTAATTTATTTATTTTGAACAAATATGTCCGTACTCCTAACAACAAAATTATTATATTTTAAATTTACCTGTGTATATTATTTTATTTAACGCCATTTTGTCCCAGGTTAGAGTTGTCTTTTTGACATTGTTCTACAACTTTTTTTATCAATATTATATTTATATTGTGTAATAGATCAAACTTATTCGTTCAGTGTATGCTTACCTGTTATTGTCTTTTTGATCAAGTTAAGCCATTTCAATTGATATTTTATACAATGTTTTTCTATGTTGTAATGCTACACTACTGTTTCAGGTTAGGGTGAAGGTTGCCGCCTGTTAAAACGTTTAAACCCGCTGCATTTGTATGCACCTGTCCTAAGGCAGAAGCCTTTTGTTCAGTGGTTGTCGTTTGTTGATAAGTGTTTCTCGTTTCTCGTTTTTATATAGATTAAACCGTTGGTGGTTTTCCTGTTTTAGTTGTTTTACACTAGTCATTTCGGGGTCCTTTATAGCTTGCTGTTCGGTGTGAGCCAAGGCTCCGTGTTGAAGGCCGTACTTTGACCTATTATTGTTTACTTTTTACACATTGTGACTTGGATGGAGAGTTGTCTCATTGGCACTCATACCACATCTTCTTATTCATATCAAATACATTAAATAATCAAATAGGAATAATTAGATTTCATTTGCATATGCCAATAGTTTAAATCGAGTATATTAAGTAACATTACTTACAGTAGTCCAGTAGTTTTCATAACAATTTCATCTTCGATTCCCTATATAAAAGAGAAGATAAAAAATACTTTTAATATTTGCCATGTACATTCTGAATTTTGTACACCATGTATAATTACAGGCTTGTGGAAATCTTGAAGGTGATATTTGTAATATAACATATCATCATACTCTAGTCGGTGGAAAAGGAATTGAAAACATGGATGCTATTTTCGACATCAACAAAACAATTACAGCCTTGGCCATTCTTCAAACCAACAAGTACTCAGTACTATATTTTGGAACAATAGATGGTCAACTTGGCATGGTTTGTACTGAAGTGTTTTTACTTTTAAAAAAAGGGAATTCAGTAGATTTAATCATCCTTTGTCGTTTTCACTTATTAAGTTTTAAAATGTGTTGTTTCTGAAGTTAAGAGAAGAAAGTATGATAAAGTCAATTCTTATTCGGAAATCACATTATTTAAAGTACGTGTATCAAACAACTTTCATGAGATGTTCAAAAGATATAATCTTTCTGAGTTTGATTTTAATATGCTTTCGGCCTTCGAAGGATAAAATACACGTTTTCAACAACGTATTGGGCTCTAAAATTACACTCTTCTAAAATCTCGTTTACGGACTTTTTCACCAGTTGGTTGACTGTTATAGAATAAACGTTTCACTGATAACGACTGATATTTAATGATTGTCGCAGCTACAATCCCGTCCTCATTAATCGAATGTGACCTACCAAATTTGACTTATCACCGGGTTTGTACTTGCACGAGCAACATGAGGGTGCCACATGTTAAGCAGGATTTACTTAACCTTCCGGAGCATCTGGGGTCACCCACGATTTTTTGTGAGGTTTTCTATGTTGGGTTTTGTTTACTGTTGTGTGTCATGGAATATTGAATATTCGTTTGTTATCTTTCGTCTCCTCTTTATATCTTTATAAAGTAAACATTCAACTAAGTTTGCAGCTAAAAGGTTTATTACCCGAACCGTTTCCATTACCACTGTAAAATTTGCCTAATTTTTCATATAAAATTTACTGAAAAAAATATGTTGCCAATTGTTGTCAATAACTAGTATATATATTGCTTTTATGATATTGCAAATTACATTTCTGCGGCAACACGCAAAAACATGGTATCTAATGTTTGTAATACGCCAACTGTTCTTCAGTCTGTGTGTCCTACCGTTTATTCCGTAGTTAAAAGGTAAAGTTTTAGTTTTACTACGAAGTTGTGGTAGAAAGAAATGTGTATACAAATTTATAAATCTAAATTTGATTTTTTCTGCGTTTGACTATGGTCAATTTGGACCAATAATACCTATTAAATTAAAGCTAGATGCACATTAATTCAAATTAATGGCATAAATATATTATTAATCGTAGGTTTAAATAGCCACTTCAAGTAGCATAAGGATATGGACCCTTAATATGTTCCCCAAATATTGGTCTTCCAGTTTAAACTATAACACAATCAATTAGCGTAAAAACCTAAGATAAACATGAAATGAATGACCAAACGAATACCAGTATCCAACTTTTTCTGCATCTGATGATATTCCGGAACCTTTATTGACCTGTTGATATCTTTGGTTTATACTTTGCAGAGGAAACTATTGTTGTGCAGCTATGAAACGTTATATTAAAAATCATGGATAGAGTGTTTAAACCCTTACTACATTGTGAAAGATCTGTAACAGCAGTACTGAAGTTTTGACAGTTACCTGGTACTATTTACCTTTTACCCTGTTGTAATGGTATAGTAGTGTAAACCAGTTATTTGCATAGTAAATGTGTTTTAAAGAGTATAACCTATTCAACATATTTGCAGGTTTATTTAAATCTTGGTCGAAAGCATGAAAGCTACAGAAAACCACTTTTGTCAATAGCCAACTCGACGATTATTAATATTAAAGTTGAAAAGGACGGTGTATATTTTATAACTGAAAGAAAGGTACGATGTTTTTCTTCTAATATTTATGTAAAACTGCATATAATTTTTAATTCTTAAAACAATGGTAAGTTTCTGCATTGAAATTGAAGTACTGTCTATGGTCATGCTGTATTAAATCATCTGTGTCAGATGTTCAGCCACCAATAGTTATACAGAGTACAGAAAGACATAATTTCATATAAGCAGATTATTCTTGTACTGTTTATTATGTTCCTTCTTGTACATTGTGTTAGACGTGATTAAAAGAGGTATGATAGAGATCTCTACATATTACTAGTTTGATGCACAACATGTTATTATGCATGTTCCAAAATCAGGAACCTACTCACTGGTTGTCTGTTGTCGTAGTCAGGAACCTACTCACTATTTGTCAGTTGTCTTAGTCAGGAACCTACTCACTGGTTGTCTGTTGTCATAGTCAGGAACTTACTCCTTCGTTAAATATATTTTTCATAGTCAGGAATCTACTCACTGGTTGTCTGTTGTTATAGTCAGGAACATTCTCAATGGTTGCCTGTTGTTATAGTTAGTAGGAACCTTCTCACTTGTTGTCTGTTGTGATTGTCAGGGACCTACTCAATGTTTGTCTGTTTTCATAGTCAGGAACTTACTCACTCGTTGTCTGTTTTCATAGTAAGGAACTTAATCACTCGTTGTCTGTTATTACAGTCTAGAACCTTCTCACTGGTTGTCTGTTGTCGCAGTCAGGAATCTACTCACTGGTTGTCTGTTGTCATAGTTAGGAACCTACTCACTGGTTTTCTGTTGTAGTCAGGAACCTATTCATTAGTTTTCTGTTGTCGTAGTTAGGAACCTAATCGCTGGTTTTCCGTTGTCATAGTCAGGAAACTACCCACTTGCTGTCTGTTGTCGTAGTCAGGAAACTACTCACTGGTTGTCTGTTGTTATAGTCAGGAACCTACTCACTGGTTTTCGGTTGTTATGGTCAGGAACCTACTCACTGGTTTTCTGTTGTAGTCAGGAACCTATTCATTAGTTTTCTGTTGTCGTAGTTAGGAACCTAATCGCTGGTTTTCCGTTGTCATAGTCAGGAAACTACCCACTTGCTGTCTGTTGTCGTAGTCAGGAAACTACTCACTGGTTGTCTGTTGTTATAGTCAGGAACCTACTCACTGGTTTTCGGTTGTTATGGTCAGGAACCTACTCACTGGTTTTCTGTTGTCTGTTGTTTTAGTCAGGAACCTGACTATTACAACAGACAACTATAATAAAAGATCGCTGTTATAATATGATACATACTAGTAACACAAAAAAAAACATTTTAAAATTAGTTTAGGTAAAATGAAGGTGTACATATATTTGAAGAGCTTATGATTCATGTACCTATTCCAAAATATTAAAACAATTCTTTTAAAAACATTGTATAAAACTAATTTGAGGTCCGATTTTAATGAAACTTTTAATGGTAAACTCACAAATGTGTACAGTTTTATATAGATGTTATGAATTATTTTTATGACATGCCATTCGTGAGAAATCATTTAATTTTCATTTTTTCCTATAAAGCCATATCAATTTTTTCGTACAGAAATTCATATTTTTCTTTTAACAGTGATTACCTAAATATTTAAATCATGAATATATTTCATAATTATTGCAAGAAAATGCAGACATTTCTGTATTTAATGAAATACAATCATTCAATCTGGACAAGAAATATCTGCAGTAGAATTTTTATTCAAAATGTTTTTTATATGAAATAATAGGGCTTTTCCGTTAAGTGAACACTTTTGACCTAAGATTGTAATTATATTCGATCAAACTTAGTGTAATAAGTTTCAAGTACAAGTAATTATAGAATAGAGAATGGAAACGGGGAAAGTGCCAAAGAGACAACAACCCGAACAAAGAGTAGAAAACAGCCATAGGCAAACCAATGGGTCTGTCATTACAAGTCAGTGATATGTTAATATAGATAAGTCAAATTCAGACTTTTCCAAAATAATTGAAATATATGCAGGTTATAACAAAAACGGATATCTTCTAACCCTTCCTGTTTATAAGTGATACATTTGTATTTAAACGAATGGAATAATTTTGATAACTATAATATTTCAGATAAATAAAACGGATTTTGAAGATTGTTCAATACACAAGAACTGTGAATCTTGTGTGGATTCCTTTAATTCATATTGTGGATGGGATTATGCTGAAAACAGGTTTATAAATGTTGTTTGGTTTTTATGATATCATATCGATACAAATGTATGGACAGAAATACAGGGATTATGTTACATCCATGAAAAAGACCTTTTACAGTAAAGTTACTTGAAAAACATAAAACAATACATTAGCTGCACATCTCGGGTAATAATCTTCACTTTCAAAGTACAAAAAAACACATAAAAACAGAACATTTTTTCCGCTACAAAGCGTGACTCTTAGATGACTTGAAAATGATCAACGTAACTAATTTAAATCAATGACATCTTCAATTCGGAATAACAATTTATTATCTGTGAGAAATTTAAAAGTAAGCCTCCAATCTCTGTGGAAAAATACTTAGAATATGACCTAAAAATAAAACACTTGAAACGTCAGACAAGGAAAAATATTAAACAAAAGTAGTTTTTTTTTGTCGACCTATTTTTTTCCCATAGATTCAAATGGATGTTACATTGTAGTTCACGTACATCTTACTATCATCCTCTCCATACCAATGAAAATATTCATCTGTTCTCCTTCAATATTAACGTGGTTTGTATTAATTGTCTATGGATTAAAAAATATATGATTGCTTTGTGAACAACACGTGTTTCTAAATTAATTAACCATCCTCGGATCCTAAAGCGACTAAACCGTCAAATGTCATCTTTGACTGAGGGAGTTACTGTCACAATTCCTTGTGTTGAAGTTTGAACTTGGAGTTCCTGCATACTGTTTTAGTTAGATTATGTCTTTGGCGAACATCTGGCTACTATAACGAAGGACAGTACATTGAAGAACTGATCGTAAAATAGCAGAAGTACATGTACCTACCCAGAGATAGTAAACAGTTGCATGGTTTCCAAGCACGCAACATGATTTTCTCAAATTACCTCCCTTATGTCTGCTTAAGGGCAAATTAATAATGGATATTAATTGACAGTGATAAATTATACTTGATTATCATATGAGCAAATGTGATGTATGTCATAAGCAGTTGAAAGATTGACATTGACTTTTTGTTTCTAGTAGGCTGGCATTACAATTCAATTTGGAAAAGAATTTTGATAAAATATCAATTCGTATGGTTTACGCATTATCTGTAATATGATATTAGTGTTTTGAAATCTTGATATTGTCGATAAAAATGGCACAAGTTCGTTTTCTTTGAAATTGGTCAAAACGTGAGTGTTCCCTTTTATTATTTGATAGTATATAGTTTTGGTGCATGATTTTGAACAAACGAAGATAAAAAAAAAGCCCACTTGGTAAGTTTATATGCAGATTTCATCCGTTTTTTCCCTAAAGCAGGATAATTTCCTGAAGAAACAATATAAGAAACCTGCACATGTTTTTATAGTAAAAGATTTGACCAATTTGTTTTCGCCTATAGTTTCATTTTGATTTTCAAGCAATTGTTTATATGTAAAAAACATATCCTCATAATGCTCATTCGGAATAAGTGAGGTCAAAGACTACTGATATTATTCTCAGGATAGCTCCTCTTTAACTTTGAAAATCATATGCAACGGGCCAAATGAGAGAAAGCGCTTTGTAATTTTCATATGGTAAAACATTGTTAGTGGTAAAACACTTTTAGCTTTATTGTGCTATTTGAAGAAGGCTGTAAAGTGATAATGCATAATGTAATCATAGTTTCATGTATGTAAAGATAAAAAAAATCGACAAAAGTTTAAAATTGACAATACAGGTGCAATATCCATAATCCAAATTCAACAGTGTGGATTCTATCAGCAGAAGGGTTTTGCATACAGTTCAGCAACATATCTCATCGTATAAAGATCAATACTGAGGTATGTAAACGTAGTCTCAAAGTCGAATTCAGGCACACGAAGAAGAGAGGCGAAAGATACCAAAGGGGTATTCAAACTCTTAAGTCGAAAACAAACTGACAATGCCATGACAAAAAAAGGACAAAACACATAAAAAAGGGTACACAAACCATAACTGTGCAATATGAAACCCATCAAAAACAGAGGATGGTCTCAGGTGCTTCGGATGGTACGTAGATCCTGCTCCACCTGTCCACCTGTGGCACTCGTCGTGCTACTCCTATAAAATATGTTGATACGTTATATAAAGTGACTAGGAATCACGCAATAGCGGATTGGTAAAACTAAATGACAAAAATAGCTAACTGCAAGGAAAATTCAAAACGGAAAGTCCCTAACCAAATGACAAAACCAAAAGCTCAAACAGATCAAACGAATGGAAAACAACTGTCATATTCCTGACTTGGTACAGGCATTTCCCTATGTAAAAAATATTGAAATAAACATGGTTTTATAGCTAGCTTAACCTCTCACTTGTAGGCAGTCGCATAAAGTTCCATTATATTGACAAAACAAACAGATATAATTGGTAAAATTGGGGTACAGTAGTCAACATTGTGTTATAATCTCAATCACTATAAAATCAAACAACAATGTCAACAAAGAAAAACAAAATGGCATATTGACAAAGAACACAAGCAAACATGAAAGACAAGACTCTTATCTTACCCCAAGACATCTGCAAATTTATAAACCATGTAAATTTTCAAACTTTGACACGTAACCGAATTTTTACATTCGGAAATTGAAACAAGTGTTTCATGACATAGGATAGGCAAGACTGCTACCAGTATAAACATCGCATACGTTTAAAAAAATAAAAAGCACCAAGAGCAATTACAAAAAAGAGAAGTCATGTAAATATCTGTTTTCTTTTAATTGAATAAGCATTATTTGTTCAGTGTATGTTCCCTGGTATTAATATGTCCTTTGATTGAGTTAAGCTATTTCAGTTGATATTTTATAGTGTGTCTTTCTATGTTGTGATGTTACACTATTGTTTCAGAAGAAGGGTGAAGGTTTGGTACCATTAAAACGTTTAAACCCGCTGCATTTGTTTGCACCTGTCCTAAGTCAGGAATCTGATGTTCAGTAGTTGTTGTTTGTTGATGTGGTTCATAAGTGTTTCTCGTTTCTCGTTTTTTATATAGATTAGACCGTTGGTTTTCCCGTTTGAATGGTTTTACACTAGTGATATTTGGGGTCCTTTATAGCTTGCTGTTCGGTGTGAGCCAAGGCTCCGTGATGAAGACCGTACTTTGACCTAAAATGGTTTACTTTTTAAATTTTGACTTGGATGGAGAGTTGTCTCATTAGCACTCATACCACATCTTCTTATATCTATAATATAAGTTGAATGTGACTTTCGTTTATATTATGCATAGCTATCGTATGGGCAATACAATCTTGCATTCAATTCTATTAATATCTATTTCAGGATAATACCAATATTACTTTTGACATCCTGATCCCTTCTGGTACTATTGTGAACAATAGAGAGGGGAACTTCAGATGTAGAATAAACGAAACAGATGCCATTGGAACAGTTAATAACAGAATGAGGAACTTATGTAACATAAACATCACAAGATTGCACTCAGGTATATTTTATAGTGTGTGATATTCGAGTTCAACGCACATTATAACAATGTCAATGCATTGATCAAAATGAGATTTTTTGGCAGTCTTTTGAGAATCTAAATGAATTTTCTATGTGTCCGTGTATTATTTGTTTAAAAAAACACTTTATAAGGGCGAATTAGCTGTACAATGTTAGTATTTTTGTTGACTTTTGAAGCCCAAACTTTCTGTAATTGCTTGAAGGGTTGGAAAACTATGCCAATACAGACATAAAAGTTTTCGTTACTCTAGCAATAGGTTTGGTCAATTATTGAAATTATAAAAAAAAAAAAATTACGTTATTATCTTTCTACTAAATGTTACCCTTACAGTTATTTTGATATTTGATATAGAGTTGTCAATTTTATTGAATATTACGCAATTCAATTGGATTAAGTAAGGTTTGCGTCACCTTCACCTGTTTCCTGTTGCATTTCTTTTTATGCACACGTGTACAGTTATTTAAATGACATTAAAACTGAAACAATGGATTGATTGATTGTTTAATTGGTGTTTTACGCCACCTTCAGCACTATTTACTATTGCGTGGTAGTCAGTTTATATTGGTAGAGGAAGCCGGAAAGAACGAGCGACCTTCGATTTGAAAACTGACAATCCTAGTCAATTAAGATTGGAGTCGAATGCACCTGCCATGCGCGGGATTCAAACTCACAACCTCGATGATGACAGGCTAGTGATACAGCAGTTGGACTACTTAGACCACTCGACCATCAGGGCACCTCCTGGAACAATGGACGAGTTCATGTTATTTTCATCAAAGAAACAAAACATACAAAAGGTTTCAAGTTAAAGCATTCTTCAGAAATTCTAGAAGCTTTTCAGATTCGTTTTCCTTCTTTTGAACAAGTTGTCATTTTTAAAGAGAAACATTGAAAAATATTTAACGCATGTCTACGCAATGAAAAACGCTTAGTTATCTTGAACAGAAAACAGCATATAAAGTATCCGTCTTATTATGCTGTTATCAAACCGATTTAACCAAAAAGGAAGCCGTGAGTAAAGTAAAAATATGACCGTTTCTTAAACGGCCAATATTTAAAGGTCGATTTTGTCTATCGCACAAAATTCTGTCAGGCATTTTAGGCGTAAGTGTTAGAAGGAAGGAAAAAAACGGATGTAGAAATGTCAAATAGAATAGAGAACAGAAACGGGGAATGTGTCGAAAACAGCCCATGGCTAACAATGGGTCTTCAAAGCAGCGAGAAAATCACACACCCGGAGGCGAGCTTCACAGTATATGTGTTCCTCCTAACAGAAGTTCCTATGGGAACTTATAAACTTTATAAACAATGCTAGTATATATGTTCCTGTTAGAACAAACATTCTATTCTAATTATTACGACAGGAACAGTTACTGTAGTGTAGTTTAAACACATTTCATTTTCAAAAGTAGCGAAAGGGGTTGGACACAAGTTATAACAACATATGTGACGTCCTCTCCCTATACAAATATAAACAAAAAATTCATTAAATAATGACGAAAAACATAAAAGGAATGCATGTAATTTAAACTATAAACAAAACGAAAAAGCAATATAATATGAGTGTGAGAAAAAAGGAATTCAGAATTTGAATGGTATGTTCTGAATTTTTGTGTAATTCTGAAATAAAATTGTACAGACACAAAAAAAATCTTTATTTTGCTGAAATGTTAGGTCACCGTCACCAGTCAATAGAAGCTCAATTGATGTAGCATATCTTTCTTATACAGTATTTTTCTTTCTTCATTGTGAAATGGGCACTCGAAAAAATAGGGAATACAATCCTCAACATGATGACCACAGTTGCATGCGGGATAGGCTTTGATATTAACACGTTGCAGATATGCATTTAAAGAACTGCACATATTTCTCAGACGTGTATGAATAATTTTAATTTTTCTATCACCACAACTAAAGTAGGAGGATAGCTGTATTATTTATTTTTCTCCTTTCGTTTGAATATATTCATATTTCTGAAAGTCCGTATGTCGGGATTTAGGCTATTACATTCAATAGAAGTAGATGGTTATATCTAGTCTATAACTGGGTACTACATAATTGTTACTATTTCGCAAATCATAATTAGATATTTGAAAAAACAAGTGAGATAATCAGTGGCAGTGCCATTATGAAAAGAAGAAAAAATATTGAGCTTTCTTGACCTCATTCTGTCCACTAGCAATTCCCGGCCTGTTTCGATATATAAAGCTTCCAGAAAACCATACACGGGCAACCTAGTTACAACTAATGTAATATTTCTTCCAGTTGAAATAGTATTCAATAATATTTCTTCCATTTAGATCTAAAATTATAAAGGAACTTGTACTCCATGAACGTAAAAATAAGCTAATAATGTATGTCAACACAGTTTATTCGAGAGAAAGTGTATAAGCAGAGGTGTGTTCCGTGTTCTCAGGCACACATCAGCTTTACTTATTTGGTAGGGAGATACGCTATGGTTCTAACCCTTCTCATAATTCCCAGGTTGCTGGTGAACTCCATGAGTATCAGTTTAACTGAGGTCATATAAGATAAGGAGATGTTGAACGTTACGATTGCCAATAAGACAACTATCCAAACTTCTACGTCATTTGGTCTCTGGTATTGTGACCGTATTAATCAATGTATTTGGATTACATGAAAATATGATATGCAACTATTTATAAAATGAACAAATTACGATTTTAATCTATAAGGTCGACATGAACGAATTTACAAATTATATGCCAGGCTGAAGCTCCTGGTTATTACTACTGGTGGTTAATATAACGACGTTTTCTGAAAAGCAGACCAGATGCATACGACTTATTGCTCTTGATATTTTATAATCAACATAACAAGTGAAGTTTTCAAATGCAATAAGCATGCTTCTAAGAGGGGTTTATTAAATAATTTCAATTAAAATCGATTTCCATGATTTCTTTATTCCATATGTGAACATTTCATGAGAGCATTATTCTTATGAAACGTCTTGATTTATAAAGTAAACATCACATTTTAACTGTTTTGCTACCAAGAAACTCTTTGCACACTTTTTGAACAACATTTCTTACACATTACATTTGAGAGCATTGTAAACCATTATAGTTAAAAAAAAAAGATAACAGTTTATAATTTTTCATTTTAGATAACTATACATTTGAAATAACATACGAGGAAGTGATGATTGCAAGCTCCACTATTGAATTTTACAAGTGTCAACATTTTAAAAAGTAGGTTGTTTTTTACTTAGTTTAATACTATATATAATTATATAGTTTGATACTTTATTTTACTGTGCTGAAATTAATACTCCTTAGAATAGGAAATAATTCCATAAATAATTAATTAATGCAGCTACATGTATGTTTTAAGTGTTGTACACTTTACTTCATAACTGTTACAGTGGTTGCATATCAGCTAGGCTATGACAACCTTTATATGAATAAGGTGCGCACGATCATGCCTTTGATGCAAAACAAAAACGTCATTTAACTATATACTCATCATAGATACTAGGATTTAAATTTTGTACGACAGACGCGCGTTTCGTATATAAAAGACTCATCATTGACACTCGAATAGAAAAAGTAAAATAAAAGCCTAATTAATTACGAAGTTGAAGAGCATTGAGGACCCAAAATTACGAAAGGTTTTGCCAAATACAGCTAAAGTAATCTATTCCTGGATTAGACAAATCTATAAAGTAAGTATTTCTAAAAATTTAAGGCTATGGCAGTGTTATTAGCAATTTGTTCAAGCATTACTGCCTTTCAAACTTTGTTTCAATGGGATATTTGATTGGATAATAGTGTCAGTTTGTCACGTCTTCGTAAAAAAAGTGTCCTGTCAGCGCCTGTTAACGTTACAGTGCAAATAATTTGACGCATTAATTTTCAGAACAACGAAATGAACACCTTAAGAAATATTTGTTTTTTTTTTGTGCCCGTAAATGGCCCATTTAAAGTTGGGAAATGCGTTTTACGTTAAAACGACAAAACACATATTTACGAAATCAGAAACTGAATTCAAATGTTACGGTTTATAGATACATTGTGTCATTTGTTTCATAAGAATATGCTTCTCTTGTTTAGTCATAGATGTCGTTAAGTTTTTGTCTCTGCTTTTACTAATAATACAATGTAATTGCGATGTGGTTCATTCAATTTCATGAGTGATATGGTTTATACAGCAATGACAGCATCCGAACAACACAATAACAATAGAATAAACTAGAAAATACATTTTGTTCATGAATTCAAAAAAACTAAATATAAGTTATTAAACTAAGGCTAGCATTAGAAGGTTAATGTGTTTCCAGGATTATTTGCTACATCAAAGCAGTAGAACAATACCGGTCTAAACTTTCTGCTTTATCGAAAATTTTGACAGCCAGTACAATGTTGTGTGCAACGGACGAAAGAAACATTATATATATTTTTTTTTTTTTTTTTTTTTTTTTCACTTTTTAGCTTCTATAAAGTTTAACTAAAAAATTTCATGTTTCGTCTTTTCAAACACGAATCTTGTTCTCATTTTCAAATTTCGCGTTAATATGGAAGCCGGATGAGGCCAATTTCGCGTTTTCGCGTTTATATTCCCCACCTAGGGGCATTATGTTGTTCGGTCTGTGTGTCCGTTCGTTCGTCCGTTCGTTCCTTCGTTCGTCCGTCCGTTCGTCCGTCTGTCCCGCTTCAGGTTAATGTTTTGGGTTAAAGTTTTTGGTCAAGGTAGTTTTTGATGAAGTTGAAGTCCAATAAACTTGAAACTTAGTACACATGTTTCCTATTTTAATGCCAAATTAGAGTTTTGACCACAATTTCACGGTCCACTGAACATAGAAAATGATAGTGCGAGTGGGCATCCGTGTATTATGGACACATTCTGGTTCGAAAATGAAATAAGTTTTAGTAAATGTTTATCGTATACTAGTATCTCATTTTGTGCTGGAATTTCCTGTAGTCCATCAAAAATAAAACCTGCAAATGCTACCCGCTATCATTACCAAATAGTAACATACGTAAGTACTCGTTGTAACAATTAATAGTACTTTGAAATAACACTATCCAGCCAGGTTATCCTCACATTGTTAATCATTATCCAATTAGATCAAAGAGAAGTCGCGTGATTGCTAATGAGACAAAAGTCCATCAAAAGACCAACGGACAAGAATATAAGCAACTTAAGGTCAATAATCAGTAAGGTAAATTTTGTTTACGACGCTACCGATGCGGACATATTACAACACCCATCTTCAAAATCCCAATGGTTTGGGATCATATTTCAATTACAAATACAAACTGTATAAATGTTAAAATTTAAATGCCAGAAGAATAACTGTTATATGTTTGGACGTTTTCATCAGGAATTTCATCTGTTGCATCCCAATTGTTCCAAAATAAATCACAGCGGGCCAAAGCGGTTAAAGCGGCTAACTTTTTTTCTCGCTTGTAAACATCAATTTGCAAAATCTAACTAGACACGTGTGGTGTGCGCATATTTAAAATACAGGTTTTGCTATTTTATATTAATTTCAAGGGATTACATTAAAGCTTGTTTGTTATTTATTGTATTGTGTATTATTTTTGTTGTGCGACATATAATATATAAAAAAAACATTAAACATTTAAGACTTACAACAAATGATCGTTATTTTGGTACCATAATATGCAAGGTTCTGGTAAATGTATTCATAACAGAAGGTTAACATACAATTAAAAAGGGTAAAATTCTAGATGAAAAGGGGATATCGCAACCTAATAATTTAGGAAGACGTTCTCATGAATTTTAATATGATCCGTGTTAACTGATCAATCCTTTAAATAAACTTAATCTAAAAATTTTACCAATTAAGCACTGAAATAAGACCTTGGAATATTTTCATTATCAGTACAAATTAACATTGATTTTGTTATCAATAAATAAAAATATAGTTAAATATTATTAACATTTACAGTGCTACATTCAGTAGATACATATATTTTTGCATTGAACATGATACCATATTTTCCTCTGACTGTTTATAACGTCTTTACACTGGATCAATTCGAAGTGTACTGATTTATATTTTAGTCTTGGATACATGATTATTTTAGTAGTTGTTATAAGCTTTGAACTAGCTATCTGTAACTCCAAGTACTCTTAGATCGGTAATTTGTGTTTTTAAGTCTTTTATAGTAGTTGCTGTATTATTGTGTTGTTTATTTTGATCTGATGAGTCAAGCCCTTTTCAACTGATTTTTATAGTATGTTCATATTTTCTTTTACACCATTGTCTCGGGTAAGGGGAGGGTTAAGATATGTGTCTGTCCAAAGTCAAGAGCATGTAATTCAGTGGTTGCCGTTTGTTGCCGTATATCATATTTGCTTTTCTTTTTTGATTTGTACATTTAGCAGGCTTTTAGTTTTCTTTTTTTTTTTTAATTGTTTTACAATTGTCATGTCCAGGGCTTTCTTCAATCAGCTTCATTTAGACTATGTTGCATTGTTGGCATTCATACCACATTTCCTTATTTTATATGGTACGTCATCGCCTTAGTTGTTTCATAGAAGCCTTATTGGTTGAATGCGAAAAGAAGTATGTTCGACCTCTGACTTGGTCGAACTAAAATGCAAAGACTTAATTTGTTAAATCGCAGCTTCTCTCCACAAGAATTAAGGGATGAGAACAAGCATTAGTCGGTTCGTTGTCAGAATAATGTATCCGGGTGAAATATCTTCCAGAGGAATGTTATATTTTGAGTTATAGCATTGAAATCACTATCAAGCTTATTGTGTCGGATTAGTACAAAACATGGTTCATTGCTGTAACCCTACTTATTTGGACTCAATTGAGTAGTTGTCTCGTTGTCAATCATATCACATCTCCTCATCTTATATTCATATTTGTCTACAAATAATATGTTATCGAATTAAATACTGATGCAATGTTTTAGTTAAAATTCAAACATCTATCATCCTATAGTATTTATGCTCATTGTTAATCATCTAGATTTACAATAATAGTTATGTCTAATTTCGACAGATGTAAGGAATGTACAAAAAGACCAGCGTGTTATTGGGATCCGATATTTTTTTCTTGTGGTAATCCTGAAAGTAATTTAACAATCGCTGTTGATGTATGTATTATTATTAGTTTACTTTATTGATATGCATTATTTGTTTTACTTGTATACTGTTTAAATCGTGTATCATAGTGTTAGTGTGACAGTATTCAAATTAATTGATAAATTGGTGTTTGCTTTAAGCCCCATCCGCGCATAATGACTATATCGCGGCGATTCCAGTATTCAAATGGCTTCAAATTACTCATCAAGAATAACAGTAAGTTCCTTAAATAATGGGCAGTACTAACAGATCGAACCAATCACCTACGCCCGACTCTTCTATAAAGAAAAATAGACAGGCAAACAATGACAAACAACAGCGAAAAACGCATGGTCAAGTTGCATGTAGCATGTACTGACTTCAGGCACAAAAGGTGGCAGAGTTAAACCAGTTTTACACGCGCAAAAATCTATCCTATTGATTGTGTGTCGTGTAGACTAACGACTTTAAAAAACTTGTTAACATACTTTACAATTATTCGCTTTTCAATTTGAATATATTCAATACTGAGCGTTAAATAATGAATAATGAACTATTTCATTATTCGTTATTAAATTTTGAAAAATTAAAAAATTTCAGCGTGGTCCAAAACGCGTACATAATTTATGTGTTGAATAATGATAGATTTATATTTTAATCCAGTACCATCTATGTTTTGTTTTGGTTTCAACAACTTTTGATGTCCTACAAGATGAAGTTAAGTCAAAAATCACGCATTGAAACAGTGATATTTATCATACATTTATAGTATAATGTATAATAAAAACAAAAATGCTTTGTTCAAAATGATAAAAAATAATCTCTGCTTAATATGCTTGAAACATGCGAGCGAATGTCATTGAGAAAGCACCAAAAGCAAACCGAAAATTGCGAATTTTTGTTTCAAGTTGTGTACTTTGTTAAACTTTGTGAAAATTGTTAAATATCTAAATACTTCGAGAAGTCAGAGAAATTTAGCTTCACACTAGTGTTTGTCAAGTCCAGATAACTAATCAACATGTCACTGTTACATATTTGTCCATTCATTTTCATTACAGGAAGAAGAAAAATGTCCCCGTCTAGATAACGATGTTGAGTTACACTTGTATGCCAACCGACCTGAAAATTTAACAATTCGCGTGAGAGAATTTGAAATTAATGTAAGATCACAGTAAACTGATATGTAATCTATTATATGAAATATCATATTACATTCATGTTCATCATGTTTAGTACTTACAAGTGTTATATTTTGTCAAAAACCATATTTGAAAAACAATAATTTTTCATGTCAAATATATCAAGTGGGCTTCACAGAGATAAAACAAAAACAAGATGTTTCTGCAATATAAAGACTAATCTAGATAACCTGCTTTTTTTGTATATCCTGCTTTAGTTTCATTTTCATGTTCATGCTTCTTTCTAGACCTTTGGGTCACTTTCATAAATAATAGATTTAAGTGAGGCCCAGTAAAACATCGATATCCAATTCTCACAAGTTGTTAAACCTATTTCTCTTATTGTCAACACGTTCATTGTGTTGAATTAAAAATCCCGCGAATCGTTGATCTAGTCTTTTGCACATACCAGTATGACGTCATATGTCCTGTTCCGATGTCAAACTTTAACATCAGACATTTCAAACTTTTTGTACGCTTCAGAATGTAATAAAATTTGACAAAATGAAGATTTTCAGGTGAAAAGTGTGAGTGTTTCGTATATTATTGAAGAAATCACATACATGTCCGTTTCCACGAACGAAATATACATCGTCTTAACCTTTAAAAGTTATCAATGACCTAACGAATAGCCAATGGAAATGTCGTAATATCGTCTCATGATGCTGAATAAGCCAATCAAATAAACGCATATTTTCATATCACTTTTTCTAATCACACTCCGTGCAGTGATACGAGAAATATCTCTTCATGCAAGAAAAAGATAACAGGCCACAACCATTAGAGAAAATAATATACAGAATGATTAAAAATTGACATTAAAACTTGAAATGTCTCATCATTCTGTACTTTTGTTTTGAAACGTAGATGATTGTGATTCTTTAATTTAGTTTTCACGGCAGAGGTGGCGAGTGAACCCATCTGTCAATTTACTATTTGAAATAGAAACTATAGTTATAAAAGTAATGTAGAACATGTAAAATATTTCACTTTTTATAAAGTCGATCGATTGTAGTAATGTATACATGCAGTAGATATCAATAGAGTTAAATTCAGACATTTTAGAGTCTAACCATTTAGTCTAGATTTAGTTTAAATGATTTATAAATAAGTTTGCTCTGTATGCATTTTACACGGACTTGTAAAACATATCAACAAAAACAAATGACAACTCTATGAAATTGTTTTTTTTTTTTAAATATGAATATATGTAATTCAACTGGAAATCACGTTTCTGACTGTTACATGTGCACCGGTACCATATTTACGAATGCTTTAAAAAAAAAAAACACAAGAAAACAGTCATCTGATGAAAATCTGTAAAATTAAAACCATCCGCATCCAAAAATTATTGGTCGAAGAAGATCTACAACAGTATGGAAAAAAAAGATGAAAAGACAACAGTCTACAAACACCACACGGAAAATTAGCTGAGCATGATCTTGAAATATTATATAATGCTACCTATTTTTTAGTTATTCATAATATTTCTTGATACAGTAAACAACAGTCGAATGCTTCTAAACTCTAGTAAACTTTAAACTAGTTCGGGGTTATGAACAAAATTGTCATGATTATTTTAAAGTTTGGAAAAATGAAGTTAATATTACATTTTAGTTAAATATGATGAAAAGTCCATGTGGAGAAATGTAATTTCACATGAAATGTATAATTATATTTTCCTAATCATTTTCACTCTTTTCAGAATCACATTCTGTTTTTAATCATTAGACTGTTGTTTTATTCACAAAAAACATACCATGCCGCTTAAAACTTGTTTTACTGTATTCATACATGATACTCGTGTTCGGAGGACTACTTGTAACCCTCGAGTTGCGGGAATTCCTCAATGAAGTAAAACTAAAGCATAACAGTTAATTTAATGTAGTATATTAATGTTGTAGTTGATTGAAAAAATGACTTCATCAAACTTCACATGTGAAATAAGTCAAAATGGTATTATTGTAACTGCTTCAGGAGTACTGTGGGGTATGAACTATACACATTTTTCGTGTATGGGAGTACAGGTAAAGCTCTAAAATTATTATTATTTGTATCAAAAAGCATGCATTTAAAAGTGTAGCCTAGCTATGAAACCAATTTAACCCAGCATTTTCTTGATTTTCTTGACTATTCTAAGTCAGGAATATGACAGTTATTCGTTCCGTTGGTTGATAACGTTTGATTTTGTCAGTGTTTATGGACTTCCCCATTTAAATTACTTTAGAGTTCGCTATTTTTGTGATACTTTTGTTCTATTTACTTCTATGATCACTAACGGTAGGAATAGGGGGTGGGTCTTTTTTATTACTAAGTCCACGAGTGAACCATTGTGATGTAACTGAACATTGTGACGTAACTGACTTTTTTTCATCAATTTATTAATACTTCCGGAACACCTGATCAGTTTATTATTTATGCATTGAGGCGAAAATCCTTCCTTAAGATACGTCTCGTTTATAAATAGGTGTGACGTGGAAGTTCTAATAACAAGGGTTGAAAAAAATATCTGAGGTCTTATATTTAGTTTGGTTAATTTCAAAGGAATACTCAGAAAAATCATATCCTTTTACAGAGAATATATATATGGAAGTTATCTATAATATTATGTTTCTTTTTGTAATACAATTACTGTGACTTGACTATAGGTGTTGCTGTTTACCTTTACCTATTGTTCAACCATATTGTAAAATTGACAATACAATTGGGACATTTAAATTGACCAGTTGGTATTTTTAGAGTTGAGTCTACCTTTACATCCCAACTCCTTTATTCTAACAGGGGTGATCTGAGTCGGATCACCCCTTCCAGATCACCCTACCTTGAGTTTCTTTGTTCTGCATGCTTTCAATTGTTCTGTAACATTTTGGCGGGAATGTCGAACACACAATAAAACTAAGAAATATTTCTGCGGAATAAAGACTAACTTTCAAAATTTAGGTAGAAAAAATCTAAATTTCCAGTGTCTATGCCGGGAGTCGACCTTAAGCACATGAAACCACGATTCATACCCCTACACCAGGACGACTGGATACAAACTTACTGTTAATTTAAAATATTTAAACATTGTATATGGGGCTCATAAAGGGGAATATACTATATATTAATATAGAAAGTATATTATAATTATTGTATGTCATTCTTAACTAGATGTAATGAAGCGTAAATATTTTTCATATAGTCTAGAAGAGCTGGGATGTAAAATAGTTATCCCACTCGGACTTGTTGTGTCAGTGTAAGATCACCCTCAGGCCTGCGGCCGTCGGGATGATCTTACACTGACACACCGAGTCCTCATGGGATAACAATTACTGATTCTACCTATACTGTTTTTTATTCTCCTAACCCAACCTTACAGCATACTTTTTTCCTGACGTTTTTTATTCACCTAGGGTTATTCTATTATAAAATTGATAGGGAAGAAAATATTATTGGTTTTCATTGTTTTAAAATGCAAATATAGATGATCATAGATGATTAACCTAATTTTGACCCAAAATTCTAAATTAGTAAAAGATTTTCTTAACTGCATGATAATATGTAAGAAAATTAAAACTGTTTTTACATAATAAATGAATCTTTAAGTTTTTAACCCTTATACATATTATTGTCTAGTGAGCTCTTCAGGTGTTTTCAGTTTCAGTTTTCAGATGGATATGTTAGGCATTTCTTCATATATCCCATCAAACTTTTCATTGTGGAGTATTATTCGTAGTGTTTGAAATCTATTGGAATCAATGTGCATAAAATATTGGGATTTATCTTATTTTAATTCACTTCTTAGATGCCATTTAATTTTGCTTCTTAAAATATGTGACTTGTTTTTTTTCCAAGAATGGATTGTGATGAATGTATCAAGGAGGAAATAATTTATTCAAAATGTTTTGTGTGGCTTTCATATGATGATGTACATGTAAAATTCAAAATAATTTTGGAGTATACCATGCAGTGTTTTTCTTTGAAATCTGTTAGGATTTTTGTGCATAAAAATACTGTGTTCACTCAAAGGAGTTCACTTTTTATAAGATGGGATTTAGTTGATCTAAACGGTAAACAAAATTAAAAACTGGAGTGCAAGTAGTAGAAATAAGTTCATCCAACATGTTTCTGTGGCTTTAAATGTGATTTGAAAATAATCATTATAACATTTTGGATCTAATATGAAAATGATTCACCTGTTTAAATGGGAAATATATCATGGAAACGAAATAGAATGTCAATACAGTGGATATAGTCAAATCTAGTGATAAAGTGAAAATTAAAAGTAAAATATTTCAAAAACAATAACCTGAGGATAACAATTTTGAATGTTATGTTGGAAAAGTGTTATCATAATAAAATTCGGGATCTAATATTAATTAATTATGATACATATCATGGCAAATGAAATAAAAATTGAATACTGTGGATATAGTAAAATCAAGTTATATAGTGAAAAATATAAATAAAATATTCCAAAAAATTTGTAAAGTGATGATAATTATTTTGAATGTGATATTGGAAATAATTAAAAAAAAATATTTTCCAAAAACTAAAATTAGGAAAGTATTTAAAAATTATTACAAATAGTGAAACTGGAATACTAGATGGGATATCAAATATCGGTGTCAATAAATGAATAAATAAACAAATAAAACAGTGTATTCATAACTATTATTTTTGACATTTCACTATGCATACAGTAAACACGTTGTGCAAGGCTCATGTCAAGTATTGAACAAATGTCTAAATGAAGGAATGCACACATTTGTTCTGGGGTTTATTAATTGTGGAAAATTATGGACATTATAAAATAATTAAGATTTTCACAAGAGTAAAATAAATATATTTTGAGTTATCTCCCATTAGAAAAAGCCAAAGAAATGAAAGAGGTCTTTCAACAAAATAAAAGAAATCAGAGCACTCATAGTATTTGGCTTTGGAAACATTAAAAGGAAATGAAGACAATATGACATGCAATAAAATACCTGTTCTGGCTTGCTCACTCCTAAAATTTGAAATAACTGTAAAATAAAAATCTCTCTTTTTTTCATCCTAAATGTTTTTTTATTTGGCAATTGTATGGTCAATTACTTAAGGAATACATTCTTTTCGAATAAAAGATGGTAATTACTATGTTTATTCCCTATTTAAGGATTCTTCAATGAAAAACATAGGGAAATGAATTTATTAAAACATCAGTAGTTTTTAGCATATATTAGAACCTGAAATAAGTTTGCATCTTGTTATACTCTAGCTTTATTCATACCATATATGCTAATTGAAACTGTAGGCATGTTATTTTATGTAACAAAGATAAACATTGAACCCTTAATGCCACATGGATAATTTTTGAAAGACCTATCCCAGTTACACTACAACAGCATTCAGGTAGACTCTAAATGCATGAGTGATCATCTTTTTATCAACTCTAACAATACCAACTGGTCAATTTAAATGTCCCAATTGTATTGTCTATTTTACAATATGATTGAACGGCAACACACAGTTATAACAAAATAAAGACATAGGTCTGTATCACGAGGGTACAGTACGTTTTCATTGAATTACAAAACACTTAATCTGCAAAACGAGCATAAATATTATCCAGTTAAAAAATATTGCATTAGTTATTTCTTAACATGTCCGAATAGTTTATTTTGTACGTTTTACATTGTACATGTATTACTGCAGAAAAGATTATTGTAAGTTGTGACCATACTTATTGAAAGACCGTTAATTATTTATCAAATTGTAGCAAATCGAAAAAATTTTGTTTGGTGATATTGTGTGGTACATTTTTAGTATAGTTTACAGCGATGAGAAATCCACACCAGAAATAGCTAAAATAACTACGAACATAAGTGTCACAATAATTTGTAACGAGTTTATTAACAGCTTAACGGTTGAGAAAGCACAAGTAAGAAGTACCAAAGACATGTGTGATATATTGCTAATTTAAATTTGAAAAGTGAATTTGATTAGATACTTTCTGAATAAATATCCTAATAATACTGATGAGATAAAGTTCTATCTCTCTTTCAGTTGATCGAAATAGCAGAACCCTATATCGTCCGGCTAAAATACAATGATTTGTATTTCGATAATGAGGCGACCTTAAATGGTAAGTTTGAACTATTTCTTTTTAAATCTTTGATGTTTTAATTTGATTGGTTAAATGATAAATTGTGTTTTAATTGACTACGAAGCAATGATATTATTACTTTCCTCACTGGAAGGTAGTTGATTTGTCAATATGTTCGCTATTTTGGCTATGAGTTACACTTTGAAAAAATAATTCATTATTTTTAGCATCTTACCCAAAAAAAAGTATTAGATAGTAATCAAAGCAAGCTAGGACATAATGGAGTATTATTATTATCTTTTTTTTTTGTACTCTTATGGTGAGTTTACTTTGAGATAACGTATTTTGCGTATTTTTTCTCTTTCCTCAGTTTGTTATGTATACCACCACACAAATAACATGTCTTACATGTATTCGTACAGAATCAACTTTAGTGTCATATCAGTGTCACTGCAAAATACAGGAGCAATATAAACCTCCACGGCACATGACAGTATTAATTAAATTGTATGGGGACATGGAGTTCGTAAAAGTCAATGATGTCATTTATAACATATTTCATATGGAGATTGTCCCAAAGTGGATAAAGTTATGATCATTCCTTATGCAAATAGTGTTGATGTCACAGAATTCAAGAAAATTCTAATGTTCAGGAACAATACCGAATTTTAAAAAGTGCATGTAAAATGCATTTTTGTAAATAAACGCAAATAGGTTAATGCATGAAAGAGGAGATTCCAAATGCGAGAACAACCCTTGCGATATAAACTATAATAATCTTTAAGTAAAATTCAAACGTTTTCCAGAAATTTCCGAAAATTCAATTAGTATTATAAATAGTAGTTAGATATAACCCAACAGATTAGTAAATAAATCGTTGACTTTGTTGTACAAGCACCAACATTGACATGGAGACTCCTTCGAGTCTAATTAATCGGAAAATCCCGTAAGCCACTTGAAATTTTAAATGGCGGCATTTTTTTAAGATGGCCGCCCTTCTAGATAATAATAACTATTTTTACTATTCAAATTGATAAGCATGACCAAACTAAACGGTTTTTCGTTCAGATATTAAACATAATCATTATATGTATATCAACATAAATGAAAAAAATTGTATTTACTGGTAAATAACAGGGTTTTTTTTGTATTTTTATGGGTTTTATTCTTTTTTTTGTAACCATTTATTTTCTCTTAAATTAAAAAAAAAATGTAAAAATAACAAAAAAAACCGAACTCCAAGAAAAATTCAAAAAAGAAAACTCAATAAACAACTGGCAAAACCAAATACTCGAATACATCAAATAACACGACTCTATGGAAATCAAACTCCATTTAATTAAGTGTGGGCAAAACAAAGACAAAATATGTTAAAGTGACAATAATTAGGATAGAGCCGTCAATATAGTCTAATAATCACAAATACTATATGAAAATATAAATAACTAAGACAACAAAGTAAAATAATATACATGAGCACACTCCTCTGATAAAGTACAACAGGAAAAAAATAATAAATACAAGGAAACATATTCATAACACCACCATAACACTATAACTAAATGGCGGGATGTGTAAATACCGAGCCACGCTTTAACGTAATCATCAAAATTGAAGAGAAATAACAGTAGTATTGTTGTAACATAAAAATTAAACGAAAGAGAGGTGAAAGAAATCAAACGGATAATCAAACATTGAGGAAAAGGTCATGTCAATAAATATATTCTAGCCTTCAAAATTGCATTTACACAGAGGAAGACTCAAACGATAACACTGCACCTGCCGCGACATTCAGTTTTGCAGCCACACTTCGTAGGCTGTTGGCAATTGGCGGAAGTGCTGTCCAAAAGATTTACCACATGTCATCTTGATGTCACTAGACCTTTGATACATAGTGACTAAGAACCTTTCAAGAATATAATGATGTTCTGCGTCAATTGTTGCTTTTACAAAAACAACAGACGCCTCAGGACAAAAAATCCATGTTTACAATGCACTCCTTTTTCCCTTTCCAGTGAATGCAGAAATGACATCACATCCACTGAAAGCGTGGAAAAATAGAAGGCCCTTGGACTTTTCTGGGCCAATTGACATACTTATATCATGTTTGGGAATCCACCTCAAGCTACACCACGAAGCTGCTGAATTGGTAGAACACTGACCGTAATGACAAGGACATCCGTGTCGCTGGCTTTAATCAAAATAATTTTGTTACCATCGGCTGCAGCGTGTTTTGCATGCAAGAAGGTTCGTGTGTCGGATTCCTCGTGATTGCAGTGTTTCAGTCCTTCAATACGCATTGACTGATTGCAGACAACATTCTCTTCTTGAGTGACTATGACTATTATTTTGACACATCTTTACAATTTTATCCGCCAGAAAGTTAAATAGCTCAGTCTTGTTGCTATTGTCTCTGATGAGGCTTCGCCAATTTTGTGGGATTTTCCCTTTATCAGTCACTCTGCGTCTAACGCCTATGCCTCGCTTTATCGTGTTTCAGCTTTAAACGAGAGGACCAGTATACACCAAACACAATATCTGTTCTTGTGTAAGTACATGTACAACTATATGTTTATTCTTTTGGACTACCTCTAGTGCTGCATATTCTTTAAACGTCTTCAATATCCTTGGAGGCAATGCATTGATTAAAGCCGTCTTATATGATGACACCAGCTTCTCTGGTTCAGTATCAGGAGGAGTAAAGTGAGTCTCCAGTATTGTGGCAAGCTGATTTCTGACAGCTTTAAAGATTACCATTATTACTCAGTGCAGCGGGAAAAGACCGATTCTCATGCTGAAAAAATTCCATCAGGTCACATTCTCTAGACTGGCAGGATATGAAAAGTGTAGAGAATAGACGATAATCATCCTTTAAGTTTTTTCCTTTGAATCCCCTGCTTTCAGTTCTGACTTTTGCCGAAGGAAATCTGTCTTGTTCTTCTTGATTGGCTGATGAAATGAACACTCCTCTGTATCCAGCCCTTTCATGAACTCATTGAAGTGCGTTTACCATTATCAAAATGAGCAGCAACCATTTGAGCAGCACTACGATGGGCAACACTTTTTGTATCTAGTGTAAAAAGTTCATCGGTCTCTTCCATAAATGGATTGCCCATATTTTTCATTACATTATACAGCTTCTGTACCTTATCGAAGAAATTTTGTGTGTGTGTTCTGTCTGTTCGTGATGTCTGTTTCTTTCATTGGCATCCTTGGTTGTAGATGCCGATTCATACTGAGTTACCTAGTGACTGCCTTCAGGTCCGGCTACCATCTAACGTCGTGGTGCAGATGGGTCTTCTGTCACACCAATGGCACCACCATAACCTTTGATAACAGCCTTCGCTTGCACATGTGCTTGGTCTATAGCCAACGCTGAAAATTCACGATTAGATTTGTGTACAATAAATTTTCCGTTATGGAATTCTGCAGTCAGCTGAGGATGTGTACGCTCAAGTAACATCATGTCTCTGAGATGAATGGGAAGTCATCGTACATAGTTAACATTGATGTTGGCAAAAAAGAAAGGTAACAACTCGCACAATGATTGACGGTATAAAGAAAAGTCTGCTTCTCGAAATGATCGGACCAGGGACAAAATTGTTAATTCCATTGTCAACACCAGATTCCAGAATTGAAACTGTGGACTTTCAGTTTTGCGCCTTTAGCACTAGTCTATGATACATAGCACATCCTGTGTTTGTTCACTGGCCTCTGAGTCTGAACAGTAACACATGTAGGCTTCTTTAAGTAGCTTGTAGAGTGTTCTAACTGTAACCTGGTGCACTTGAAGCAGAAAGAAAGGATTCTGCTGTCCCCGAGGAAACAATCCCTGCCTCAACAATGGCTCCTGTCCATCCACTATTTTGGAGGAGGTTTCCAATGGACTTAAATGCTGCCATTTCAATATGCAGACCCCCAAACACAATGACAAACTTGTGTACGCCATACTTTTTGGGCCAATGCCACTGTATTTGTTTTGCTAATGCGTAGATTGGCTGATCAGCAGCAATAACGGGAGTCAGAAATGGATTCAGATATGCAACCGTGTCTATAATCTTATTCATGACATGCTGCATTGTAGCCACTGAATGGATTTGGTCACGGAGGAGAGGCATAGTTTTGGCATATACAGAAATTCCCAAATCGATGCAAATGAGGTTTCGCAGTCTTTTGAATGCCCGGGAGTTGCTGCTCCTTCTCTGTACTTAAAATAGTAAATATATTGTAAAAGTTGAGCCATTGTTAGATCGGTCTTGGATGCACCAAAGAGTAATTGTGACTTTGTATCAGCACCATGCTCAATCATGCACACAATTAAACTGAAGAAATGTGGAAGGAATTGCACTTTCAACACATCCTTCATGAAATGTTCTAGTAAATCATGACTCATGGTCAATCATGTGTCCACGCAAGATCTTGGCAGCTTTGGCGAGGATAATAGCTTATGAATTGTTGGATGCTTGTGACAAGGCCGCAACAATATACTTTTTGAAAGCTAGAAGAATATCCTTTCCCTTCTTATGAGCTTCAAGTTCAGGAATTTCTTCGAGCAATTCTTCCTTTAATCTAGTGGAACTGATATCAGGTGTTTTCATTCCTAATGTTTAAGTCGTACAAAATGTTTGTAGAGATTGGCTAGATCTGCAAGACGGAATATAGCAGGATTATCACTACTTATTTTTGTCTACACTATGTAGGTGAGGAGCTCTGAAAACACAAGTGTATATACTTCACTTTCTTCAGACAGTTCGCTGTCATTATGATTTTTAATTGCTAATAGGTAAGCCTTCTTCTTGTTGTACAGAGCTGTCAGACAAGAATAGTGATACTTCAGCTCTTGTGCAACAACGTCTCCTCCACTAATTACAGTCAGAAGCTTTCCAACATTAAGTTTTCGGGCACATTCATTTAACCTTTTATCAAGCTGCATTGTCATGGCTTGTCGCAGTTCAGATGTTGGATTTTCCTTATCGCATAAAAAACACACACGACATTCAATGCTGGTTCTTCTAACCTTGCTTTGTCATCGTCTGAAGAGGTCCTATTTATAGCTGACCTCTTCCTTGCCCTGTCTACCTTGGTATTGTTGAACAATAACCTACAGCTCTGGTGATATTTGACACTGTTCCGTCTCAGTGTGTCTTCAAAACCATCACCTTCGCCTAATCTGATGGGATTTAAAATGATCTGAAGTTGGTTAATGGGTTGATAGAGTGGAATGTTTGTTGCGATCATGTAGTAGCCATCATTTTCTTTGTTGCATGAATAGTGAGTTGGTGGAGATTTAAGATCTTCACCTTTTTTTTCTGTCTGACAAAGGCAACATTTGTTCCAATCAGTTTGATATTTGGATTTCAATGGGGTCACACTTGACATCCTTATAATATTTATCTTCACAATTTCAATAGACTACTATAATTATGTTATCCTCTTGCCACCTTCAACTAAACGCTAGTTATGTTAATGACGTTTTCCTGACAAAATTAAAGGATATAAATCTTGAACTTTATACAATTCCAAAGTGTATTGCCTTATGAATTGTGAACAGTAAGTTTGTGACATATAAAAAAAAGTAATATAGAATATAACTGAAAATTCACATATTTACAATAAAACATGAGGCAGAGGAAGATGTGTCTATCCGTAACTGATGATGGGAACTGTCTAAAATGTTTGAATATTATATAGTATTTGGCTTATGTATAAAAGCAAATGTATTATTTGACCTAAAACCATTAAAATGTAACTACTAAGACTACTTTTATATTATTTTTTTTAAACCCGGATTGGAGGCCCTCTCAAAAATGGCCACCATTTTGAAAAAAAGATGGCTAACGAGTACATTTTTCAAACACGTATCCTAAGGGGAGTACACATGCAAATGTTGATGCTTGTACAACAAACTGAACGATTTTTCTGAATATTGACGTAATCTGCTGGGCTAATACTTTAAATTTCCATTTTCGTAAATGGATCAGTCAAAGAAGAAATTATATTTGTAAATATTAAAGGGTATGATAAATCTGAAAGATAAAAAAAAAACAGTAGATATTTGACATTGTATTACTAACCTGCGTCATTTTTTTTAACACGCGAGGGATATATGATCACGCACAGCTGTATAATTGAATATCGTGTCAAGGAGGTAATTGCATTTCATTATATTTTCACCCAATGTAAAATTCTTCATGTATTGACTATTTTACATTTTTAGTCTAAATGGACAGTTGTAGGGATTCAATTTAATACGTTTCTTGTTCGAAATCTAAACAATGGCATGATGATCATTTATAACAAGTTATTCTATGATGATTTTTTTTCTCAATTAATACAAGAAAAACAGGTCCTTTTTCAGCAAATAGTTAAGATATAAGTTTACAATATTTGAATAATAATCGTTTAAATTTACATGATCAAAATTGTTTTATTTCTCTGTCTGTTATCGTTTACTCAAAACCATATAGAGGATTAGGATACAATATATACTGTCGTATTCTTGGACGGTCCATGATGTATCATTATCAGCGAGGGGTACTTCGAAAACATAACTGCTTCAAATCTAGTCTTGAACATTGCACATGCTATCTAACTTAAAGAATCAGTTTCTTTGGTATAATTGATTTGATATTTATATTAAAACACCATTGAAGAATGCAAAACGGATAAAAAACATAGATCCGTTCAAAAACCCGAAACAAAAAGTATAAAACATGAAAAAAATATATACTTTCTCATCAGTTATGTAGTTATTCCGATAATATTCATTAAACTGTAATATTTAACAATTTATTTTATTCAAAAAGTGAAGAAATGAAATGGAAGTTCCTTTCGTGTGCTATATGAAAACTGAACAGCGGTGCATAATTGTATCCGTCGGATCTAAAACGAAATGAATGAGGATCGGTTGTACGATGTATATTTTGTTTTTGTAAATTTGTAGTATACACATGTGGTAGTTTCCATAACAACAAAAACTGTGGCAAATCACAATTCGTTAAGAACTGTCATTGGAATAACAGTTGTTGTATTGATATAAGATCTGGAATGTGCAGTCAAAATAAAGACACAGTTACAGTCAAAAAGGTAAATGTGACTGCCTTGAAACTCTTTAAAACTGGACTTGACATTGTGCCATAGCAAAATGTAAAAAGACAATGTGTCATCTTTATTTGAATATAAGATCAAAAGGGAAAAAAGGTTTTATATGTACATGTCCATGTGATTAACAGTAATATCGCTTCTAGTGAAATTGCTGAAAAATGTATTGAAATTTTACACCATATGCTGATACGACTTTATAGAAAATGTTATTCCACCATTATCATGCTGCCTGTGGAAACATATGATAATAACTTATAAGATATACTATAAAAGAAAAAAGAGGAAAGCGATACTAAGGAAACAATTGAAACACATAATTCGAAGAAAATAGACAATACCTTGACAAAAGAGAAAAATGAAGGAAGACAAAAAAAAAAGCTCACAAGTCACTACACAGAAATCCAAGGTCTGAGCAAAACAACTCTCACAAAAAACAGTGGTAATTTAGTTGCTAATATATACAACACGATAAAATAAATTGAATTAACCAAGTCTTGTAGATCAATGTTGTTAGCATACTGGTAAAGATAACGTAAAAGAAATATAAAAGGAGCATTATCATATTCCTATTTTTTAAATGAAGATAGATCAGTTTTTAGTTTTCTATGTTGTATTTTGTGCACTGTTGTTTGTCTTTTGATTTTTGTCTTTTCCTTTTTTTTTTTTGCCATGGCATTGCCAGTTTAGTTTCGACTTATGAGTTTGAAAGTCCCTTTGGTATCGTTTGCCTCTCTTTAAGCAGTTATACATTTACAGATTTATCCTGTGAGTGGACCAGTCAAAGGAGGGACATCAATAATTGTATCTGTCAATAACGAAGACGATGAGCCGGATTATTTTTTCATTGATGGAGCTGAATGCACCGACATTACAGAAGAAAAGGACGATAAGGACGATTTTACGTAAGTTTACCGTAGTAATGCAATAGTTTCTGAATATAATATCGATATCTAGAATATAGTTTGGCTATTTTTGTCAATGAGTTGCTGTCTGATTCATATACACCCACCATTTCCTTTTATTCATATATATTTATGAAACGTTAAATTGTTTATGTAAAAAATACAGAAGCTATGATAAGATGAATAAGAAAGACGAACACACCCTAAACCACACAAACCAGATATCAGAAACTCACGAGATACCAAATAGGGACAAGAACGCTTGCACAAACAACATATATAGAACGATAAAAACAACAGATGAAATTTAGGAAATAAGTAACTGAAATCAAAGTTATTGCACTTTAAAATACAAGGAATATCAGAATACTCGAACAGCATATTGTTTTTTCTCATTAGTAAACCCAGAAGTAGAGTTAATGCCACATTAGAAGAGGAAGACAGTTCGTAAGTTTACCATAGTAATGCAATAGTTTTGAAATATTATATTAACACCAAGAATATAATTCGGCTATTTGTTGTCAATCAGTTACTGTTTCATTGATGTATATCACACATTTCCTTTGTATTCATACATATTTATCAAACGTAAGATTGTTTATGTTAAAAATACAGAACCTATGATAATATTCAATTGACAAAACGAAATGGTTTCTGAACCACCTAGTAAAGTTTGTATTAGTAACAATTTTCCTGAAATTATGTATAGGTCAAAAAGAGTAAGATTGACACACTCTAAACCACACAAGACACAAAACTGTGCAGAAATTTCCAGGGACAGTACACATTCAAGATACCAAACAAGTACAAGAACGCATGCACAAACAACAAACGATAAAAACAACGGATACATTTTAACGATTTAGAGACTGAAATAAATAGTTTTACAATTTAAAATATGATGAATAAATCGAAATACTCATACCGCATATTGTATAACCAAATAGTGGAACTAAAAGTAATTAAGGTGTAGTATCTATTATAATACAAATGAATGCCTTCAATTATTTTGAGATTTTCAGTTCATACCGACCCACCAATTGAAAAAGATATTACATTGTGCAATTCTATACCTGAATTGGATTCTGAATATTGAGTTATTTATGATCAATATGGACCTTAAGTAACTAATAGTTATTCAATGAATATCCATATTTTTCAGCAGGTTCAGTTGTATAACTGGAGAAGTTTCAGAACCGAATAATGGCAAAATAAACATGTCATTTAAAGGTCGTCCAAGCCCTATCGTGAAAAATACATATTTTACATACAAGGTAAATATATTGAATAAGAACGTTTATTAGATGGACAAAGTATACGCAAGTAAATTTTGTACTTTTGAGATAATTGAAATTTTCGACATTTCTTGTCCAAATGAAACTGCATTGAGATATGTTGACAAGCGATTCAAAATCATTTTACTGCTACAAATCCATTGATGCAATGTCATAGTTGCCGTGGATATTCACAATCCCGTAAATATGTAATATTTTGAATAGACTATCGATTAATGCGCATTATATTTGCTGTTAGTTGTAAATATCCTGATGATTGTTTTGGAGATCACGTTTTACCGTGTATTTGCTAAAATTTCACATGTTCACTTTGCAAATTTTTAAAGATCTTTCGAAAATTGATGATGCGTTTTTTTAAAATTGATCGTACTAATAATTGCACCAATAGTATGATTGATGTGCTTGCAGAGATGCATATAACACCAACGGAACAGTCTTCTGACCGACTTGCAGATTTTTATATAACTTCTCGTACTTACATCCTTCGTTACAAGGAAAAGAAAACATTCCAATCATTAATTCAAAAGCTGATGTAGATTAATCTCTTAAATTGACCGTTTCAATAGATATTTGAATATTTTTATTTACTGCATGTATATTGTTGCTAGTCATTGGGGGAACCAAATTAGCACAGGCTATCCAAATTAACACAGGCTATGATCAATTTGTTCCATTATTATCTTCTGCAAAATTTTGTGTATAGATAACATATGTATTGTTTTTGGAAGGAAATATGCATTTTATTACTATGAATAACAAAATGTATCTAATATTTCTAATTGAGAGCAAATTAGTAATCATTAATAGCTTTTATGTGAAAAATGGTTTTCATGAACTGTTGTGCACTCCTATTATTTCAATATTTACCATTCTATGACAAAGCAATTAAAATTAAACGAAAACGTCAATATCAATTGTTTGCAAAAAAAACTTGAAACATTTATATCTTATCATCAAATTATTTTTTTCTCACTGAACAATTCTAAAAATCATTTATAAAATGAGTTGTTCCTGTTGTTCTTTCAGAAGTATGAAAAATGCATTATTAATGCCACGAGATTCTGTTTAATTCTTTATTTTTTCCTAATATCGATCGATTCGTGGAGTAAAATCAACATTGATATTTCAGGTTCCAGGTGACATCCATGATTTTCATCCTATGAAGGGAATTTTAGCTGGAAATACAACCATTACCATAACAGGCCAAAATATTACGTTTGAAGGACCAGACCGATACACCATAGATTTCTGTGATAGATATAACGTTATCTGCATAGAATGCAGGTTATTTGAAATTAATTATTCTTATATGATTTTATAATATTGATTTACATGTAAGCAAAATTAAATTACAATACATAAATAATCATACGAGTTCCATTTTGGTCGACTTTTTTTTGCATATGAAACATTTCATCATCTGTCACAAAGTCATTTATAATGCAATTGTTTACCTTGATTGAGAATTTTTTTTAAATTTTCAGTTGAACTATAACAAGGCAAACATAAAGATTCATTTTTTCATTAATTATAGCGAGAAGATATACAGAACTATACAAGTTGACGTGGGATATCGAAATCCAGAAAATAATACTATTAGTTACATAGTGTGCTAGTGACCTAATACGATATATATAGGGTCAGTAAATTCCATAAGCGGTGAGAGCGAAGCGTAAATCCCCATATTGAATTTACTGACCCAATATATATCGTATAAGGTAACTTGCACACTATGTAACAAATTTATCTTACCGACTATCTTAAAATGTGGTATTTAGACTAGTGGCCTATCAAAGTTATCAAGTCTTCAATACCGTTAGTATTAAGAACCTACTTCCATTGGTCTATACAAAAACAAATGCCAACAATAACAATTTGTTAGCTTTAAATGTATTTTATGAATTTATTTCAATCGTTCATCATCAATTTCTTCGTCTTATGAAACCTTTAAGATTTTTCCTCAACACCTTGTTGTTTTTTATGAAGGGACGTAACACCACTACTAACCGTGTATTGAAATAAGTCCTGCCTATTAACCCAATATGGAATATACACGGTCTCTACGCGGTTGCTTTTAACCAATCATTCCCTAGAACTGTATACGAGGATAGATAAAAGACATTACCAATTTAAACGAGATAACTAACAAAAAAACAGAGTATGCGAACACATGAAACTGAAGCTATGCGTACTGCAGAATTTCATTAAAATGATAGAACACCAAGTTGTGCCGACAGGTTTAACATAGCCTTCTATCTTTTTTCGGAAATTTAGAAATGCTTTCATCTTCCAATTACACATAGCAAGTTGAGTCAGTCAAACTTTAGTTTGAACTACACGTAGTAGTATTTCTCATATGACAAATAACTCAAGTCTAATCATGAATCTAAAGTTAAATCGAGCTTTTAACCAGGGCTGAAAGTACTTACGATAGTTAAAGTCAAAATATATTTACACTGTAAAAAAGTAGTTCAATATGACAGTAAATAGGTTAAATGTAACCTAAACATACAAGTTAGCAATATCCTTTAACTCTACGTTCCGCTATATAGATGATGTTCTCTCACTAAATAATACAAAATTTGGTGACTATGTTGAACGAATCTATCCCATCGAACTAGAGATAAAGGATACTACAGATACAGTTAAGTCTGCCTCATATCTTGACTTACATCTAGAAATTGACAATGAGGGTCGGTTGAAAACAAAACTTTACGACAAAAGAGATGATTTCAGCTTCCCAATTGTGAACTTTCCATTTCTATGTAGCAACATGCCAGCAGCGCCTGCATACGGAGTATATATCTCCCAATTGATACGATATTCCCGGGCTTGTGTTTCCTATCATGATTTCCTTGATAGAGGATTGCTGCTCACAAGGAAGCTATTAAACAAAGAGTTCCAAATTGTGAAGTTGAAGTCATCACTTCGTAAATTTTACGGACGCCATCACGAGTTGGTTGACCGTTATGGAATAACCGTTTCACATATGATATCGGATATGTTCCTTATGTCGTAACTACAATACCCTCCCTTTTCACGAATGTGACTTACCGAATTAGACTATTTACCGGATTTGTAATAACATAAGCAACACGACGGGTGCCACATGTGGAGCAGGATCTGCTTACCCTTCCGGAGCACCTGAGATCACCCCCAGTTTTTGGTGGGGTTCGTGTTGCTTAGTCTTTGGTTTTCTATGTTGTGTCATCTGTACTATTATTTGTCTGTTTGTCTTTTTATTTTTGGCCATGGCGTTGTCAGTTTGTTTTCGATCTATGAGTTTGACTGTCCCTCTGGTATATTTCGTCCCTCTTTTGTATACTGTTACTGTGACTTGATAAGTGGTGTTCCTCTCCACCTATGGAAGTTCATTCAATTTATTGCATATTTGCAATTTGTTTCATATCAAAATGTTCAACTGGTTAGAAATTTCATAATTTTAGATAATTTACAAAAATCAAGTTTGAAGCAGGTATTTTCTTATATTAACGCGGCAACGACTAACCTTTAATGGCGTCAGCTCTTTTAAATTCCCAAACCGTTGTTATAAAAATTTCGAAATATATGTCAAGTTAACTGCAGAAACACATTATTTCGTGTGTTATATATAATGTTTTTTTACTGTTAGTTTTTAAACAATTTTTTAATGTGGTTTCATGTTGTTTCAGCATTTTTGATAGTGTAAATATGAATGATTCCAAAATAATGTGCAAAACTGGGGAATCAAATGAAACTCGTAACTTGACACAGTTGGTGGTTGTTATAGATACGTTGACAACATTACGACTGAATAGAACATTTCAGTATTTACCGGATCCAACATTTGATATTTCGAATGAAACTTTAAAAGCTATAGAGAGGTGGGTATTTATTAGTTTAGAATGCATGGTGGTATATATTCGAGAGCAAATTAGTGACAGCGAACATTTTCAACAGATTTTAAAGCGCCTTTCACATTCGCAAAATAGTATGTGTCTTATTAATTAAACGGTCGATGATATATTAGAAGATACACTATTTCTATAAAAGGTTAAAAACTGTATAGTGTATTATCTAAGGTTTAAGACTTTTTGATGTTGCATATAACATGTATAAGGTTAAAAACTTTATAACGTCTCATTTAACAGTACACACCTTATAACGTCTAATACAAGGTTAAAACAATATAATATCTGATACAAAGTTCTTAATAATGTATCATATTAGATTGAAAACTTTACTATGTCTCATATAAGGTAAAAACTTTATAATGTCTCATATGACGTTTAAAGCTTCTAACATAAGTAATACATCGTTACGGAAGTTCGAATCTGTCCCGCTATAATTTGAGCATTCACAAAAATGCAGTGTATTTCTGTAGGGCTTAATAGTTAAAGTTAGAGCTATTGAAAGGTGTGGTAAACCAAGTGTGGACAATTAAAAAAGATGTTCTGTTAATTGTATTATTAAGACTTGAAACAAGTACACTGTTTCTGGTTTCCAATGGTATCAAAATGCACTTTATAACCTCATTACCTGGTGATTTGAACAGTGTTAGCTTTTGAGACAGAATTGAATTAACCCAGTTAAGTTAAGGAACCACAGAGTAATGCTCAAAATAATTATATGAATGATATTCCTTACATTTTAATTATCATGTTTACAGTATACATGATCCATGTCACTTGTGGACATTTACAAATTTGTGTGATTTTATTTTTTAGTGGAGGCGCTAAATTTACAATCAATGGTGATGGTTTCAAAAACGTTGGACAGATAACTGTCGAAAGAGTGGTAAGTGATTCATGTGATAGGTATAGAGACATATCGAAACACGAATAGGTATCTAGATCCTCATATTTAGGACGATGTATGACCATTTTTATCAACTAAATAGTTCCTTATATACCGTATTGTATGGCTTTTGACAGATTTAACATTATTTGGCAATATCCTTTGTTTTGAACAAATGTAGGATTTCAGAAATGTCATAATTTATTTAAATAGATTTATTGTCAGATAGACTATATTAAATTGAAAAGAAAGGGTGTAGTGTTTTCATCCATAACACAAAATCTTTACACACACTTGTCAAATATATAGAAAAGAAACGGCGCACTATTTCAAAACTGCAGCGAGGACTTAAACACAGAGCAAACGCTCACACCTCACTATACGTTTAAGACTTCTCTAAAACCGGTTTGTAGATATATTAAATAAACTTATTTATACCGAGAGATGAAGGTCTGTTTGTACAATAACCACGGTGCGAAGCTATTAGTTTCAATCGATATTCACACCATCTTGCAATTATTAATAAGTAACTGTTAGTTGTGATTGGTTGTTTATGGTGTGGCTAAGATTCTTTAGACTTCAATGATTTATAAAAATGGGAACCCGTCAGGAAAGGGAGAGGAAAATACATACGGATAGTCTGACAGTATGGGTATTCGAGATCCAATCGATGAATTTGTTGCTATAGAATCACATAGTGTTGTACAAGCGCTGATAGTTAAACATGATACACATATTACTACACATTTCCTATGTTAGCTTTAATCTGTATAACACGATTAGTTTTATTCACATTATACCCTATGTATGGTGGTTATAGAATACCATCAGTCATTACATATGCTATACAAAAATGATAGCTCTCTTCATTGATGTGTTCACTCGATGCTGACGGAAATGCTATAATAAGGTATTTATTTGTCAAAAGTAATCACAATTTAGAACGTATGAATCTAAAACTGAACTTTAAAAAACAGAACTACACAACAACCAACCCAGAAGTATATAACGTCAACATTGCAGATGTAAAAACTCGGAATATGGTTAATGAAATACTTCTAAAAATCACCAAAAAAACAAAAACCACAAAAAACAAAAAACAAAAGCCGGCGTTAATTTATGATACTTCGAACCACTCCGTACCTTTTTTTGAAAGATTAAATTATATTCAATAATGATTAATTACATTCCATAACATTGACTTCCGCGGACTTCTTTGATAGATTTCAATGACGTTCATTTGTTCTAAAACAAAATTCTGATGCAAGTATCATTCAGTAATAACAGAATGGTACAGAAAAACAATTCTTCTAAAATACCATCTTTATTTTCCAGACAGTATTTTTGTAAAAACCGGAAACAATAATTATCAAAAAGTTTAGGCAAACACAGGTCTTATCTAGAATTTTGTTACATAAATTGTCAGGAAACAAAGTATGAATATAGGTTAAATTATTCAGACAGCCATATAGTTAAATAAAACTGCACCCCTTTAACCACTTGTTTTGTAGTTCTTCATTTCAAAGTCACATTAAGAACTCCCTCACGTTGAAAAAGCTCGCAACGCACCACAAATTAATATAAGAATTTTATAAGTTATTTTTCATAGATATATATATATACATCATTTAATCATTTAACTGTCACAAATTGGAAGAAACACAACAAAGCAAACAATGTTGAAAGAGGGGGTTAAAATCGAGAACATTCATATCTGTACTTTTACTTACCTTCTTTTTTTTTAGGATGAGCCTTGTGAAGTACCTTCTGATAAGCAAGCTGTTTGCCAAACACCTGAAAAATTACTAAATCAGCCAAATGTCCAAACTGTTATTGTTAATTTTGACGGAATAGCACGTACTTTTGAGATTAATTATGTTGATGATCCTTCTTTCGAAAGGTTCGATGGTGTAGTTGATTATGACAAAGAATCTCCCATTACAATCAAGGTAAGTAAAGCAAAATCAAGAATCAACTAACACAATTTGAAAATTAAATAATGAATTTCTCTTATATCGCTCATAAAATAATAATGTATTGCACATGGAAATATAATTATCATTTAATATAAAAACAGCTGATGTTGAATCGTTCATAATCAAGTACAACTATTTCGTTATGAACCTTCCAACAGTTTTATTTGAAACCGCCCTTCAGATTCAGAGAGCTGACTGTGGAATAGGTTTTTTTTCAATTTGTAGCCATTTTGGAATATTAGTACTAAACATATTTAAGCATTTTAGTCCCCAGAAGTAACATCGTCTATGTAGCCAGTGCTTCTGGACTGAAATAATCTATATCATACCTTTTTTTAAATGTTCTGTTGATAAATATTATGAAGATAAGGGTCCACATCCAACTCCTCAGTAGAATTTGACCTTAGATGGATTTGGCTATTTTGGGGTCTCTGTTGGTTATATAGTATCTATGGTGACATCCTTGGATTTTTGAGTTTGAGCGTTCCTGTTGAAGGCTATTCCAAACATCGTTTCAGACGCAATTTAAAAAGTTTTACTTTCTGTGATGTTGATAATGTTTTTGGGGGATTCTCCTGAGACAAAATCAAGGACATTTTTAAAGAGAGTTATAGAGAGTAATCCAAAGTTACGAAGTGTTGCGCAAATTCGTTGCTATCTATCCATTGCCAGTATAAACAATATAAAGCAATACAATTACATTTCAAAAACATTGCACAAAATTAACGTAGGAATATGTGAGGAACATTCACTCGTTTTCAAATAAAACGAAAGACAAGTATTTGCATTTTGTTCAAATTGTTGACTGAATTTGCACTGCATGTAGAATTTTGCTGCACACAACGTTAAGTTATAGAGAAAGTGCAAATAACTGTCCAGGAGAAATAATAGAGCGAAAACGATGGAATAACGACTCGCAAAAAAAAAATGTTTGTTGATATGACATAGAATTACTACGTTGTCATTGCTCAATCAGTACGATCCAAACTTAAAATCCAGTATAAGTCGTTTAAGTAAAATATATCTTCATTCAATATTGCGTTTCGACCTTCAGAAATATTTCCTTGGGTGGACACTTTTTTAAGAAAGTGCCTATGGAAATATCCAATTGGTAAAACGTCCCAATGAACAAAGATGAACAAAAGAAAATACCTCTACCTTCCTGGAAAAATAATGGAGCGTTTGAATTAAAGATTTACGTCACAGGTGTATTTTAAAAGGAAAACTCCTCAAACATATTAGGCTCATGATTAAAAACGCCAAATGCATTGCGTCTACATTAGACTCATCAGATCGATACAAAGCAGAAAAACAACTTACAAAAGCACAGACCGGACGTGACAGGGTATTTATACATCCCTAACAACAAAAAACACACAAAGTACAGATCTGAGAGAACTCGCAGTTACTGACAGCTAGTTCAAAGCCAATAACAACTCATACAAAAAAATCTTGTATCTTAGACTAAAATACAATAACAATACTATTTTAATATGGTTTTAATTTACTGATAACAAAATCAATATCTTTACTAACAAAAACACTATTCAAAGATCTAATTACAGAGTTGAATTGGTAATCTTTTATAATAAGTTTATTTAAAGGAAAGACAAGTCTACCCGGATCGTATTTAAATTTCCTTGCTCGGTAAACAACATCACCGTAAAATTCATATCTACTTCTTCGTGTTCTCGCTCCTTAATAATGCAACATCAAAGACAACGTCTTGACAACACTTACTGTTTTATGACGATTTCAGAATTAATCACACTTGTGAAATTATTTGTTATTATTTGACTTAAAATCACGTGTTTCAATGTAACCAATGTAACAAAACTCATTTCGATGAATATTATATTATATTTTAAATACCTTTCTTCTGTCTCTTTTTAGATTTCAATTTTTTTCAAAACAAGTTCATATAAATTATTTCTCAATACTTATCTTTTTAATGCTATGTTTTCATTATTATCTTTCCCTATAGGGTAAAAATATTTTAAATGGAGCTGGAATCGGAGATTACAACATACAAGTTGGTTTGGACGGAAAATGTCTCCTCGAATCTGATTCTGACATAACAATGAATTATATCAAGTGTGTTCCACCAAAAAACGTTCCTCGAACAAATAAGTCAGAAGTAAATACAGTTCATGTAATTGTAAGTATAAATAAAAATAATCTGTCCAATATTTGACAATTGAGTATGTTAACTTATAGACAGCAGAAAAAAATACCTAAATTCGAAGCTTGTAGATCAGTTGTAAATGGAACCACTTATTGTATAAGGAAAATTTGTACAAGTTTTTGAGGCTATTATTAAAGGAAATTATTTTGTATTTGATTTTGGAGCAATTATACGCGGTAACGTATTCCATACCTGGTTTTGGTCTTGTTTTTTTTTAAATAGCTCTTATGTTCTTCTAGGATGTACATAAGTGTTGAATGCTTTTACAGGTTGGGGTTGGTAGGATAGAGGTATATATTGGTGACTTACAGTACCAGGAAGACGTAAACGTATTAGCAATTATAGTTGGTGTTTTAGCCGCTGCATTGGTAACTGCTGTTATAATTGGCATATTTGCTGTTGTGGTTTTAAGAAAGAATAAGAGAAAAACTATCAAGGAATTCAAAATGGAACTTATGACACGTGAAGAATTGGTACGAAAAACTAGCAGAGAAGGTACTTATAAATGATAATAATGTAAAAGGGACATTGTCAATGGTTAATTGGGCATGTAAAAAATGTGTATCTGTATGCAAATCTGTTGATCAATTATGACTAACTAAAAAGTGGAATTAAAAGTGTTAATATTCTTAATGTTCAATTACAATTACTCAAGAAACTATTGTAGAATAAAATTGAGAATGGAAATGGGGAATATGTCAAAGAGACAACAAACTGACCAAAGAGCAAAAAACAGCCGAAGGCCACCAATGGGTCTTCAACACAGCGAGAAGATCTCGCACCCGGAGGCGTGCTTCAGCTGGCCCCTAAATGAAAATATGTACTAGTTCAGTGAAAATGGAAGTAATACTAAACTCCAAAACATATAAATGAACTTAAATTAAAAAAAAACAAAACTAACAAAGGAAAGACTCCTGACTTGGGACAGGCGCAAAAATGCGGCTGGGTTAAACATGTTTTGTGAGATCTCAACCCCCCCCCTTATACCTATAGCCAATGAAAAATAAACAAACACACAGCAATGCGCACAGTAAAACTCAGTTTAAAAAAAGTCCGAGTCCGATGTCATAATAGGTAACAAAAGAAACTAAGCAAATGACAATGATACATAAATTAACAAAGGACTACTAGCAGTTACTGACATGCCAGCTCCAGACTTCAGTTAAACTGATTGAAAGAGTATGTCTTCATCATATGAAAATCAAGCACAATCCCTTCCGTTAGGGGTTTAGTATCATACCATTTTAAATGAATTATTGTAACATTTTTTTATGTAAGTTTTTGTGATGTTCATATATTTTAACGTAAAGTTATTTTCAATGAGGGTCGGTTGAGAACCAAACTTTCCAACAAAAGAGCTGACTTCCATTTTCTCATTGTAAATGTTTCATTACTATCTAAAGAATTCAAGTAGCACCTGATAAAATATGAAGTATATATTTCCCAGTTTATACTTTATTCCATAGTTTACGTTACGTATCACGATTTCCTCTATAGGAAGTTGCTGCTTACAAGGCATATATATATAATCAATTGTAAATCAAAATTCAATACATTTATGAGACAGTTTTATTGGTGAAATCATAAATTCATTGACTGTTAGATATTGTAATTAACATGAATTTGTTACATTTGTACACATACTCCTGTTTTCTCAGGTGGTGTCATCAACCAAAGCGACTTAACATAGGATTGTCATTGGCAATAGACAAAACGACTGATACCACTAGTTAATCTTTAATTTTCTGGAATACCTCAGTTAAATTTCTGTCACTTGTTTTTGTGACTCATTTTTTTTCCGTGTGGTGTTTTGATGGCGCTTTTTTCTTCTTCTTAAATACAATAAGTGGTGCTTAAATCAAAACAGTTGGTAGGTCAAATCAATTAAAAGGTAAGAGCATTGAAAAGAAATATTTAAAAAAGACAATTACCAGATGAAGAACTTTTAACTTTTCCACAAAACTTGTGAAAGTGACACAAGCACTTTTGAAAGCTAAAAGTGAACTCGGGATGTTCCAGACACAACATACAGGTTGAAACACTGACACTAAGAGAATATATTTCACAAAAACAACTCGGACTACAATATCAAAAGCAACACAAACTAGGAATGACCCCCTGTGATATGGAATGATAGCAGTCGTATTGCTCATGATTAAAATACAATAAAGAAGTAAAAAAGGTGGTGTGACCTCTTTTGGACTAAGGTTAAAGCAGTTGAATGTAAAGCGTGATTTCACAGTCTACCATCAAGACAAGATGCATCAATAATTAGTAATAGTATAATTGTAATCTGGTAGTTAGTGTAACGTAGAGAAAGTTTGGTATGAATTACATGCAGCATCCACACATAATTCTATAAGTGATATGGAACATGTCCAAATGAACCCAGATTTCTCTAATGTGATTCTTTGTGATATATTGAGATAATGTAGCGATGTATATTTGCAGTTACTATCACTCCAAAAGCTGCTCATGTTGATAAGCTGTGGTATCTGATTATGTAGCACTTGGAACAATTCTTGTTTTTACGAATTTCTTAAATTCTGAATTGTATTGTTATTTCGCTTTCAAATATTTTCTATTTCTTTGTTAGAATTTGCGGATGCTCAGATGACAATGAGAAGTATCAAATCTGAACTTTTCACCTCAAAGGTGCCATTTTGTGACTACCAGACGTATGTTTTTCGTCAGCTCTTTCCAAACCAAGATATAACAACCAATCCTTTACTCCACGATTTAGAGGTAACATGTATACCATTGTTTTAGATTTAAACATAAATCTTTGAGATCAGTTTCAAGTAACTTATTTTCAAGTTTTATTTAGCTTTTAATGTTTTGGCCTCTAATTATACATGCAAATATAAAAAAGAAGATGTGGTATAATTGCCAATGAGACAACTCTCCGCAAGAGACCAAATGACACAGAAATTAACAAATATAGGTCACCGTACGGCCTTCAACAATGAGCAAAGCCCATACCGCACAGTCAGCTATAAAAGGCCCCGAAATGACAATGTAAAACAATCCAAACGAGAAAACTAACGGCCAAATTATGTACAAAAAATGAACGAACAAAACAAATATGTAGCACATAAACAAACGACAACCACTGAATTACAGGCTCCTGACTTGGGACAGGCACATACATACAGAATGTGGAGGGGTTAAACATGTTAGCGGGATCCCAACCCTCCCATAACCTTGGACAGTGGTGTAACAGTACAACATAAGAATGAACTATTAAAATCAGTCGAAAGAGGCTTAACTCATCAGATGGATAAAAATACAAATACTACAAATACAAGTGGACGTGGCCGGGTACTTGTACATCCAAACAACAAAAAGACAATAAGTACAGATCTGAGAGTACTCGCAGTTACTAACAGCTAGTTCAAAGCCACTAACAACTAATAAAAACATCATGCATCTAAGACTAAATTATCAATCCGTACACATCCAACATCCAATGGATTTAGTGTAAAGACGTCATTAACAGTCATAGAAAAACATGACCTTGTGCAATGCCAAGATACAGGTATCGACAGATTGTAGATCCATGAATGTGTATATGTATATAACAATAATATTTAGTTTGCTTTTAATTTACTGATAACAAAATCAATATTAGTACCAATAAAAACAATATTTAATGATCTAATTACAGTGTTGAATTGGTAACCTTTTAGAATAAGTTTATTTAAAGGATCGATAAGTTTACCAGGATCGTTTCTAAATTTCCGGGCACGGTAAACAATATTGCCGTAAAAATGAGGATGTGCAATCCCGTTTGAAATAAGTTTTCTACAGATACAACCAAACTTCAAAACCAAATCTTGATATCTGTGGAAGAATTTAGTAAAGGTTTTAAGTAATTTGTGGTAACGAAACCCCTGGCTTAATAATTACATAGATTACGTTCGTTAAAAGCACGTTACCCTTGTCCGATCTCGAAATGTAAGGAGTATATGAGATCGAGAAGTTTTCATTTTGAATATTCAAAAAATATATAGCAGTTTTAAACCTCTGTGTAATAAGTTGTTCTTATTAAATAACGACTGTTTTTCACATGAAGTGGACTAAACTGTCGTTCGTCAGTTCGTTAGTCATATGATTTCCGTACGATTTTAATTGATAGTCCCTTTGGTGTTTTTTGTCTCTTTTTTTGTCAAACAAAATGTAAGTTTATTAATGAAACATGACATGAAGTTTCCAGAACTATGCACAAAACGCCAAAAGGACAATCAACACTATATTCAAAGAAACAAAACACAACACCATTGTCAAAAAGGAAAATACGAAACAAAACGAAACAAACAATATTGTTTATGAGCAACACAGATAACAAACGGTTGGGCAACAGGAACCCCATAAAAACGAGAGTCTAGTGGACTTTTGTAAATATATCGTACTCAAGTAAAAAAACTTTTATTCTCATAATAAATGTTAAATGTAAAGTTGTTCTGTTGGTATTTAGACAGTGCAGTAGACAAACATAGCATGAACATCTATCTTTGGAAATTTCTTTGTAGAATGTTACCATGTTGGTAATTTTTTAAAAATGGTGTGTGTTATACATTCAAACCACTAGTACGCTTTACTAATGTAGTACTTTTTCAAATACAATGATTTTCCTTTACCAGGAAATGTTAAAACATTCATCTTTTTATTTAAGGTATCGCATGAAAGAAAAGTCGGAACTAAGACTGCGATTGACAATTTTGAAATTTTATTGTCGAATAAACTTTTTCTGAAGTCACTAGTTCAAACATTGGACCGTCCAAATATGCTGACAATTCAAGAAAAGTAAGTAGATATTGTTGGTTTCAAAATTTACCTAGGTAATTTGAAACTGTTGATATTGTCTTATTATCTGCTTTAATAAGCTTATAAATATTCAAATATGTTCCTCTTTTTCCCCTTTTTACGCACAGATATATTCTAATTATAAAAAAAACATGGGTTACAATTGAGTGTAGTCACAATAAAACTTGCAATGTCCTTTGTATTTTTTAACGACACCAGAGATCGAAATAAAAAAATTATTCAAAAATTAAGTCTATTTGTATTTGTACGCCTTTTAACCGTCAAATGCAAATTTTTAAAAGACTTTTGTGTCATTAAATCAAAGTGGCTGCCTTTCGAACGTCTCTTATATGATCGTTTCGATGGGAAAAAACTCAACATGTTTATGACAATATAATGAACTTTCACCTGAAATTTCTTATAGAAAGCGACCACAATATAATATCCTATTCATTGATAAAAAACAACATAATTTTTGAATTTTATTATTTTTCAAAAATCAACATACTTTTGGAATTTTACTATTTTGGGGACCAACTTATGACTCTTTTCAAACCTCCACCTTTAATTCTGTTACTCATTCTAATTATATTTAATTCATTTCGATGAAAGAGTGTCTTAATGGTAGGGTCTACATTTCTGTATTATTTCATTTGTAAGCCATTTTTTTCTAATATTAATTTTTGTCCATTATTCTATATATATTTTTTTTAAGCACATCATCATTCTGAATTGTTATATTTTTGTCTATTTTCTCAACTAATCATTATTTTGTATATTGTTCTCTATCTGTACACCCAACAAGATCCTCATTAATTAATTAAAAATTGATTTCAGAGCACATTTTTCATCAGTTCTTTCAATTTCTTTGATGGGAAATATGAGACTCTTCTTCGAGTAAGTATAAATTAAATAGGACGTAATTTTCCTGAACCAACTATTTTCATAGAAGAATTAAACCTTCACTCGTCAGAATATGAAGAAAAATTATAAAACAAAAAAATAACGACAACAGGCCGCTGCTAGGACGTGAATTGATCAAATTATTTTCGATGAATTATTCGACTGAAGAAAATTTAAACAATACGTATACTGGTATGTTCATAGATCTGCGACTTCTTTTTACATCAAACGGAATGTTTATATTCTCAAAGTTTTTGACAATTGATTCATAGAAGTTTTGAACACTTGAAATGTAACTACTGACAACAAAATCCAGTATACAAGGACGTCTTCTATCTTTCATTGTTTAAAATCTGGAGAAAAAAAAACCCTGAAACTATGCACATTTTGAGTAGATATAGCAATTTCTTTCTTGTCCTAAAATTACTTTTTTTTTTATAAACATACATACTTAATTTTGTTTGGTAGTTTGATAGAGTGTCTAATGGTTGATAGGATTCGGTCAGCTACTAAAAAGCAACACAAAGTTTTATTTAGAAGGTAAGTAATGTATTCCTGATCATATGGGTTGAAGGGCCAATGTGAGCTGTCTATTTGGCATGGCGTCCCACGCTCATTCATTGAATGTTTATATAAAACAAGACTATTACCGGTTTTGGACCTGCGTCGCTGCATGAAATTGATTTAGGTTAAATGCATACTGAAGCATAACTGATCATTCCCTTCCATAGAAAACAAGAAAAGTTTGACGAGAAATTTCCTTGAACAGTGAGTGTTGTAAAATGTCAAACTATCGGCAAACAGGAAGTGGCTGCACGACTTTTGCGCTACAGTTCAACATTATCAAGCTGAGGACCAAATATAAAATCATTCCCTTCATTAGAAATTAAGAAAATTTGACGAAAATTTACCTGGTACAATGAGTGGTGTAAAATTTCAAACTATCAGCAAACAGTAATTGGCTGCATGGCAGATGGAAACATTGCTTACGTGTTTCAACTAGGCATTATCAAAATGCAAACCAAATGTAAAATCATTTTCTTCCTTAGAATCCAAGAATGTTTGACGAATGTTTTATACCCTAAGTCTTTTGAACGGACGGACGGAAGGAAGGACAGATTTGAACGGATACTAGACTTTCTTTCCCTTTGCTGATGCAGGTAAAAACAGCTGATTTCAATTCAAAAAAATAACATATCCTTTCCAATGTCGGCAAATAGACGACAAGTTCCTTTAGACCAATTACCATTAACAGGATAAGAGGGTAAACAGGCAAAACTGTTATAGTTCATCTTTATATCAACTTTTAATGCATTTAACCAGATAGTCGTATAAACAATATTAACATATTTTGTTTTTTGTTTCACTTTTTGCTTCTCCGAACATCTGCCATGTCCAATAAATAAGATAAGTTTATAACAACGGCATTATCAGTACTGTTTTTAATTCTACTAGCAGATACTTTGTTTATTTTCTTATGTTTTTAGTTTTGTTGTGAGAAATTACAATTTTAATATCTTGATTATTTAAGGACTTCGAAAAAGATTAAGGTGGGTAATGGCAATCCCATTTCACCTTCTTCAGATTTTTTTTTTAAATAAACCTGGAAAAGTTTTTACAATGAACTCCTGCTTTACAAGTTCGCTATTGTTATGGTTTTATTTTTTTTTTTTTAAATGGTTGCCAAAAGGATTATGGTTTAGTTTGCACATTTGTTTCGCAAAAAAGATACAATGAGACAATAAAGACCATTCAAGTATGTCAAACGTTTTGAAGATGACGTTACAGACATGCATTGCATTTAAGGTTCACAGGAATAACAATTTACTTTTAATTTCATACTAAATCTTACGTATTCGGACGTTTTTTTACCCGATATAATTTTTCGGTACGGAAATTCTCCCTCTGTGTTCTTGCCTTCAAATAGATTCATCATAGATATCAGAATTAGATTGTTCGTCTACATAAGACTCATCATTGACGCTCAAACAAAAAAAAATTAAAAGGCCAAATAAGTACGAAGTTCTAGGGCATGAGGATCTAATTTCTGAAAGGTTTTGCCAAATACAACTAAGGTAATCTATTCCGGGGTTAGAAAATCCTTAGTATTTTGAAAAATTTAAATTTTTGAAAACAGTTAATATATAATTCTGACCATATCAGTGATAATTCATGCTAACACAGAAGTGCTGACTACTGGGCTAGTGATAACATAGGAAAGGAATCCCCAATCAAGATTACTGTTATATGTTTGGCCTGAAGATGGTTCAGATCAATGCTAGCATTTTGTATATATAAATCCAGTATTAAAACTTGTATGAGCTGGAGATGGCCAATCTTACATTTGAACAAACATGTCAGTTGATCAATAAGGCTTGAACAAGGTCTTGTTTTAATATTCACTTGTTTTAAACATTGTTGGACACGTTTTGATACGTTTTCGTTTTTGACTTGAACTTTCGAATCAAAATTATGCGAAAATGTCCAGTACACAGAATATTTAATTATTGAATTAACAGGATTGTCTAGTTTGCAGTGCTCGTTATTTTGTAGGTTTGAATCTATCACTCTGAGATTGATGGCAAACTGGTTACAGATAGGACTTTATGGACAATTAACGGTAATTAGTGTTGTCTTACCTTGATGACAACAGCGAACAACTTATCATTCCAGATAACACGATATTACATAAGTTGTTATCTACGAAACGTTGTTTTATGTATGATACTTATAATATATTAACCGGATAATGATCACGCTTCCATCATGGAAAAGAGATGTTGAATGCATTTTCTGCCTGTTCATCGGCATCAGTCGTGATGCTCTTGACGAAAAAAACCCGGCAAAGATTGCATTCGATGATATTCATGAAAGATGAAAGGGGTAACGGGATTCTGGCTACGACAAATCACAATCATGTCCATGGTCATCTTTAAAAATCAGAAAAGATAACAGGCTTATAAATGTATACCTAGACGCGTGTTTCGTATACATTAGATGTAACAGTCACACTTGCATTAAAACAGATGGAATGAAAAATTGAAAATGGAGTTGAAGGCATTAAAAACAAAAATGTCCGAAAAGTTGCTCCAAATATGGATGAGACAATTTATGCCTGGGGGTAAAGAAACCTTCATGTATCAAATAATTCAACATTTTAAGAATAGTAAATTTACAGAAAATGAAATTATTTAACACGGTTTATCACAAATCAAAGCACGATTTCGTCCTTATAACATAAAGCATTAAAAACCCATGGCTCTGTAGCTTCCTTGTAAGCAGGAACCTCTCGGAAAATCTATAGAGGAAACGCAAGCTCTGATATATTCTATCAGCTGGTAGATAAATTTTAGATTTTCCAACTTGAATTTCAAAGGTTCAAAAAGGAAAGCCAAAATTGTGTAAATAAATAGCTATCTTCACCGAATATACCATTATGACAAATTTAGGCATCGATTAAGAAGATACAAATCAAATTACAAACAAGAATTAGTTCATCACATGAACTCACAAAAGAACGAGACCAAGTGCGTACACAAGGTAAGCGTCTCCTATAATGCATGCGAATCCACACTCAGTCATAATGACACAATCGGGAATAGGACTCAATCGGTAAATTACAAAGTGACGATTTCAGCTTTGCCTTTGTCCGATTCTCAGCATAAGCATACCCTCTGCCTTATATTTTTCTTAATTTACTTTTATCAGGAACGTTTAGCTCATAGCCGAATATTTGATTGCCAGTTCTTCTTTCACAATGGATCTTTATATCTAGAACGACATTTTAAAGCCTGTTCTGCTTATCAAGATGAATGGCGTAATGTGTGCTCTTGTGTTTTGTATACTGTTGTTTGTCTTTTGGTCCCTTTCTTTTTTGCCATTGCGTTATCAGTTTATTTTCGACTAATGACTTTGCATGTCCTTTTGGTATCTTTTGCCTCTCTTTTATAACTGTCAAGAGTTATCCTAATTGATGTTTTTTTATTAAAAATCCAAAAGTGCTTCTTAAGAATAAACAATGTATCCATGGTTGTTTACATTCTTTTTCCTTTGATTAATGATGGATAGTTGTCTAAAATTGCAATTTAATGTGAATTTTAAGAGGTAAAATAATTTAGTCGTGGAAATTTTTATTTCAACTTCATAAACATTTCAGCATCAAAATTGCTATGATGCATACTTGTAAGCAAGCCTAATGTAACTTGTAGTTATCAAATTAGTTTTAATGTAACAGGATGATTGCATAATTACAGTCTCATTGTGGAATGCAACTGTTCATGATGTACAAAGCAGTGAAGACAATTGTTGAAATGGCACCAATTGACGCACTCACTTCTAATTCAAAGAACACTATCGCAGAGGAAAAACTACTAAAAATGAGGATTGAACATCAATCTCTTGTAAGAATATTTGCAAATTTATCTATTAAATATTTTTTTTTTATTATAGGATAAAAGGTATGAAAATGCAATTACAAAATTTGACTTCATTATACATTTATATATATACTGTATTCAAGAAAAAAAGTTAATATCTTTTCACTTTTGAACCTATAAATTTAACTTTTTTAAACAAAGGATAAACAAAAAAATATTGAATTTCTAATGAAATAATCAATATTGCGAACTGTGTTTATTGAAGGAAAGAATATTTTTAGTGAGATCCTTTTTTCATATTACTATAGATATTTGTTTTATTCAGACATTGCAAATAGATTTGAATGGAAATAGTGACCAGCGTTATCCTGTTAAAGTTCTAGACTGTGATACAATATCACAGGTGAAACAGAAGTGTTGTGAACAGATTTATAAGAATAAACCTTCCTTGAAAATACCACACAATGATGAACTTTCTATAGGTATGTAGTTCTTGTAATGCAATCATAAAAATGCATTTACATGTATTAGAACAAATGTATGTAGTATCTCACAGTTTCTAATTTTTTGTGCATATATGAATTTAAGTAATGACAAATTTTTATCACCTAGGACAAATACACAAAATGAAATAACTTTTAAAAGAGTTTAAGATGGTTTTTGCTGTCATTTAACTTTAAATTAGGTTAATCGTGTTTGTAAACGAGAGAAAAGATACCAAAGAGGCAAACAGAGAAGATAAAATACCAATAAAACAGACAACGACATGGCCATAGAGAAAAAAAGCAAATTGTCAAACAGCAAAAACGAAAACACTACAAAGCAAACCAATCATTGAGCAGCACGAGCCCTTTACACAAACCGGGGTTGAACCAATGTGATCCGAAAGGGTAATCATTTCCTGCTCCAATAAAGCCACACGTCTCGTTACTCATTACATGTAACCCTTTTGTTTAAACATATGTATCAATGCTACTTGAAAATAAACTGTTTGATAAACATACCAACAACATGTACTAAACTTTTGGAAAGTCTTATTATAATATAGGCTAGAAAAGGGTATTAAAAGAATTCGGTGTTTTTTATATATACATCAATGTGTTTAAGTGAGGTGTGGAGCTGGCATGTCAGTAACTGCTAGTAGTCCTTTGTTAATTCATGTTGATCATTGTCATTTTGCTTAGTTTCTTCTGTTACCTATTCTAACATCGGACTCAGACTTCTTTTAAACTGAGTTTTACTGTGCGTATTGCTGTGTGTTTGTTTATTCTACATTGGCTAGAGGTATAGGGGGAGGGTTTAGATCTCCCAAACATGTTTAACCCCGCCGCATTTTTGCGCCTGTACCAAGTCAGGAACCTCATGCCTTTGTTAATCTTGTATGTTTTTTTTTATTTTGGTTCATTTATATGTTTCGGAATTTAGTGTGACGTCCATTTTCTCTAAACTAGTACATATTTTTGTTTAGGGGCCATCTGAAGCCCGCCTCCGGGTGCGGGATTTTCTCGTTGTGTTGAAGACCCATTGGTGGCCTTGTGTTGTTTTCTGCTTTTTGGTCGGGTTGTTGTCTCTTTGACACATTCCCCGTTTCCATTTTCAATTTAATGTAGAAGTGTTTTTATTATTTGTAGATTTTGGGCTAATGGCAGGTTGTTGATTCTTTTAAATAGCACATGAAAACCATATACTAACCTTGAGATGTCTTTCGAATTGTTGTGTCATTAGGTTTCTATCTCATTTACATACACCAACCTCACCTTATTTCAACATAAAAGAGTATAATTTTATGACAATTCTCAGGTCTTCATGATTTATCCATTCTTCTTTGTTATAGCAAACAACTTCAAAGAAATTAAAAACTTGCTTTTATTAAAATTGCTTCCATTTTTATTAAACTAAAGCATTTTTAAACTTTAGTTTCACGATATTATCTATAATTATATATATATCTTAGAGTGGCAAGAAGGGAGAGCTGGAAAACTTACACTCAATGATATAGACAACACCAGTGAAAGAAACAATGGATGGGTATTTCTGAATACCTTAAAACATTATATGGTTAAAGACAACAGTAGAATGGCACTGATATACAAGCAACATGACGACCAGAATGTCAACGGTAAATGTGTATCTTTAAAATGTATGACGTTATTTTTAGCACTTGCTATTATGCTGTCATAATCTTGTATCATCACATTCTGATATATAGATGATATTCACTCACTTAATAATTCAAAGTTTGATGTCTATGTTAGTTGTACTTGAAAACCTACAGAAAAAGTTCTAAAGGTCTGATTGATGTCCAGACAAATTTACAATGTGGGTCACAATGTTAAACATAATAAATGATATACAGCATTTGTTACATGTGTCAATGAAAAAGAATCAGTCACATCAGTTTAAAGATCGGTGAGGCTTGAGATAACTGACTTACATCTTTCTGTTTTTATTGCAACATAATAAAGATTACAAGACAAAGGTATTTTAGTTTACTAATTTTTTTTCAATATAAACCAGTGAATTCGACAGCGTTCCAGGAAGAAAGTCTTATGTCAGAAGATATTACTTTACTCATGCCAGAAAACATCGAATGTGCGGAACTAGATGGCCAAAAGTGGCACCTGGTATGTAAATTTATATAATATTTCTTATGTATGTTATCATTCATATTGATGTGATACAAGTCGAATTATGAGTTTCGTACGTGTATAATCATATATAGAATGCATTTTGAGGAATTTTCAATACAAATATAACACTTCTATATTACTATTGCTTCTGACATTGTACGTACCAGCTTTCAATGGTTATTATAAAGACAGCTTGTTAATTGTTAATATATAAATAAGAAGATGTGGTATGATTGCCAATGAGACAACTCTTCACAAGAGACCAAAAGACACAGAAATTAACAACTAAATGTCACAGTACGGCCTTCAACAATGACAAAACCCATACAGCATAGTCAGTTATGAAAGGCTCCGAAATGACAAATGTAAAACAATTCAAACGAGAAAACTTACGGCCTGATTTATGTACAAAATAATGAACGAAAAACAAATATGATATACAGCAACAAACGACAACCATTGAATTACAGACTCCTGACTCGGGACAGGCACATACAGAATGTGGCGGGGTTAAGTTGGCAATGTAATGATTATACCAGTGCATCAAAGGTCAGGCTAAAAAGAGTTTTGATATTAGTTCTGATATTCTGGTATGTTCTTTTGCACATGTATCTTTATTGTTTTTTACTTATATTGATAATATCTAAATTCTTATAAATTTTTATATCTTAAAATGTGCAGGAAACAGATTTGGTGAGTAAATCATGTATACTCTTTATTCGCTGGACAAAAATGTTAAGGATCGTTTCCATTTCGAATGATGTTATTATTTGACTTCCTGTGAAAACCCAATCATCCCATTATTTGGTAACTTCGTTGGAAGTATTTTAGTTATCATACCGACAATTTCCCGTATTTTTGTCATTTTTAAAATATAAATTTGAATATCTGAAAATTACATGTTTCATATATTTGTCATTCCGTCAATGAACCTTTTGTCATTTGTTATATACTTAACAACACGTCAGTTGAAGAAAAAAGAAAAAAATCTTCATTTATCGGTATTCTATATTATGCTAATTCTTCATGGTAACTGCAAGAAACTACAATATTAGTTCTACCCAATCATGCAAATGATTTCTTACAGCATTTTACTTCAAGAACAGTTTATTTTGTCTTGCTGTATACAATATTGATGTTTGAAATAATATGTCTAATAATGGATCTAGCTTGGTTATTTTGCGCTTCATACCCGATTTTTCATTTTGCTTTAACAATGACACGATGACAATGATTTACAAAATTACATCCTTGTTCTTATCTTTGATATGTAATTCAGAAGGTTTTATCCTTTTTATCATGTGGCCCTTCATTATCAATGTCGACAAAAGACCAATCACACACCAATTAAAAGAAAAATAGACAACACCATTGCCAAAGAGAAAGTGACGAAAAGATAAACAAACATAGTCCACAGAACACTTCACTGAAAACTAAGTATTGCGCAACACTTTTACTACCCCAAAACACGGGACCGAATTCAGAATCATAAAAGGGTAAGTAGCTCCTGCTTCACTTTCACTATTGAACGCTGTCCTGTTGCTCTCGGCGAGTAAAAAATCGGAAATAAGTTGTATTTGGTTGTGAAATGAGAAACTACGATATTTACTCATGCGTCTCTGTTAATAACTTCATATATTTGAGACTGAGATTAATGTTTAAACAATCTCCTGGATAAATCTGCTTCATACGAATAGGGAAAGTAACATGCATTGAATATTCGTAATTAGTTTACAAAAACATCATCATTTCTTTTTATCATAATATCAAGCAGTAATTTATCGGTCTGGTTTAACTTTTTTTATTTGAGCCTTCTGTAGACGAGGAGACGCGCGTCTGTAATACACAATTTTAGGCCTGGTATCTATGATGAGTTTATTTTAAAAAAAATGCCTATTTTAAATTCACAACGAATACTTTTTATCATTAGGCATATATCTTGCTTTATTCTTTTTCTTTTCTTGAATTGTTTCTTATTTTATCATCTTGTTAACAATAAAATTTTATAACAGAAAAACGATGTTCCGTATATTGAGTACAAACTTTATTTTATTTGGTACTCTTTGAGCTATTATCATCTGTATTGTGTTTGGGTGTGGTTCTATCAACTTTAAATCTACTAAGCGACATTACATATAATGTATTTTCTAGTCAAACTTACCAGGTGGACAGTCTAATACAGATGCAGACTTTGGTGATATCTTCCTGAATAGATTATTTCTTACCAAGGTAATAACAGCATTAATTATTCAAGATGCCATTCCGTTTGGAGCTTTTAATGGGGTTCAAAATATACTTAAAAAGCTGCAAAATTTATTTCTCTTCGTCTGCTTGCACAAAAACATTTATAAATCCTATTCAAGTAAACATTTATAAATCATATTCGACTTTTGGAAATTTTGAATATCCTCAATATTACAAGTATCGTCTGCATTTTTCTCATACCATATTTTAGTTTGGCCTATATGGTATTTTATGTTGAAAACATGCTAATAAGTAAATTGATAATGTAAAAGAAGAAAATCAATGTATCATTATGTTTATGTGGTCGCTTTAAATTATAATGCATAAATGGGGTGCACTGCTTCATACTAAATTAGATATTTTTTCCTTCAGGGAATATCGTTTTCCATTTAATTTTTTGAATACGTTTTGAATTAATAAATTTAAAATGTCTCAATAGTTTGAATGTGCGGTTTTGTCAGGAGAAGACTGAAAAGGGAAAATTTACCTAACGATACTTCATTTTAGTTCAGGACAATCTAACATTACAAGAACATGACCTTCTTTAGAAAGTGTATCTTGTTTTATAAGTGTATTAAAGACTGAAGTATATGAATATGATCACCTGTATTTGTCCTATTCGGGTGTAAAATCCAATGTTGACGGAGCTCCTGTTTCGATTTGTGGTTTTAATAGATTCATTGGTACACCATTAGACAGTGCCGGATGGTTCCAAACTCATATTCAACATAATTTGTTTTCTTATTGCAGTCCAAATTTCCCTTCAATAACCAGGTTGATCAAAGTTTTCCAATTGGATCATGTCTGTTGAGCGCCATGATCTCTTCTCATAGTAGGGTCAAATACAAATAATTCAAACGAAACAGCTACCTCTGCCTCACTAGCATGATGCGTCTAACTTCTAACATGTAAGAACCTGGTCAATAAATCGTTCATTAAAACTTCGGATTTCTTTCAAAGACGAAAAGTTAACCAATACTATAAAAGCATGTGTTAGTCAAAGCAAATGACCATGTATAATTGCGAAATATGGCTCTTTTTCTTTGCAAAATACATTTTTGTTTCAGTTGCTACTTTCAGAATGCATTGATACTACTTTTGAGAGTTTAATAGATCCACAATCATTATCCATACCAATTCGATACTTCATCGGTATGTTGGATAAACTTGGAAAAACCTATGGAGTAGAACAAGACGTTCTGCAGTCATGGAAAAATGAATGGTGAGTGTTTGACTCTTAATCATAGGTAAACAATATTTCGTAAGCTATGGTTTTAACATTTTAAACTTTTAAAAGTTAATTATTCATCTAGTCATTGGTGAAAATTGTGCATTTTTGTAGATATTTTATCTTTCTCCTTTATATTTATACCAAAGCTTACGCCTTCTGACATTTTCTTTTACTGTCATTTTCTTTGTTATTCCTCATCATATACTATATTCATCATACTATATTATTATACGATGTTAGAATGTGTTTTGTTTAATCTTTGGACAAAAATTATTTCATAACTTATATCATGTGTTTGTAATAATTCATCTATTTGTTTAGCTATGCTACACGAGTTTGGGCTCCACTGATCGGTAAACCAAATATATTGTTTGATGTTAGTGTGCCTGCTTATGTTGAACCATGCATGGACATTCTAAGACAAGTCTTTGTGGAAAGTTTTACCGAAACAGCCCACAAAGTCAATAAGGTTAGAGTGACATATTAATTTATGAATCATCAGAGTGTTTTGAAGACGTCTGATATATGGGGTATCCGTTATTAAGGTGTGTCGAATCGGGGGTAGGTTGCAAATTTTACATAAATCTTTAGTGTCTTTTATCTTTTCCTTGACATTTTTTCATTATATAATTCACGTTGTTGAACATGTATGAAACGATGATGTTGATATTTTGTCTTTTTCGGAATTAACATTATTAGCTCACCTGGCCAAAAGGGCCAAGTGAGCTTTTCTCATCACTTGGCGTCCGTCGTCTGTCGTCCGTCATCGTCCGTCGGCTTTCGTCGGCGTCCGTCGTCGTGACTCTTAACTTTTACAAAAATCTTCTCTGAAAACACTTGGCCAAATTTAACCAAACTTGGCCACAAATCATCATTGGGGTATCTAGTTTAAAAAAGGAGTCCAACCAAGATGGCCGACATGGCTTAAAATAGAACATAGGGGTAAAATGCAAGTTTTGTCTATTATTTTGAAAACCGTTATAAATAGAGAAAATCTGACGGAGCAAAAATGTTCAGAATGTTGAGCTCTACCAATTGTCCATATACGTCAAAACTGTCAGACGACTTCTAATAGGAGTTATGCCCTTAAATGACAAATTTTACCATTTTTTTTCATTTTTGTCTATTATCTTGAAAACTATAATAGATATATAGACAAATTCCACAAATAAGTCTCATGGTCGAAATCGTCAGTCGACTCCTTATTAGAGTTATTGCCCTTTAATGTTGATTTTTACCATTTTTTTTTTTGCGTTTTGCCTTATATGATAAAAACTATAATAGATAAATATAGACACTTTAAATCACAAAAATGATAAGCAAGGCAAGATCTACTAACAAGTAAAATTGTGCCGATATAGTTAGTAGAGTGTCACTCTTTATAAGAGTGATTGCCCTAAAATGAGTTTTTTTTACCCTCTTTTGTGTTTTGAGCAACAACTGAAGAATATAGAGAGAAACTAAACAGACTAAATGATCAGCAATACAAGATCGACAAAAACAGAGGTTTTTGTCTTGACTTATATTCCCGTCTATAATGTCGGAGAGTGTCCTTTTGTTGAATATGCACATAGACCAAGATGACCGACACAGGCTCTTTAGAGCCTCAAGTTTATAATTTGCAAACGTTTGTTTGAAAGGGTTAACGGAAACAACGTGCTATATATTTATCGAGCAATGGAAATCAGTTACTTCATGTATAATCTTATAGTATTTATTTAAAAAGAAAAGTCCGTACAAAAACAACATTTGAACTTTTGAATCAACATATTTCAAAAGGATTTTTGACTGATAATGTTATTAGTTGTTGTTTACATAGACAGTTTGATTGGTTTTGCTGTTGTTTTTTTTTTTGTGTGACGAAAAAACAATCCTGCCACTTTTTTCTTTTTTTCTTTTTTTTTTTGCGGTTCCTGGTAGAAGTGGGGGAAGGGTATTAGGGATGAATGATGAATTTATGACAGTCTATGACAAAACGATTTACAAGTTTTCTTGACTCGAGGTAATGTAAATTTTTACATACATGTATTGCATAGACAATTCTCTACTGTAACGGACCATTTCTTGTCCTCTACACATTTTCTTTTTGGGTTGCTGACTTATTATTGCATACCTTCATCTCTTTTTATTTGTATGAAATAAAACTTGAAAAAAAGAGTAGAGAAAAATAATTGTTAGCATGACAACCAACCTTCACAAGCAAAAACTTTAAATAACTCTCTAGAGTTAAACATACAATGTACATGTACGATTTCCAACACTTTTGAACGTTTGGAATATTTTTTTATATGATGGAAAAGTAGTCTCATGCATATATCCTTATCATATGGCCTAAAGATAAAAAAGAATAAACATCAAAATCTTGAATGTACAGCCAAAATAAAAAAGACAAAAGGGCATACAAAAGTCCACACAAACAAATAAATAGAAAAAAACTCATCGAGGTGAACGTCAAGTGATAACTGCTGACGTTGTATGAACATCATTGCAACGACCATTGGCTTTTTTAACAAAAATAATGATTTTGATAGACCATATATTTGTATGCAATGTTGAGAGCCAAGATAAAGTTATGATTAGATAGTGTAATTATTTTTTGCATGGAAATTTGACAGGAATCACCACCGCAGAAACTATTGTTTCATAAAGATATACCAAGATACAGAAGGCTTATTAGTCCTTTTTTCATCCGTTTGGAACCAGTGACTGATAAAGAATTCTGTACTGAAATGGACGAAATCTCAGATGTAAGTAGTGACATTTTTCTTAGTAAAATTGCATCGGTAAATATGAATAAAAGGAGTAACGGGGTAGGCAACGGGGAAGGCAACAGAATCATCGACACAAACAACCGAACATCAACTAGAGGTCAACGTATCATCTTCAAAACTATGGACAGGTTCTATAACATGTGTCAAGTTACAGAGTAGAAACTGCGCACTTTTTAGAGCACTTGAGTTCATCGCCGGTTTTGATGGGGTTCGTGTCGATCAACACATAATGTTTTGTGGCTTTCATTTCGTTTGATCTTTTCTTTTCTTTTTTTTTTTTTTGTTACTGATGGTTTTAAATTGCTGCGTTGATATCTTCTCCAATTTTTTGCTAAATCTCGAAAGGTGTATAAATAAAAACAGAATGATCCTGTCAAGGATATTCCATTAACACCAAAATCTTCAAATGATAATAGACAAAAGCCAATCACTGATGAGGTACCTTTGTTTTCTTACTTTAACCTTATCTATACATGGCCGTTCAAATTACATTTTAAAATTTTGTAACAGTGTTTATCACTGGTTGATAATCTCAAAAGCAAATTTGCTTGAATAAAGTAATAAATGAATAAGATTTTTAACAAATACTACACAATTTCACATGAGTAAGTTATGGTTATGAGTTCACCACGACAGAACTGATCTACATATGAAAATAAATATCAAGACAAAGTACACATTAGTATAAGTGTTTCATCGACTCCATTGTTATATTCATTAATGTGTATGCATGTGTTTATAGATTTCCTTTGTCGTCAGTATCAATAGCATAAATATTAACATCACTTTACATCAATTTCAGAAACAGAAATTGGAACTAAGGTTCAATCGACAGTCTACCGTTCAACAGCTGTATAATTTATTTATTCGGAAAAACAAGAGTCAAGTAAGCGATTTCATTGCAAGGCTTTGATTGAAAAGATTTTGAATATTAATAAAAGGATCTCATTGTCAGTTCCATCATTCGGTTAATGCTCCGTTAACCTGATTATACAAGTTCTTACATTGGTAGGGGCCTCGGTGGCCGAGTGGTTTAAGTAGTTACTACTGTAATCACTAGCCAGTCAACACTGAGGTTGTGAGTTCGAACCCCGCTCGTGCGGGTGCACTCGACTCCAGTCTTAATTGACTAGGATTGTCAGTTTTCATATCGAAGGTATTGAGACCGCATTGGGTTAAAAAAAAGTTACAATTGTAGTAAGAAATCACCATTATATCAAAATTGAGGCTACGAAAATCTTAATCGCCTCCAAAAAATCTCCTAAACAAAATAATTCCGTTTGACAAAACATTCATTTATTTAATTTATCATGAATACATTTGTAGATTTTAGATATTTGATTGATTTTTCGAAATGTTTTATGTACTTATGCACCAGATGGTAAAATGACACATGAAACTTATGCCATATTGCCAGTTAATAGAAACATATAAATTTGCTTTTCATAGGAGATTCTTGAGCACTTGTACATTTGTTGTAGATGATGTAAAATTTTAGCAGAAGTTTAAAGTTAAAAAAAAACATCGATAAAAACGCTCCATAACTGCTTAAATTTGCTATTTTCTTTTGGATATGGGTTATTGTTGTTCCTAGCATTTATTGTCTCTGTCCCTTTTCAGATCATAAATGATTTGGAGGAGATGGAAGAAGCTACAGACCTTCAACTTGCAAGTAAACTTGAGGAAGTCATAAAATTGATGGATGAATCTTCTGTCACTTTTTAAATGGTGTACTTCCTATTACACAGAGACTGTAAATAAATAAAGCACTTTTTAAAAAAGGATACCGTGAATATGTGAATTTTACCACATATACTGTAAATGGTTGAAGAACTTATTTCTCACATGAGAGAAATTATTAATCTTAAAGGAGTATTTCACATAAAACTGTTTATTTTAGATTTATTTATGACAATTGTAGCTTCTTTAAGATAAAGTTTAAAATTTCTTGATGAATTTAAGTTATAGAAAAAAAAGGTGAAGCAACACAATTGTACAATTGCCAACAAACAATAGATGAAGTCATATATGGATGGTTTAGATAGGTTTAAAAAATAGAGAATAATGATCCAACAAAATAAGAATAGAGAAAAAATATTTAAGAAATTAAAATTCACAGAAATGAAGGACCCCTCGTCCTGCTGATCGTCGTATATTTGATGAGAGTTATTTTATTTAAATGAAGGTCTTCAATAATTTACTCAAATGATAAACTAACTTTCAAATTTTCAATTTCATTATACTCTGAGTACAGAACGTACACATATACATACTGTTTAGTGTCTTATTTTCATTTTATCAATTTGTTCTTGCTCCTATTCATACGATCTTACAATAACAATGTTCCTCCATTCTTATTTTTTACCTGAGGGCAGAAATTCCACGCATACACTCTACTGTTACTGTAACTAACTTAAAGTAATTTGAAACATTAAAGAAATTTTCATTTACTAAAAACAAAATTAATCACCAAAATATAGAAAACAGATAAAATTAGGGACCAATGACCAAAGTGCCTGTGAGTTAAACAGTTAACATCTCGTTAAACAATTCATTTAGATATTTCTTTAAGTTATTATTTAGTCGACATATTGTGTTTCGAAAGGACAGATAAAAAATTACCACGTAAAACTGTTTTAACTATGCTTTTAACTTGGAGTAAAATTCAATTTAAACAATGTTTCATGTAACACTAATTACCATGTGATTGAATAAGTCAAAATTTCATTTTTAAAAACTCTTCATTTCGTGACACCTTGACGGATAATACCTTATGCAGTTATAGTAAAAGCGACTTTTCAACTTTCAACGTGTTCATAATCCGGACCATATGAGTTTATACGCATATGGTCATGACCATATACTCATAGTTCAAATACACATATGTTACAGTGTATATTTAGAATAGTTGATTTTGCAAAATCCCCTTGAGATCTTGAATTGATTACGGAATTTATACGATCAGTTACTAGGGATGTTATAAAATCACTGAAATAGTTGGAAACGTATTTAAAGATTCACTAGTTTAATTCTATGAATTTAGAAAAAAAAGTATTTCGCTCCTTGTAACTAACATGTTTGATTAAGTACCAGGCTCTGGTCTCTGGTTTCCAGACATTGATATAGCAGGTTTATTGAACACCAAATCGATAGGAATGAGGCTTACCGTTAAGGTCAAAGTGGATTCATAGAGGGTTTTGTTTTGGTTCATGTTTGTCTTTTCGTCATTTTTTTTTTATTTTCGACCATGGCGTTGTCTGTATTTTTTTTTGGAATTATGATTTTCGATTGCCCTTTCAGTGTCTTCTCTTTCTTTTGAAAAAAGATGGTTCAATCTTATTCTTTTTATTTTGAAAAAGATACATTCTTCTCCATTTATATTGTTTAAACAGCTAATCAGGGATTTCATCAAAATCAACATCAATATATTTTAGTGATTTTATAAAATTCCTGACAATTTCATGTAAAACTTCATGTAATTTTTCAGAATCTCTCAATATTACAGGGATTTTACAAAATCCCTTATTTTACGCATTCACTTTAACATATTTATCAATTTGTTCAAGTTGATGACGTTACCGAAGAGTGTTGATATTAATGAATATCATATTGAAACAAAATGTGAAAAACTATTTAAGTATGTTAAGATGAATTAGTCTTATCAAACTTGATAATTATGCAAAAAATAAAAAAAACCACATACATGTATATGATGAATATGATGAATATTGTGTTATTCAATGTTAAAAAAAATTGAATACCTTACAAATAAAACGTTATATGTATATGATAAATATTGTTTATTTAATTAATAATGAAATGGAAAATTGTGCAAATAAAAAAGGTATTAATATGAGGAATATTGTTTAGTTAAATGTTAAGGCAAAAACTAGTTATACATATGAAAAGTGAAATCAATAGGCTGAGGACGTTTGCCTTGTCAAATCGACTTATCCAGACGGTACTTAACAAATAAGTTACTAGTATGGTGAATGAAATTCAATTAAAATACAAAGATCCTGTGTCCACGCTTTGTTTTCAAGACCTTTAGCAAAGCATGGTCACGGGATCTGTATTTTAATCAGATTGGATGATAGATAGCTCTTCTTGTACGTGTCTATAAAGAAAACAAATCTATTTTATTTTTTGAAATTTACCTTTGATAATATAAACGTCACAAAAAATACGTCACTTTTTGTGACGTTGATACATTCAGGTGACGCGCAGTTTATATTTCGTTTGTGGTGTCCTGGTGTGCTGTCGTAAATTCATGGGAGGTGTCCGTTGTTATTCTGCGGTTAACATGTTGTAATGTACTATTATATTATTTATTTACTAGTATGTATTTCTCTGTGCTGAGTGTTCTTGCGTTTGTTTGTGCTGTTTTGCTGTCACGTAGTGTTGTAATTTTAGCGGTATTTTTAACATTGCCATATAAGCGGGAGGTTTGGCTAGCCGTAAAACCAGGTTCAACACACCATTTTTTCTTAAAATGTCCTGTACCAAGTCAGGAATATTGCAGTTGTTATATAACTGTCCAAATCTATGTATGTTTGCGTTTGCTTTTGTTGTAGTTCAGTGGTTCTGCTGTTCCGTTGTTTTCTTCTTATAGTTTATGTGTTTCGGTTTCGGTTTTAGTTTGTTACCCGGGTTTGTTTTTGCTTAATCTAATTATTACTATTGAACAGCAGTATACTACTGTTGCCTTCATTCAGCCTTTGTAATAGGATTTGGACTTTCAATTGTTCGGCCTCGACATCATTGAGAGACATATAATATCGAAAAAAAGTAAAATAACAAAAATATCGAACTCCAAGGAAAATTCAAATCGAAAAGTCCCTTATCAAATGGCAAAATCAAAAAATGGAAAACAACTGTCATATTCCTGAATGGTACAGGCATTTCTTCATGTAGAAAATGGTGGATTAAGCCTGGTTTTATAGCTTGCTAAACCTCTCACTTGTATGACAGTCGCATAAAATTCCATTATATTGACAACAAAGTGTGAACAAAACAAACAGACATAATAGGTAAAAATGTCAAAAATAGGGGTACAGCAGTCAACATTGTGTCATGCGTCTTCTTTTGAAGTAAAATTGGTACCGTTTATGCTGTTAGTACAATTATTTTCGGCTTTCCAAACAGTCTAAGGACTATGATAGGTTATAAGTATTTGAATTAAATCGTACCGGAAGGAAACCGTTCAGTCATCTTGACAATCACTTTTCTGATCTACTTCTTAATTCAAATATCTAGTAATCACCAGAAAATTATAAAAGGTTAGTACTATCTAGCATTTCTTAAAATTAATTTTCTATTGAAAGAAAAACCAACCCATACACTAGTAAACCACTTTTGACATGAAACTGTCATGTTGATATTATCATCACCTGAAGAGTTTAGACAATAAATTATTCAGTCATGTTCAGTCTTTTCGGGCAATTTTCGGACTTTTCCACTGCGGTAAATTCAGTACTGTTCAGACAATTCGCTTACAGTCAATTCAGTATACTGTTCAGTGACTTTTCAGACAATTCAGTATAATGCTAATGTGTAAAGGTAAATATCAACTACTGAACAGTCTAAGCACAGAATGAACATTAAAATCTAATTAAATACTATTTGTATATACAAATGCACATTCATGGCTCTACAATCTGTCGATACCTGTATCTTGGCATTGTACAAGGTCATGTTTTTCTTAACTGTTAATGACGTCTTGACACCAAATCCATTGGATGTTGGATGTGTACTGATTGATGTTTAAGTCTTAGATGCAGGATTTTTTTTATTAGTTGTTATTGGCTTTGAACTAGCTGTCAGATCTGTACTTAGTGTCTTTTTGTTGTGGGGATGTATAAGTACCCTGCAACGTCCACTCTTTGTTTTTGTAAGATGTATTTCTATTTGTATTCATCTGATGAGTTAAGATTTTTCAACTGATTTTTCTAATTTGTTCTTATGTTGTACTGTTACACCACTGTCCCAGGTTAAGAGGAGGTTGGCTCCTTCAAACTAGTTTAACCCCGCCACATTCTGTATGTTCCTGTCCTAAGCCAGGAGCCTGTAATTCGGAGGTTATCGTTTGTTGCTGTGTGACATATTTCTTTTTCGTTCATTATTTTGTACATAAATTAGGCCGTTAGTTTTCTCGTTTGAATTGTTTTACATTCGTCATTTCGGGGCCTTTTATAGCTGACTATGCGGTATGGGCTCTGTTCATTGTTGAAGGCCGTACGGTGAACTATAGTTGTTAATTTCTGTGTCATTTGGTCTCTTGTGGAGAGTTGTCTCATATGTAATCATACATTACCACATCTTCTTATTTTTAAATATCTTAAGATATTGCAAGCGAATTGTCTGAACAGTACTGAATATTACGAGTATAGATATGAAATTTGACTGAAAGCCCAAATAAAGTTGATATATTTGTCAGAGTACCATGAACACTATACATTGATTAATGAACCATGAAAATACGGTTAAGAACCCTACCAGACAGACATGTTCGTCTAACAATCATTATATACTAGTATACCAAATATAGTTGACATATTGCTTATAGTATCCAATAAACGGACAAAACAACGAAAACTTAACATTGACCAATGGACCATGAAAATGAGATCAAGATCAGATGAAACCTGCCCGACAAACATTCACATCTTTCAATCATTCCATTCACAAAATATAGTGGCTTTATTGCTTCAAGTATCAGAGAAATAGACCTAACCGAATAAATTTAACATTGGCAAATAAACCATAAAAAAGGTCAAGGTCAGATGAAACAAATGATAACAACACGTTATAAATTGCATGTTTCCGAAGCGCTTTTCTGGGTTTACCTTCATCAGGAACGCTCAAAGCCGAATATTTGAAAGCCAATGATGTATAAGAACCGAAACAGTTGAAAAGCTATATTACCAAAAAGGCCCTAAAAATAGCCAAATTCATCTAGGGTCAATTTTGCCTGAGGGAGTTGAAACCTTAGTTTCTTATAATATCAGAATTTATTAACGGACCGTTTTATAAAAGTTTGTTATAAATCAAGTCTGTTCCAAAGTACCGACTACTGATCTGATGGTACCCTCGGAGACTGCCAGATAGATATGTACATCTTATAATCGTTCCTTAAACCAAAAACAGCTGACATATTGATTATAGTAACTGAGAAACAGATAGCTACAAAAACTTACCATTGACCAATGAAACATGACAAAGAGTTCAAGTTTAAATGAAACCTGCCAGTGTGACATGTACACTTAATCTCCCTCACGCAAAGTTCTGATTCCTTATCCGACTTTGGCTATACAATTTGGTCATTTTTGGTTTATAAGTTCTACATATTTTTCATAAGCTTTGGATTTTCAAATACTTCGGCCTCGAGACATTTATTGTCGAAATGCGTATATGGTGCCGAAACATTGGTACCGTTAATGTTATTACAATCATTCCACACAACAATTTAGTTGACCTATTGCTTATAGTAGTATCTGAGACACGGACGAATACGAAAACTTAACCTTGATCACTAATCAATGAAATGAGGTCAAGGTCAGGTGAACCCTGTCTGACGGACATGTAGACCTTGCAAGGATCCCATATACCAAATATAGTTATTCTTGTACTCATAATAAGTGAGTATTTCACATTAAGAAAAAATACTAGTTGCTGAACTATGAAAATGAGTTCATGGACAATGGTCGTATGGCAAATGGAAAGTTCGTGGAATTAGGCATCTGTATATAAGGTATGAAGCATACAGGTCTTCTACCTTCTGAAATATAAAACTATATACAAAACTTTTACGCCGTTGCCGGATTATTATTCTTGTGGTTCGAATTCTGCGACTTTTATAGCAGGCGAGACAAAAATCGAATTCTTTATCGCATCTTTCCAATTAATGTAGAACTAACCAATTACAACACTAATGAAGATTTAAATTGTAACTACAATTTAACAATTACTCATCCAACACTATGGCATCATATCATAAATAGCATATACTCTCAAACTCGGAATTATCACAAGTAAACATTTTTTTAGCTTGTATCAAGTCTAAACAAGAGTGCACACGCTAGCGCTGGAATGTCTTCAATTTGTTCAAACTGCATTAGTAGTTTGTTTTAACAATTTCATGGACACATTACGATGGAAAACTACCTTCAACTGAAATTTTAACCCAATATGGGATTGACCGACAAACCTGAAAACAAAAGGCCCATATTGTATGCAGGACATCAAAAAGTTGTGAATAAATTCAAGAGACTATAAAAGATTTGTCATTAAACCCAGCAAATGATTGAAAAGATGAAATTAAACACAAGACCAATGGGAGTTGAATCTACTTTTTAAAGATTTCAGCTCTCTTCTTTTTAATCTTATCAGTTGAATACCAAAAGGTACATAAAAGAGTGTACAATAACAATCTGGAATGAATAGCACTTGACACTATTTTTATAATAGTATATATTAAAAAGATCACAAGGGGAAACAAAACAATAAGAAACTATGACAGATCAACGAATGCTAGCATTAACTGGAAGCAAGCTCAACGGTTTTAATTGCTTATAATCTGTAATTGGTCTGTTCTACACTCTACTTTGTAAGTGATTTTATGCTGCTAAATGTGAATACATACTTTGACACTGTGTAAAGTTTTAGGGTTAGAAAATCACATAATTGATGGTCTACAAATTTAATGATGTCTTAGGGTTAAATGGGAGTCAATTACTAATGGCTATTGCTAAATGAATCATCACCATATGATATATCACAATATCTTTAAGAAGTAAAACAAATCTGATTACTTCTACTGGAGCACCTACAGTCAGTCCCATATTTTGGTGGGGTTGTGTATGCTCATTCTTTGTTTTTCTGTATAGTATTTTGTGGCCTTGCTTGTCTTTTAGTTTTTGTCATGGTGTTGTCCTTTTCTGATCAAATTTATGAGTTTTGAATGTCCCTTTATTATCTAGTCTCATTCTTTTTTACTTGAAATTGAAATAACCTAACATTTCAATTCCTAAATTCACATTTTATCTTCCAAGATTTTATACTTTTGAAACTTTAAACAAAATTGTACAATTATCTTTAAAAAGATTAAAAGTATCAAACCATAAAATCAAAAAATATATTTTATTAGTAGCATATCAAGCTGGAAGCACAGTGGATCATATTCAACAATGAACAAATATACTATATATTAAATTTGCAATATAAAATTCAAAAACAAGTAAAAATATATCACTAAACATGAATGGTTTGAATGGGATTATTAATATCAAACATGAAAATAACAACAATGTATGAATACTATATTTTGTAGAAATACTGAGGATATTTTGACAACTAAAGCTCAATATAAGGAACTTATTAGTTTGTGCATTTGTACAGATTTATTGAGGCATTTATGGTAAATCACAATAAAATGCTCCGCTGGGCGCAGCTTGATACGACCGCAGAGGTCAAACCCTGAACAGTTGGGGCAAGTATGGACAAAACATTCAAGCTTGATACAGCACTGAATTTGGATTGTAATTAAATATTTGACACAGCATAGGTTTTTGACACAGGATGAATGTGGTCTAAGAACTTAAATTTTTTTAATTTACCTATTCAAACCATATCATTATTATTTGCTTTTATATATAAATCAGAAATAACCAATTTAAATTGGAAATTTTAAAGAAAAAAAATGAAAAAAAAATCCCCCCCCAAATTTTTTGAACCCCCTTATGATTCATCACCCCCAAACTCAATCCCAGCCTTCCCTTTGTGGTATGGTACCCTGCAGATCAATTTCAGAGAGATCCATACACTTGAACACAAGTTATTGTCTGGAAACTAGAAAAATGCGTTTTTTGGCCCCAAATTCCTAAACGTTTAGGGCAATTACCCCCAAACTCAAACCCAGCTTTTCCTTTGTGATATGGAACCTTGTAGTACAATTTCATAAAGATCCATACACTTACACACAAGTTATTGTCCTGAAACTAGAAAAATGCTTGTTTTTTTTTCCCTTTTTGGCCCCTAATTCCTAAAATTTGGAGGCAATTACCCCCAAAATCAATCCCAGCCTTCCCTTTGTGGTATGGTACCTTGCAGTACAATTTCAGAGAGATCCATACACTTGAACACAAGTTATTGTCTGGAAACTAGAAAAATGCTTATTTTTGGCCCCTTTTTCCTAAACGTTTTTGGCAATTACCCCAAAACTCAATTCCAGCTTTCCCTTTGTGATATGGAACCTTGTAGTACAATTTCATAAAGATCCATACTCTTACACACAAGTTATTGTCATGAAACTAGAAAAATGCTTGTTTTTGCCCCTTTTTTGGCCCCTAATTCCTAAAATTTGTAGGTAATTACCCCCAAAATCAATCCCAGCATTCCCTTTGTGATATGGAACCTTGTGGTACAATGTCAGAGAGATCCATACACTAACACACAAGTTATGTCTGGAAGTTACAAAAATGCTTATTTTTTGCCCCTAATTCCTTAACTGTTGGTGTCATAACCCCCAAAATCAATCCCAACCTTCCTTTTGTGGTATTGAACCTTATGGTAAAGTTTCATAGAGATCCATTCACTTAAACTAAAGTTAGAGTGCGAAAACCAATGTGTCTTTGGACGACAACGACGACGCCAACGTCATACCAATATAGGACCACAAAATTTTTTGGCGGTCGTATAAAAACAGATTAGGCCTTTGTTCTTCTCCTTTAATAATTTACATTAGCTTTTAAATTGGCCATAAATATAACAATAATGAAATGATAATATACTTTTGATCTAAAATAAATGAATCACTAGAATTTACATGCTGAAATTCTTTTAAAGATAAAGGTTTTAATACAAGAATCAAATAAACTAAAAATTATCAATCATCCATGAAAATGAGGTCAAGGTCAATTGAACCCAGCTATATGGAACACCAAGTATGGTATACCTACTGCTTATAGTATCTGGTAAATAGCCTTAACCACAAAACCTTAACATTGACAAATGAACCATGAAAATGAGGTCAGTTGAACCCTGCCAGACAGACAAATACGATTTATAATCATTCCATACAACAAATATATTGACCTATTGCTTCAAGTAAATGAGAAACAGACTTGACCACATCTATGAAATGAGGTCAAAGTCAGGTGAACCCTGTGTGACACACATGTAGACATTTTAATGATTCTATATATTATATATAGTTATCTTATTACTCATTATAAATGAGAAAATCATGTAATAAAAAAACTAGTTGTTTTAAGCAGTTGCTGAACTATGAAAATGAGGTCAATGACTTAAAAACATAGGTCATCTGTAAACAAAATATAAAATATATGTTTTGAAATATAGAGCTTTATACAAATTGTTAACGCAGTTGCTGGCACCTCTAGATTGGAAAAAATTATGTCTCTAATTCTTTGACCTTAATTGCAGGCAAGACAATAATTTGTATCTCCATGAGAAAATGCACATATTTGCACTATTATAAAGATGTCAATGTTTATAATGGAATGTAAACTATATAAAACATTTTCAATATAATCAAAAGGCACATTATATATATCACAGCTTGTAAAAATATATAGACAAGTGTTATTCAAAATTCAGTATCAACTTATGTCCTTGAGCATTATATGGTCTTTGGATTTAAAAAAAAGTTTTATTTAAACCAATAACCCACTGACATTCTGAATAACATTTTTAAATACAAATACTTATTTAATCAATTTTACTTTTCACAAAATAAACTTGTGTACACAAAAAACAAAACCCTTCAAACTCTTACGATTAAAGCACTTGCTACAAATAAAGACACTGTTTAAAACTAATAAAAAGGAAGTAAATTTACAAGAACAAATAGTCTTCACAAGAACAATTCTTAAAATTTTTAAAGTTAAGGTTCTGTATATAACAGGAAAGCTTTATATGTATCCTTATACTCTGCCTTTTTATACAGTTTCCCTTGGTTGCCTTTTTATACACCGTTTCCCTTGGCTGCCTTCTTATACATTGTTTCCCTTGGTTATGAATTTTAATCAGTATTTTAGCTATAGTTGCACAAATTTTTTATAAGTTGCTGATCAACAATATCTGCTTTAGCTTAGTTTTTTTTTTTAAATCTCTCAAGACAAAAAGTCACCATAAATATTATGAGACTTCTTTCTTGTTAAACTCTTTTTTTATAAGTAAACACTTATTATTAATAAAAAAAAATTCATTTAGTTTTGATGGCAGATTTTTGATACTGTGCCAATTTGTTCACAACTTTTCTATATTTGGGTGATTATTGCTCATGACCTCTAAATGTCTTTTGAATTTTATGCATCATTGGGCGACTGTCCTATTTCTGTATGCCTCAAATCTCCACTCATTTCTACATTAAAATATGTAAATCAATAAGTGGAGAATCAACATAAAGTCAAGTAAAATGAAATTATTTTTTCTGGTTGATATTTAGTTTTAGTTGTATAGTCTGTTGTCTAGTCCACCCTAATAAATTATAGGGGAAATGGAGGATTCCATGTGAAAGATTAGGGAATGAAATCATATTTCAGATGTAGCTTCCAACCTTGAGCATTATATGGTCACTGTTATTTAAAATTTATTCAAGCCAATAACCAACTGACATTTTAAATTACAATATGAAATACAAACACATTTGTAATCACATTTACTTTTCACAAAAAAACTTTTGTACACAAAAAAAAAAAAAAAACCCTGTCAATCACTTAAGATTAAAGTACCTGCTTCAAAGAAAGACAACTGTCTTTAACTAATAAAAGAGAAGTAACTTTATAAGAATAATGAAAGAGAACTTTATAAGAACAAACAGTCTTTTAAAAAACAATTCTTAATATCTTAAAACAAAACAAGAACCTGTATCATTTTTAGTTCTTAAAATAAACATGCACCAACTGATAATAAGATTTATTTGAAAATAAAAGATGATTTATGAGTTAAATTACAACAGGATGCTGATAAAACAATGGAATAAAAATAAACATTATGATCCTTAAGAAAAGACATAAAATATATAACAAACAAAAAACATAACAAAAATTTCATTGACACTTATGTGTATAAGCTAAGTTGTAACAAATAATGTTATCTTTAAACAAACAAATTCTATGTCATAACAACATAGGAAAAATTAAAACTCAATTTACTTTTTACTTAAATAAGTCAGATATACTCTTTCATATATTGTACATGCATTACTGATATTGAAAAAAGAGCTTTTGGAATCTAATTTTGTGCCTAAATAAACTAGCTATAATATTTGATATGGCTAAAAATGTCCTCCTTCTGGTCATTTTTTTTTAATTAATTTTTTTCACTTTCAATGTAAAATAAGGTGACATTCAGTCTATTTTTAGCCATTGAACTTTTGCTAAAGTGACCTTAAATTAAAGGAGTACTTTCCTTTCCTTTGTCAGGAGTAACTGATGATTGTATGTAAAATCTTGAAATTAATGACCAAATCCAAAGTATATTCTCAAACTAATTCTCCATCAAAACTAACACTTTATGGCAACTCAGTTTAAATCTTTATATTTTTCTTTCATATAAAATATAAAGGATTTCAAAATTCTATTTTGATTTTTTTCTCCCAAAAAATTAATGATGCAATTCTATCAAAATGATAGTTTTGATTGGTTGTAATGTTAATAATGACTTATATTTCATGCTGTGGTAATCTTCCACTTTCAAATACTTGTTAAATGAATGAATAATGCTTTTGTTAATGAAAAAGAGTCAGTGTTTATGATTCTTCCATCAGATATATGACTTCTTCTAGCTTGTTACCAAAGGCAAGATCCTTAGTCTCATCTTTTTCTTGGAAATCTTCTATGATCTAAAAAAAAATGTTTATTTATATCATTTTAAAAAAAACTGGGTTTCAGTTAAATACACTGAACAGTGTTTTTACAAAATACCACATGAATATGTAAACTCATAGAAATATCATGATGCTGATGGCATTTCTCAAAAAGCTCCAATTAATCCATTTAATTCTATTTTGTTTTCTTAATATTTTATTTGCTAGTTTAAAAAAAAAAGCAAAAAAAACACCCCCTGCCACAATTTCTAAATAAAGTGTTAACACAGAGATATGTCTCGCCTATTTGTTATTTTGATAATGCAAATGTTGAAATTAAAATAGCAATACTTTAACATGTAAGTTATGCAAATATTCAAAGTCAATGAACCATGACTGAAGGTACAGGGCTTAACAATCTCCATGGAAATGAGATGTGCCAATGCTAATACAACTGCAAACCAAATACAGTACTTGCAACCTTAGGCGTTACTATTTTAGCGATCAATCAGCGGTCATCGATCAGTCACCGATCAGTCAAGTTCGCGTCAACCTCACGTCACCAATCCATCAGATTTATGGTAAAAATATTTGACTGATTGGACGGATAGGACCGATCGACCTTTCTGATGGATTGAACTCTACTACGTCACATGATAAACTAATACAAATTACGGAATCTTAGTTTCGTTTCATTTAATTAATGGCGCCACGGAAAATACGAAACGTTCAAGTACAAAAGATCAACATTCTTTTTAATGATTATTCAGCAAAGTTTTAAGAATTAAAAACAAAAAGAAATATGCAGATAAAACTGATCTTAAATATTATTATAATAGAATGGTGATTTTCGTTTTTATTTAGGTTATATTTTTTCATACCCAAACAGTGTTAAAATGATTTTTATCGCGATTGGGATTTTGTTCCCCGAAAATGCTCTGGAAAATGAAAAGACATGATCATTTTTTGCCAATTTCGATGTATTATTTTTTATATTTTTATAATCTTAAAATTCTTATAAAAAAAACTTATCTGGAGGCCTTTAAAATAACTAGTTACAAATAACATTGCTGATTTTTTTATAAAAAAATAGAAATATTGGTAATTTGTTAGAGTTTAAACAATGTGAATGACTTTTAGTATATTTCCTCTGATAGTCGTTTAATTTTGTGAAACACAACCCATTTTGCAATTGACGTTGCATTATTTCTTATATAAAAGAAGAAACATTTGCATTTTTAAACTACGCAAACAAAAATTTAGTATCTTTTCCTTGAAATTCAGCAAAATTTATGAAAAACAACCAATCCTGATGTACAAAAAGTACTGAAATCAAAAAAGAAAAAACAATGCAAACAACATTTCAGTATATTTTCTCTGATATTCTTTTAATTTTATGAAAAACAACCCATTCTGAACTAAAAAAATACAAAAATCCAATGGCGGTCAATATTTTCCATTAAAATAAAAAAAAATATTGCATTCTTATTCAACAAAAACAAAAGTTTATGCATATATATCCTGAAGTTATTCACATCTTATACAAAAGTACTGATCTAAATGCATTTATAATGTCTGATTGCAATTGACAATGCATTATTTCTGATATAAAAGAAGAAATATTTTCATTTTTATGCAACATGAATAAAAAATTAGTATCTTTTCCCTTAAATTAAGCATATTTTATGAAAAACAATCAATCTTGATGTACAAAAAATACAGAAATCTTATGGCGGTTCATAATTTCTGTCAAAATAAAGAAATTATTACATTCATATTCAACAAAAATAAGAGTTTATGCATATTTATCCTTAAATTTTTCACATTTTATACAAAATTACTTATCTAAAGGCATTTATAATGTTTGATTGCAAGTGACGTTGCATTATTCCTCATATATAAGAAGAAATATATGCATTTTTGAGCAACACAAACAAAAATTTTATAGTTTTTCCTAGAATTTCAGCATAATTTATGAAAAACAACCAATCCTGATGTAAAAAAAGTACTGAAATCAAATGGCAGTTCATAATATCTATCAAAATAAAGAAACTATTGTATATGTATTCAACACAAACAAAAGTTTAAGTTTTATTCTCCTTCCATTATTAAATTTCTTATAAAAAACTGATCTTGAGGCCTTTGAAATAACTAGTTACAATTAACATTCATTATTTTTTATCAAAAGAAGTAAAATTAGTAGTTTTATACATTGCGAACAACATTTTAGTATATTTTCTCTGATATTCTTTTAGTTTAATGAAAAAAAACCAATCCTGAACTACAAAAAGTACAAAAATCCAATGTCGGTCAATAGTTTCCATTAAAACAAAAAAATTATTGCATTCTTATTCAAGAAAAACAAAAGTTTATGCATATATATCCCTAAATTATTCACATCTTATACAAAAGTACTGATTTAAATGCATTTATAATGTCTGATTGTAATTGACAATGCATTATTTCTTATATAAAAGAAGAAATATTTGCATTTTTATGCAACACGAATAAAAAATTAGTATCTTTTCCCTTAAATTACACATATTTTATGAAAAACAATCAATCTTGATGTACAAAAAATACAGAAATCTAATGGCTGTTCATAATTTCTATCAAAATAAAGAAATTATTACATTCATATTCAACAAAAATAAGAGTTTATGAATATTTATCCTTAAATTTTTCACATTTTATACAAAATTACTTATCTAAAGGCATTTATAATGTCTGATTGCAAGTGACGTTGCATTATTCCTCATATATAAGAAGAAATATATGCATTTTTAAGCAACGCAAACAAAAATTTTGTATTTTTTCCCAGAATATCAGCATAATTTATGAAAAACAACCAATCCTGATGTACAAAAAGTACTGAAATCAAATCGCAGTTCATAATTTCCTTCAAAATAAAGAAATTATTGCAATCCTCTTCAACACAAGCAAAAGTTTAAACCTTATTGATTTAAAATTCTCATAACAAATTTTACATGAATGTTGAGGCCTTTGAAATAACTAGTTACAAAATCATTGCATTTTTTTTTATCAAAAAAAGAAAAATTGGTAATTTTAAACAATGCGAACAACATTTTAATATATTTTCTCTGATATTCTTTTAATTTTATGAAAAACAACCCATTCTGAACTACAAAAAATACAAAAATCCAATGGCGGTCAATAATTTCCATTAAAATAAAGAAATGATAGCATTCTTATTCAACACAAGAGTGCACACGCTGAAATGTCTCGCCTTCTTTACTAATCATTGATATTATGTTGATAGTCCTAAATATAAAGCTTTATTACAACTGTCACATAAACTTAACATTAACCAAGTAAACTAAACATTGACCAATGAACCATGAAAATGATGTCAAGGTCAGATGAACCATGCTAGGCAGGCATGTACAGCTAACAATTCTTCCATACAACAAATAGAGTTGACCTTTTGCTTATAGTTTAAGAAAAACAGACCAAAACACAAAAACTAAACACTGAGCAATGAACCTTGAAAATGAGGTCAAGGTCAAATAAAACCTGCGTGACTGCCAAATAGATCATAAAATATTTCCATACACCAAATATAGTTGAACTATTGCATATAGTATAAGAAAAACAGACCAAAACACAAAAACTTAACTATAACCACTGAACCATGAAAATGAGGTCAAGGTCAGATGACACCTGCCAGTTGGACATGTACACCTTACAGTCCTTCCATACACCAAATATACTAGACCTATTGCTTATAGTATCTGAGATATGGACTTGACCACCAAAACTTAACCTTGTTCATTGATCCATGAAATGAGGTCGAGGTCAAGTGAAAACTGTCTGACGGGCATGAGGACCTTGCAAGGTACGCACATACCAAATATAGTTGAACTATTGCACATAGTATTAGAAAAAAAGACCAAAACTCAAAAACTTAACTTTGACCACTGAACCATGAAAATGAGGTCAAGGTCAGATGACACCTGCCCGCTAGACATGTACACCTTACAATCATTCCATACACCAAATATAGTAGACCTATGGCATACAGTATAACAAAAACAGACCAAAACACAAAAACTTAACTATAACCACTGAACCATGAAAATGAGGTCAAGGTCAGATGACACCTGCCAGTTGGACATGTACACCTTACAGTCCTTCCATACACCGAATATACTAGACCTATTGCTTATAGTATCTGAGATATGGACTTGACCACCAAAACTTAACCTTGTTCATTGATCCATTAAATGAGGTCGAGGTCAAGTGAAAACTGTCTGACGGGCATGAGGACCTTGCAAGGTACGCACATACCAAATATAGTTATCCTATTACTTATAATAAGAGAGAATCTAACATTACAAAAAATCTTAACTTTTTTTTCAAGTAGTCACTGAACCATGAAAATGAGGTCAAGGACATTGGACATGTGACTGACGGAAACTTCGTAACATGAGGCATCCATATACAAAGTATGAAGCATCCAGACCTTCCACCTTCTAAAATATAAAGCTTTTAAGAAGTTAGCTAACGCCGCCGCCGCCGGATCACTATCCCTATGTCGAGCTTTCTGCGACCTTTGTCGCAGGCTCGACAAAAAACAAAAGTTTATGCATATTTATCCTTCAATAATTCACATTTTATAAAAAATTGCTTAGCTAAAGGCATTTATAATGACTGATTGCAAGTGACGTTGCAATATTTCTGAAATAAAAGAAGAAATATTTCCATTTTTAAGCAACATGAACAAAAATTTAGTATCTTTTCCCTGAAATTCAGCATAATTTATGAAAAACAGCCAATCTTGATGTACAAAAAGTACTGAAATCTAATGGAATGTCGTAATTTCTATCAAAATAAAGAAATTATTACATTCGTATTCACCGTACGCGTATTCAACACAAAAAAGTTTAGGTATTTTTGCCCTTACAATTTTGAAATGAAGTATGAAATTCTTATAAAAAAAATGTTACTTAAGGCCTTTTGATTTTGAATAAAACATACCACGTTCAAGTACAAGAGAATATTAAGTAATACATATAATGCTTGAAAAGTAATTTATATATTATTTATGTGTTATTGCAACCAGTTGATTAATAATTAACGAGTAAAGGTGTCATCGTAGAGGTCCGCGTTTATAAAATGTAAATACTGTGGAGTTCGTTTTACATAAGAATTTTAATTATATACATATCCATCCGATCCGTGCATATAATTACTTTACTGATTGATCGCTGACCGTTGTCAAGGTAACTCTGACATAGCTTATTTGACGTATCTGACAGATTCTATGGGTCATCGATCACCGATCAGTCAAACATCCATCACCAATCATTCACCGATCAGTCAAGTTCACGTCAAACAGTAACGCCTAAGGTTGCAAGTACTGTACCATTGACTTTTCATAAGTTGTTCCCTTTAAACAAACCTAAACACAAGCATTAACTTGTAAACTATGTAAAAGTTTCAAAGTCTATGAACCATAATTAGGGGGTGGGGTTAAAGAATCTCCATGGAAATGAAACTTGCAAAGAATATCATTGACTTAACATTAGTGGTTCATCTTAAACTGACCTAATCACAAACTAATACATGTAAACTAAGCAAAAGTTTCAAAGTCAATAGACCATGACTGAGGGGTAAGGACCAAATATTTTCCATGGAAATGAGATGTGCTAATGCTTATACAACTGCATACCAATTATCATTGACCTACCACTAATAGTTCCCCTTAAAATGACCTAATCACAAACTAATACATGAAAACTAAGCAAAAGTTTCAGTCAATAGACTATGAATGAGGGGGCGGGTCCAAATAATCTCCATGGAAATGAGATAGGCCAATGCTTATACAACTGCATACCAAATATCATTGACTTACCACTAGTGGTTCCCCATAAACTGACCTAATCATAAACTAAAACATGTAAATTAAGCAAAGTTTCAAAGTCAATAGACCTTGACTGAGGGGGCGGGGCCAAATAATCTCCATGGTAATGAGATGTGCCAATGCTAATACAACTGCATACCAAATATCATTGACCTACCACTAGTGGTTCACCATGAACTAGACCTAATCACAAACTAATACATTGTTGACGCCGCTGCCCCCGGAAACAGCATACCTATGTCTCGCTTTTTGACTCCGTCAAGGCGAGACAAGAACAGAAGAGAAAGTTCTTGTTGTATTGTGTTTTATTGTAAAGGGTTCACTAAACGTAAAATTATTTGTTCCTTGTGTAATTTGTTGTTTCAAAGGGTACTTTGCACCACACTAAAAGTTCATAAATAAGGGATGCATGGATGTAACACTTCCTCAATGCCACAAAAAATAATCTTTCTAAATATTACCTATACAATAAAAAATCCTAATTATTGAATGATCTTACCTCATCTTTGTATTTAGCAATAAACTTATACAGCTGATGTAAAGTGGCCTGTCGACTGAACTTCATTTCTATGGTTTGTTCCTATAATTATGGATAAATCTTCAAATTAATGATTCATGTACTGCTAAAAAGATTACCTCAAACTTTTTCAGTCTAAGAACTATAAAGACCTAATTGAATACAAAATTTGATATGCTTAATATTCTACAAAATCAATCAACACTACAGCATTTAATAAGGGTTTTGCTCGTCCTGAATATACATGAAATATTTGCCCCTAAAGGTTAAACAAACAAAAATCAATCACATAAGGCTGTGCATTAAAAATTTGTTAGTTATATTTCCTTAAAGATCTGCTCTGATTTGATCTAACATCTATTCTGGCTTTCTAGTGGGTTTTTTCTTCAGGTTGTCTAGTTTTTACTTGATGAATACAGAAATAAGCATTGAAACAGGATATAAAGTTTAGCATGAAATTTATGTGGCAAGCTATTTTACTATTCATTCTAACTTCAAGATATCTAATAAACTTTAGTTTATAAGACATCTTATATAGATTATAAGATATCTCATATAATTTTCTTTATCAGATATCTCATATTATTTTCTTTATCAGATATTTCATATTATTTTCTTTATCAGATATCTTATAAACTATATGCGATATCTTATAAACTATATAAGATATCTTACAAAATATATGAGATATCTTGTAAAGTATATAAGATGTCTTATATAAAAAATATTTATAAAAGAGAGGCGAAAGATACCAAAGGGACATTCAAACTCATAAGTTGAAAATAAACTGACAATGTCATGGCTAAAAAAGAAAAAGACAAACAGACAAACAACAGTACACAAAACACAACATAGAAAACTAAAGACTCAGGGCAACATGAACCCAACCAAAAAATGGGGGTGATCTCAGGTGCTCTGGAAGGGTAAGTAGATCTTGCTCCACATGTGGCACCCATCGTGTTGCTCATGTTAGTACAAACCTGGTAATACATGTAAATCTAATTCTGTAAGTCACAATCGGCGAAAAGGGGATGGGATCATAATGACAACATTTGGAACATATCCTCTATCATCTGTGAAACAGATATTCCATAACAGTCAACCAACTCGTGATGGCGTCCGTAAAATTTACAAAGGGATGATTTCAACTTCACCACTTGGAACTCTTGGTTTAATAGTTTCCTTGTGAGCAGCAACCCTCTATCAAGGAAATCAAGATTAGGAAATACAAGCCCTGGAATATCATATCAACTGGGAGATATATACTCTGTATGCAGGCACTGCTGGAATGTTGCTACATAGAAATGGAAAGTTCACAATTGGGAAGCTGAAATCATCTCTTTTGTTGTAACGTTTTGTTTCCAACCGACACTCATTGTCAATTTCTAGATGTAAGTCAAGATATGAGGCGGACTTTAACTGTATCTGTTGTATCCTTAATCTCAAGTTCAATGGGATAGATGCGTTAAACATAGTCACCAAATTTTTAATTATTAAGTGAGAGAACATCATCTTTATAGCGGAAAATAAAGTTAAAGGATACTGCTAACTTCTTTTCTTTCTTCTTAAGAAGTTCCTGTATGAAGTCAGCCTCATATGAAAAAAGGAACAAGTCGGCAAGAAGAAGGGCACAGTTGGTTCCCATGGGAATGCTGATTCTTTGTTGAAAAACATGTCTTCCAAACGCAACATAAAGTTTATAAGACATCATATAAAGAAAATTATATGAGATATCTGATAAATTATACGAGATATCTTATAAATGATATGAGATATCGACATCTCATATAAGATATCTTATATATTATATAAGATCTCTTAAATAATTTATAAAATATCTCATATAGTTTTCTTTATAAGATGTCTCATATAATTTTCTTTATAAGATATCTTATATACTTTATGAGATATCTTAGACATTATATGAGATATCTAATATAATATATAAGATATCATATATAATATATAAGATAATCTTATATAATCTAGTTTTTATAAGATATGTTATAAACTTTATACGATATATTATAAACTTCATAAGATATTTTATAAAGAAAATAATTATATGAGATATCTTATAAATTATATAAGATATATCATATAATTTTCTTTATAAGATATCTTATAAACTTTTGCAGATATCTTATAAAGTATATAAGATATCGTTAAAGTATAAGATATCTTATAAAAACTCGATTATATAAGATATCTTTTATATTATATGAGATATCATGAAGTTAGAATATATAGTACAAGAGTGCACACGCTGAAATTTCTCGCCTTCTTTACTAATCATTGATATTATGTTGATAGTCCTAAATATAAAGATTTATTACAACTGTCACATAAACTTAACATTAACCAAGTAAACTAAACATTGACCAATGAACCATGAAAATGAGGTCAAGGTCAGATGAACCATGCTAGGCAGGCATGTACAGCTAACAATTCCTCCATACAACAAATATAGTTGACCTATTGCTTATAGTTTAAGAAAAACAGACCAAAACACAAAAACTTAACACTGAGCAATGAACCTTGAAAATGAGGTCAAGGTAAAAAAATAACCTGCGTGACTGACAAATAGATCATTAAATATTTCCATACACCAAATATAGTTGAACTATTGCATATAGTATTAGAAAAAAAGACCAAAACTGAAAAACTTAACTTTGACCACTGAACCATGAAAATGAGGTCAAGGTCAGACGACACCTGCCAGCTAGACATGTACACGTTACAATCATTCCATACACCAAATATAGTAGACCTATTGCATACAGTATAAGAAAAACAGACCAAAACACAAAAACTTAACTATAACCACTGAACCATGAAAATGAGGTCAAGGTCAGATGACACCTGCCAGTTGGACATGTACACCTTACAGTCCTTCCATACACCGAATATACTAGACCTATTGCTTATAGTATCTGAGATATGGACTTGACCACCAAAACTTAACCTTGTTCACTGATCCATGAAATGAGGTCGAGGTCAAGTGAAAACTGTCTGACGGGTATGAGGACCTTGCAAGGTACGCACATACCAAATATAGTTATCCTATTACTTATAAAAAGAGAGAATTTAACATTACAAAAAATCTTAACCTTTTTTTCAAGTAGTCACTGAACCATGAAAATGAGGTCAAGGACATTGGACATGTGACTGACGGAAACTTCGTAACATGAGGCATCCATATACAAAGTATGAAGCATCCAGACCTTCCACCTTCTAAGATATAAAGCTTTTAAGAAGTTAGCTAACACCACTGCCGCAGCCGGATCACTATCCCTATGTCGAGCTTTCTGCAACAAAAGTTGCAGGCTCGACAAAAACGGCTTGCCATTAATTTTAACTATAAAGAACACTTTTCATGATTCATTACCATTGATCATAAAGAAGGTCAATTTTGTGTCAAATAGGCCTAATGATGATCATTATTCCATATTCCTTCAATAGGAATTATATAAATTTTTGAAACGTTCAGGATCTATTGAATCATCTTTATACCTTGAAAAGTCTGTATATTTTTGAAATTCATTTTATTTCAAGGTGAACTATACTTTGTGGATTCATTATGCCATCTGTATATTTGTCGAGGAGTACTATAATTGGTTTCTAAGGCCATAATATGAAAAATCCTAGATTGTCATCCAATTTGATTTCTAATTTTGGTATGGCAGATTTGTTCTTTCTTTTATCATTTGTCACAATTTGTGAAAATTCTTGGGAAAAATAGAAATAAAATGAACAAATTCTAAAAAAGAACATAATGGATGGGGGTGAGAATCTAGGAATTTTTTTTATTATGGTCTAAATGACTTATAAGACTGCAATATTATTACTTAAAATTGAGCTTAAACAAGAAATGAATGTAACAGGATGCTGTTACGAAGTCTCCCAAACGAAGCTCCCATAATTCGTAATTCCCAGGGTCGCCTGACATTGGGCAACATCCATTGAAAATTGGTTTGGTCCAGTAAAGTTATATGCATTAGTGATGCCTGGGGACTAACCTTGTATATCATTCAAATCATCTTGGCATGACAAACCAGAATATATATGGTTTAGGGGTGGGGATCTCAACCATTTACAAGATACTAGAATATTGGGGGTGGGGAGGAACCCCTGGGGACTGGCCCTATACGTCATTCAAATGTTCATTACATGACGAACAGGAATATATATGGTTTAGGGGTGGCGATCTCAACCATTTACAAGATATTAGAACATTGGGGGTGGGGGGAACCCCTGGGGACTGACCGTATACATCATTCAAATGTTCGAGACATGACAAATAGGAATATATATGGTTTAGGGGTGGGGATCTCGACCATTTACAAGATATTAGAACTTTCTCAAATGACAGGGGGTCGGGATGACCCCTGGGGACTAACCCTGTCTATCATTCAAACCATCTCAGCATGACAAACCAGAATATATATGGTTTAGGGGTGGGGATCTTGACCACTTAGAAGATATTAGAACTTTCTTAAATGGCAGGGGGTGGGGGTGACCCCTGGAGACTAACCCTGTATTTCATTTGATGTGCTTTATCATGACAAACCAGAATATATATGGTTTAGGGGTGGGGATCTCGACCATTTACAAGATATTAGAACTTTCTCAAATGGCAAGGGGTGGGGGTGACCGCTGGGGACTAACCCTGTATAACATTTGATGTGCTTTATCATAACAAACCAGAATATATATAGTTTAGGGGTGGGGATCTCGACCATTTACAAGATATTAGAACTTTCTCAAATGGCAGGGGGTCGGGATGACCCCTGGGGACTTACCCTGTATATCATTCAAACCATCTCAGCATGACAAACCAGAATATATATGGTTTAGGGGTGGGGATCTTGACCACTTAGAAGATATTAGAACTTTCTTAAATGGCAAGGGGTGGGGGTGACCCCTGGGGACTACCCCTGTATTTCATTTGATGTGCTTTATCATGACAAACCAGAATATATATGGTTTAGGGGTGGGGATCTCGACCATTTACAAGATATTAGAACTTTCTCAAATGGCAAGGGGTGGGGGTGACCGCTGGGGACTAACCCTGTATAACATTTGATGTGCTTTATCATGACAAACCAGAATATATATGGTTTAGGGGTGGGGATCTCGACCATTTACAAGATATTAGAACTTTCTCAAATGGCAGGGGGTCGGGATGACCCCTGGGGACTTACCCTGTATATCATTCAAACCATCTCAGCATGACAAACCAGAATATATATGGTTTAGGGGTGGGGATCTTGACCACTTAGATGATATTAGAACTTTCTTAAATGGCAGGGGGTGGGGGTGACCCCTGGGGACTTACCCTGTATAACATTTGATGTGCTTTATCATGACAAACCAGAATATATATGGTTTAGGGGTGGGGATCTCGACCATTTACAAGATATTAGAACTTTCTAAAATGGCAGGGGGTCCGGATGACCCCTGGGGACTAACCCTGTATATCATTCAAACCATCTTAGCATGACAAACCAGAATATATATGGTTTAGGGGTGGGGATCTTGACAACTTAGAAGATATTAGAACTTTCTTAAATGGCAGGGGGTGGGGGTGACCCTTGGGGACTAACCCTGTATAACATTTGATGTGCTTTATCATGACAAACCAGAATATATATGGTTTAGGGGTGGGGATCTCGACCATTTACAAGATATTAGAACTTTCTCAAATGACAGGGGGTGGGGATGACCCCTGGGGACTAACCCTGTATATCATTCAAACCATCTTAGCATGACAAACCAGAATATATATGGTTTAGGGGTGGGGATCTTGACCACTTACAAGGTATTAGAACTTTCTTAAATGGCAGGGGGTGGGGGTGACCCCTGGGGACTAACCCTGTATTTCATTTAATGGGCTTTATCATTTAGAACATTTTCAATTAAAAAGTTTGTGTCTATCACGAACGGTTTTCAATTTATAATCATTTGAAAATTTTAAAAAATAAAATCCCATAGGGTTCTATAGTAAAACCCTCTTTTCTTTTTGCCCCTCAAAGTACCCCTTTATAAACCCCATTGCAAAAACAAAACCCTGATTGCACCACTAGACATGTTAGTCTAACATATTGTGAAACCCTAAGTTAATCCGACAAGCGGTTTTGGAGAACGGGTGCGGACAAGTTCAAATTTAAAAGCGGCGGAAGAAGAAGAAGAAGAAGAAGAAGAAGAAGAAGAAGAAGAGGAAGAAGAATAATAATAATAATAAGAACTGAGCAAAAACAATAAGTCTTCCCAAACTTCGTTTGGGAGACTTAATTAACTTACTTTAGATATTTCATCCATTGCTGTCCAGAACTCTTGATCATTGACTGCCTCTACTTTTATGAAGAAAGAATTCACATTTTTCCTATATTCTGGGATATCCTTGCAGAATAATAACTTTTGGGTAGAAGCATCCTGTGAAAATATACAAGAAACGTTATCCAAAACATTGAATTCATTTGCAACAATAAACTGTTCAGCACTGAAATAAAAATTGCTCCTTTTAAACAGATTGATTTAGGTGACTTTAGATAAACACAAATTTCATCTGAGCCATACTGGTCTCGTGATAAAACCAGCATTTAAATAGAACTGACAACTTGAAAAAGTTTTGGCATTGCATGAAGTCATGTTTTTCTCAAACTGTTTAACATCTTTACACTGAATCCATTGAATGTGTCCCGACTAATGTATTAGACTGGGACACAAGATTTATCTTTTGGTTTTAACTGACTTTGAACTAGCTTACATCATCTGTGAGTTCCCTTAAATCAGTACAATGACGTCATTAATCTTTTTATTGGTTGTTTTTTGTGCTTATTTTTGTGTCGATCTAAAGAGTCAAGCCTTTATTTCAACTGTTTTTAACTGTTTGTTCTTATGTTGTGCTGTTACTGACCTAGGTTAGGGGGAGGGTTGTGCACTTGCAAATATGTTTAACTCTGTAACATTCTGTAAGTGCCTGTCCAAAGTTAGAAGCTTGTAATTCAGTGGTTGTCATTTTTTACTTTCTATCATATGTATTGTTCCTTTAATGTTTAATAGATAAATCATGCCATCATATTTCTCTTTTGAATTGTTTTACATTTTGTCATGTCAGGGCCTTTAAAAGCTCACTATAGATATGGTATTGGTTTAGCTCATTGTTGAAGGCTGTACATAGACCATTAGTTGCTTAAATTTGTGATATATGTTCTCTGGTGGATAATTGTCTCATTGGCAATCATACTACATCTTCTTTATTTTTTATATAGGAACTGATTTGATAAATATGTATGACTATGGACATTTGTCTATTATTAAAGACTGTATGTTGTCCTCAATATGTGTTTTGGGTATTTTTGTCATTGGGTTAATGTCTCATATCTACCTTTATTCATATGAGATAGGACTGTCTATTGAGGCAAAAGATGAAATAAATTTTCAACTTACCTTTCCATATAAGGAAAGTCAGGGGAATAAATATATTTTAAAAAATTATAGATTAGTTCTATACTAAAATTTTAGATGTTTTTCCTATTTAAATGCAGTTAGTATTCAAGTTTTTGATGAATTAGAATTTCATCAGGGCACAGATATAGTTAAAAGCTTGTATTAGACTCAAAAGTGTGTGAGCTATTTTGAGTTAGCTAAGCTTTCAGAACTAAACTACTTTTTAATTTAGATATATTTTTTTTAATTTATATTGTATGAAAAATAGTTCCTTCTTTAATACATGTATAGCATAACTATTTATTAACTCTTTTAACACGTACAATATATTCTGATGAGTCAATTGAGCCCTTCCAACTGAGTGTTACAGTTTGTTATTATGTTGTGTTGTTACACCACCATCCCTGACGAAAGGGGAGGGTTGAATGCTCCCAAACATGTTTCAACCACATTCTATAAGTGCCTGTCTCAAGCCAGGAGCCTTTAATCCAGTGGTTTTCATTGATTCATGTCTGTCATGATTGTTTTACCTTTATTATTGTAGTATCAATCAGCCAGGTGGTTTTACAGTGAAATTAGAAACCTGTAATTTTTGTCATTTGGTCTTTATGGATAGTTGTGTAATATTTTCAATCCTACCATATTTCATTACTTTTATATTATAGGTAAATCTATTTCAATGTAATCAATACTAATGATTATCATTATTATTTTATTATTTAGAGATGTTATATTAATTCTTGATGATTGTAAATAAAAGAACTGATTGTACATTTTTTAATATTTCAAGTGATCCAAAATCAAGCAACATTACACATTTTTAATCAAAATGTGCATTTGCAACATAACTTGCATTCATTTCACTTAAAACTTACAAAATCTGCATTCAGTTCTTAAGTGATAGCAGATTGCTAGCTTTAAAATTATTTCTGCAGTTGAAATTTGCACAAGTTTGCAAAGGCTGATTTACCCTTTTTCCTTTTGACCTGAAGAAGTTCACCTAGTTCAAAATAATTGTCATTAATGAATTTTTATTTATTGTCTGAATATTGAATAATAATTTGAATTATTCACCATCAATGATGAGTATTACACTAATTTCCCTGTTTGTTGGATATACTTTTATACAATGCTGACAGCTTGGTTGTTTAAACTAATGCTATAATGTCCTGTGCAATAATCTGGTTATTTTAGGTGCTTTGATTGGCTGTCAATTCATTATGATGTCAAATTATTTGTTGCTCAGTTGGTAAAAACACCTGACCACTGTTGTCCTATCCAAACATGTGATTTACAATAAGAAATTAATGGCCAATAAACATATGGGGAAAACAAAATTCTCCAAATGACTGCTTATGAATTATATTTCTCCTCCATGATATCAATATATAATTTTAACATGCTTTTTTAAAGTTGAAAATCTTTAATTTAACTATCTGAAGAGGAGAAATAACCAGCTCACTCATAACGGAAGGAAAATCTATAATTACATGCATGATGTCATAGTAACTCCCTGATGTACAGTTGTACCTTTGCCATGTATTGTCATGGTAACAAGCCTCTCTCTCTCATTCTACAGTAGCTGGAATCAATCTGTTAGAACCTTAAAATTGTTATGGTATCTAGCTACCCAAGCAATATGTCTTAAGCTTGGTCACTATTAAATTTCTATTTTACTCTGTGAAGTGTTGTACTCTCGAGGGTTTATTCTTTTCTCCAACATTTGAAAAATCTAATTCACGTTTAGGCCAATACAGAAGCCAGTACCAGATATATAATATAGGTAGCAGCTGCATGTATCCAAAAACCCATGTTAAAGAAATGATAGACTACTCATGAAATTTTGCAAAGCACGTCTTCTTTCTTTTGTTGTAAATCAGTGTTGGTGTATATTTATTTAGTGCTTTAGATGAAATTATTATATATTTTTTTAATTTTGACCTTTTTTCTTCAGTTAAATTTCAAGTTTCAAGTTTTTTCACTCTTAGACAGTTTACACTGTAATGAGAGGCAGACAACATGAACATATTACAATGAGGAACAGAAAAGTGCAGAAGGATAAAATAGTACAAAAACAATAACTACACAAACTCACATGTTACAACATGTATATTAAGACACAAATATATATGATAGATTGATCTATTTAAAGTGTTAGTAACATAAAATAGAAAGTTTATTCAATACTAATTAATCACACAACAACAATAGCCGTTTGAGTTTGACTTCAATCAGATCATTTGTTTGGTTTACGATATATGAAGAAATTGATTTATGCTGGATTCACTGTAACTCTAATTACAGGTAAATTTCATTAATCCTTATTACATATGATTCACTTTTCTCCAACAAGAAATTATTTGCCTGTAATATAAAAATATCAAATGTTGGAAAAACATGAACACACCTTTTCTAGCTAATTGAGCGACATGTCTTTTTTCCTGGTGCACTATGAATATACATTTAAAATGTTCTTTTTTTATTTGAAACTGTCTACAAACCTTTGTGACATGTTGAGGACATTGTGTAAAGCTGTCAATGAATACTTGTTTAAGGATATCCATGCATGGTTCCACATGACTTGGAACATTAACATCAAATAATATCTGAGGCTTGGCTATCAATGAAGCCCAAACTCTTGTTGCATAGCTAAAACAAAAAGAAATAATTTTGAGAAAAAAAAAATAAACAAGAGGCTCCTTAGAGCCTAAATAAATTACCTGGAAAAGGTATGGCATTTTGATACTAATTTTTGTATGTCATTAACTGTTTCTACCTAATATTATTTTCAATTTAAAGATCTGAAAGCTTAATTTTTTTTCAGATCTATGCTCAACAGCTTTTTCCTACCCAAATAAAAAGGAAAGATACAAGACAAATGTACATGTGACAAAATCCTAGGAATGAAGAGTAAAAACAAACAAGTCAGTGAAAAAAATGAGTCTATGATAAATTATTTATCGTAAATACTTTTTCCTTTCCTTGATGTCAATATTCATGATTTAAATGAGAAAATTTGTTTGCAACATCAAAAGTTTCTGGTTTCATTTCAGATTAGTATAAACAATAAAATCTTTGATATTAAATCTTGGATGTCCATCCCAACCGTGAAATCCATGAAAAGTTCAAGATCTTACCATTCGCTTTTCCAAGATTGTAGAATATCTCCATCGACACCCACTTCCTTACCCTGCTTGTCAATCATACACAGAAAGTACCGTACAGGTATTGATAAGGATTGAGAATCAGTAATCCCCTCAAAACAGGCTTCAATGTAGTCCCTTAATATCAGCTGTATATGATAAAAAAAATAAAATTAGTTGGCAATAAGAAGACTATTGCTGTAGTTAGTGTATAATCTATTTATCTGACAACCGGAAAGTGTTTATTTCATTTCAGATTGTCAGACTGTAATAAGAGCTAGTTAAAACCTAACAGCCAAAATTAATCAGGTGTAACTCAGCTTATAAGTATTATAACATATATCTATCGGTTATAGGTAAGAGTGTAATTTCCCTCTTCAAGAAACATTTTAATATCCTGGCACTGATTGAGACAACATTTATCAGAGTGTACACAGGCACTAATTGTGACAACCTTTACATGTACACAGACACAGATCAAGACAACATTTACCTGTACACAGACAAAGATCAAATATACCTGTACACAAAGATCAAGATAACATTTACCTGTACACAGACACAGATCAAGACAAAATTTACCTGTACAAAGAGTCAGATCAGAACAAAGTTGACCTGTTCACAGATCAAGACAAAATTTACCTGTACACATACACAGATCAAGACAATATTTACCTGTACAAACATGCAGACCAATTACCTTTGTATGGAATAATCTGTTAAGAAATATTTCTCCTATTTCATGTTCTTTGTTGGACTTTTCTTCATCTGGTAAATTTGACTGAAATGAAAGATTTGAAATATTATTTGGTATAAAAAAAAGTTCATTTCTTTCAATTTCAAAACTTTAAATGAAAAGATATTTTCAAAATACTGTCATTTAATTTTCTTTCACTGCTGTTACAGTGTACTATCCTCACAGCAACAATAACATCTGTTAACCTTATCTAAATAAAAAGATTTGGTGATGGCAACAAAATGTTGAAAATATTAATTAGCCATTCTGATTGGTCAAAACTGTTACCTGATGTTAGAAAAAAAATGTAACTGTGAAAAGCATTCTTTTTCTGTACATATATACAGACAGTTCATGTTTAAAGGAATTTGATAGTTACAACATTTGAGTTGATTCTGGCTGGATGTACATGGTACAATTTATTCCTTTCACCCAAAAAGCAGTTTTAAAAATAAGTTAAGCTTTTAAAGCCGTGCTCTGAAATATTTTATTGATTTTATAGAGTACAATAATTCACCGCACATTTCAAAAGTTCAATAGATATATAAATCAACCAAGAAAAGATAAGTCAAAACTGTTGAGTGGAAATTTTAATAACATACAGTTCCAAATTCATTGTTTCTAAAACCTACAGGTCTGACAAAAAAGTGTTTAATGAGAGTTTGTTTAACTTGAATGTCTTTTAAGGAAATTATTATTTCCCAATTCTTTGCAATTAAAATTCGCCCCTGCAGAAAATGAGAAAAAAACATTACATAATGTAGTGTGGGATGAACTTCTTCATAAAATTATATTTCCTGATTTAATTCTATGATCATATGTATTAAGTGTACTTTTATAAGGGTGTGTAGAATTTCCAGTACATGAAATAACTGAGTGTATTTCTTCATTACACTAGATTGTCTATTTCATCGGTATAAATCCATACTGGAAACCTTTCATATCATTTTTACAATATTGCTGTTATTCCAAAAGGAACGAGTAGTCACTGAAGGACAATATTTACTGAAGATTTTGGATGAATGTTTAGTATTTACCAAATGAGTTGAAATGACTGAGAGGCAACAGTTACCCTTTTGGAATTAAAAAATTGAAAACAGCATGTTTAATAATTTCATGCGTCCAAGCGCTTTTCTGGATTTACCTTCATCAGGAACGCTCAAAGCCAAACATTTGAAATCCGAGGGATGTATAAGTACCGAAACAGTTGAAGAGCTATATGACAAAAATACCTAAAACAAATAGCCAAATCCATCTAAGGTCAACTTTGCCTGAGGGAGTTGAAACCTTAGTTTCTTTATAATTTCAAAATTTATAAACGGACAATTTTAGAAAAGTTTGTTATAAATCATGGCAGTACCGAAGTACTGACTACTGAGCTGATGATACCCTCGAGGACTGATAGTCCACCAGCAGAGGTATCGACCCAGTGATGTAAAAAATTGAAAACAACACGTTTAATAATTTCATGCATCCGAAGCGCTTTTCTGGATTTACCTTCATCAGGATCTCAAATCCAAACATTTGAAATCCGAAGGATGTATAAGTACCGAAACAGTTGAAGAGCTATATGACAAAAATACCTAAAACAAATAGTCAAATCCATCTAACTGTGTTGGAAGGAGTGAAAAGGAGCTTATAACAATTGGAGAAAGATCTTAAGTGTAAACTTTAAATGAGTAATAAATTCTAGTTAATGTAAACATGAAGTAGTTGCCCAAATATAACCATGAGCTCTTAATCTTTTTGCTTTTATCTTTATAAAAAGCTTTAAAAAACAAGTAATATATTATTTAGGACAATAGAACTTTTCATGCATACCTAATTTAAAACAGAACACATGCTATTTTTTTCAAAACTTAAATACAAAAAAAAAAAGGTAAATTTGGATTTTTTGTGTAGGAGGCCTACATCAGAAGCATAAAGAACATTTCATGTTTAGTCAAAATCTGGCTTAATAATGCTACACTCCCACTTTTTTATTCATGCTTTGCAAGCAATGGTTGCACAAGCATGGCTGGCATGCAATTTTTATTTTTGAAATATGCTTTAAGCTTAATTTGAATTATTAGATAGTTTGTTAACACACAGCATCCAAAAAATTTAGATCGTCAAATGATCTAGTCTGGATTGAAAAACTTACTTTCTCTGGAAAATTTTCTACATCACAATTGTTTTTGCTACAAGCGACCTTCATTCGAAAATAAATAATATTGCAGATTTAATAAAAAAAAAAGTTGAAAACCACATTCTTTCTTATTATTTCTTTAATGTATGAATATGTTTTTAATATTGCAGTTTCAGAAAAGTGCTGCTGCTCGTCATTAATATGTTCCAAACTGCTTTTAATTGACTGGAATAGATGGATTTTTGCTTGTTACCAAAGTAAAAGGCCACAGGAAGGTGTTACCCTACCCATATGACTTGACTTTCATGTCAACAAAATTCAAATGGAATATTAATTGTTATAAAAATAAGGAGATGTGGTATGATTGCCAATGAGACAACTATCCACCAGAGTTCCAAATGAAGTGGATGAAAGCAATTATAGGCAACCGTACGGCCACGTTGGATTATTCAATTTTACGTGTGGCTTTTTTATATTTTGACTGTTGAAACAGCAGACCAATAGGAAATGAGTATTAAGATAAGGTTTTCATGTCAATATTGATATATGAAAAAGCTCAATTATTGAGCAAAGTTGGACCTAACTTTACTGTGCTTACAAGAATTTTGCACAGCTTGTAGCTAGAAATTGCATGCTTGGTATTAAATGGTTTCATACATTTGACAGGACCATCTACCTACATACACTTCTGCATTTTAGGATCTAACAATGTACTAAGTTTCATGGAGATAGGATAAATCATGTAGGAGGATTTGTAATGACAAGGTCAGTTCATAGAAGGGTCAAAATTTCTAAGGTGAAGGGGCATAATTCTGAATAAACTACACATAATACAAGTTAGTGATACTGGCATATGATGATCAAATATTCAACAAAGTTTAAAGTGTATTAAACAATGGATAAAGAAGTTGGTCTGGAAAAATAGGCAGATGCTTATAGACATCCCCCTCCACAACTTTTTTTGCAGGGGGTATACTAATCTTTGTTATTTAGACTTTGAGAATATGTTTATAAAAATGGTTGACATAAACATACCAGTAATTTTTAGAGTTACTTCCCTTCCATTATGTCTACATATTTTAACAATAGCATTCAAAATGATGCAAGGGTACATTCAATCAGGAATAAATAAATCTTGATCATGCGATTTTGGTCTTTATTCAGATTTCTGATCACTATAATGATAGTACACTAACCAAATGCCATTTAAGCTCCTGGTTGTCTGTTGTTGTCTCTGGTATCAATAGTTTGACATGGTCTGGACTAGTGGGAATACTTCCCTGTACATGTTGGTTCTCTGAAAATAAATAAATCACAAATTAACTTAATCACCATAATCACTGTTGGACTATAAGCATTACTTTTTTTTATGTATTTTGTAACCCCTCTTGGTCTTTTCCTAGGCTATGCAATAAAAACAAAATAACAAGCAACCCATATATTTAAAAATATTATGAAAAAAAAATACAATACAAATACATTTCTAGTAAAACATTTAAAATATTATTCATATTATTTCTTATAATATCTTTCATATTTATTTATTTAAATCTAAAGGCAACCTTTTTTAACAGAAAATGCTGTTTGAATCCTTTTATGTATCTAAAACACAACCACAAATATGTCCTTATTTTTATGATTCAATAATTTTGATGTGCTATATTTTCATCAATATAAAAAAACCTCAGCTCTGAAAATGTTGTTATTTTGAATTTCAACAGCAAACACAATTCCCTTTTCTAAAAGATTTTGCAAAGTATTGTTAGTATTCATAAGCATTCAAAAATTAGGCTAGCCACATAAAATATTGCAAATTTGTGAATAATTCAAATGATAATATAATATTCTAAATTTCACACATAAAACAAACAACACATTTAAAAAAACATCATATACAGATGTTCAGTTACCACTAAAAACATTTGTCAAATTTAAAGCCAACACTATTATACATTTTCCCTGACTGGCTGTTTATTATTTTTAGTCACATGATGACAGTTTACTTGTTTTGACAGCTCCTCATTGGTTGAATTTCATTTGCTATTTATAGATTGCATAAGAAAATAAGTACTGTGTCTGATGGAATCACAAAGAAAGAGTTCACTTTTTTGCAGGTTATCCAGGGCTCACGCTAGCAGGTGACTGGGGCGACAAAGTCGCTTTCCAGTCCGTCACTTTGCTTTGCCCGACCGTCAAAAGCGAAATCTAGTTTCCCTGTTGTTCACAATACTCGCTTTCAGTCGCTTTCGTCATCGGCAATATTCAACATTTACCAAGTCGATGAAACAGCAATTTTTCATTTGAAAGTAAAGAAATTCAAAGACATAAACGATTTATTTTCTTTAGAAAAGAGGTTAAAGCATTGATTTTAAAGTTGGTTGCAAGTTATTTTCATAAAGACAATCTTTTTATCACTTCCGGTACTTGATACTCGAGTCAGCGTACATCAAATCATTCTAACTTTCGGCAAAATAGGCTTGTTACTTCATTAGAACGTGATGAAATTTGCCTGAAGTAAATTTGTTATCCTTATATTGCATTAAAAACGTCATATTCCCTTCCAAATAGCGTATCAAACATTGTTTATTTTTGTAAATTTTCTTCGTCTGCCCTTGAAATTTTTGGGCAAATTATTGTACAACTACTGATCGGAGTCGGGTTTTCATCGGAAACGGACCAGCTGTGACCGAAATCCGGATTCTTGCGATAATGACTACGGACGCATGAATGGCACAGCTGACTGAAGAAAATTGATCCCGAAAGGAAAAATTACGCATTCCACAAGCATTAACATACTTTTGGTTAGATCTACTTGATTAATGTATATATTTCCATGTATATGCATTGTTTCAATTTATAAATTAAAGTTGCTCAACTCTGGGACTATTACACTAATATAGTTATATTATGTCCAAGCTTTAACTGTGTTAAACAAAACTGTTAAATTTAAATATCTTTTTAATGAGAAATACTTAATTTCATAAACATGATAACAGAGCAGGTTTTAATTGAATCTTAATTGATATAACAACCTTCTTTTCCTTTTTGATATAAAAAAAAATCTTTTTTATTATTGCCAGATATTTAATTGTTTTTTTCTGACAAGAGGACTAATATGACTAGATATGATAAAATTAAACAACTTTGAATTTGAACTGTTACTTAAATTGTATACCCAGGTACAAATTGAACAATATAAAAAAAATAAGATACATATGGCTCTTTGTATTATAGTAAAAACCAAACATTGTATCGCTGCGATCGATCGAGCACTTCTCTTTCAAATCTCACCACTTCTCCCTCTCAGTTTCAAAAAGAGAAGTCACTTCTCCCTATGATTCTGAAGTAGTGTGAGCCCTGTTATCACAGTAAAACTTTATCTACATTAGATAATGTAATTGTACAATTGGATCTCATGATTCACTATATTCCTATACTCTCAAAAGCTCAATTGTGTGTGTGTGGGTGTGCGATTTTAGCACTGAACTTGCCTAAAGTTTTGAATATTAAATTTTATATGCATAATTTGAACTTGGATTTTTTTTTAATTAAAAAATTGTTTTCCATAATATGAAATAAACAATTCGTATTTGAGCACAGCATTAACTAAAAAGAAACAAGAGGCTGTCAGAGTGACAGCAAACCGGATTTTCCTGCAGAGGTCGAACCCTGATCAGTTGAGCAAGTATGGACAAAACATTTAAGCTTAAAACAGCTCTGAATTTGGATTGTGATTGAATATTTGATACAGCATAGGTTTGTGACACAAAATAAATGTGGTCAAAGAAATGAAAAATTTGAAATTGGACATTTACCTATTATGGTCCAATATCCAAAATCTAAGTAAATCGTTTGAATCAGCTTATCAAAGAACCCCAAAAATAGAATTTTTGATGAAATACTTATTAATTAAAACAATTTCTGTTCAAAGGGAAATAACTCAAACTTGTTTCCATGAACCAGTAATGCAAATCTAAAATTAGATATGATTTCACCACTAAAAAATAGTTCTCTAAAATTAGATATGATGTTTTCAAATTATAATCAAATATAATTAATAGTTCTCAATATTTTTTCTTTCATTTGTCACAAACTAATGTCTTATCTGCAACGTATCTATCAATGTCAACAACTTTATCTACACAATGTAATGTAATGAAATATATCCTTTAATAAAAATAAATTATTATCTAATGAAAATGATATTTGCAAATCTGGACACCCAAACAGGATCAAGTAAAAATTTAACATTAACACACACAACAAAAATGAAATTCCACATAACAACTGTGACATCTACCTTCAAAACACATGTACACGACTTAAAAAAAAATAAGTTATAAATTTTTGACAACTCCTGACTAATCAATTGAACAGATACAATCATTGATAGACTATCTATACATCTCAGCTATAAGTAAACTTATGAATTTCTGTACAAAGGGAAATAACTCAATTACATAATAAGTAAATTTCTGGTTTCTAAAAGGGTCCAAAATTCAAGAACGAGAAAAGCTAAAGTCGTGAAAATTGAACTTGACCTTTTTTAAGTCAAAGGAACCAACACATCAAAATTTTTAAAAATTTCTTCTAAGCGTTTTCATGTAAATGAACGGACACTGTTTGGCAGCCGCCTGCCCGCCCTCTGTACATCCCCAAATCAATAACCGATTTTTTTTCTTCGAAAATCCGGTTAAAAATCAAACTTAACTGGTTGCACAAATCTGAGATATGGGTTAAACAAGACTAAACTGTAGGTAAAGATCTAACTAAAATCAAGCTAAAAAAGATAAAAGCAGAAACGTGATAATGAAAGCTTGGTGTATCATACAAAAAAAACATGTAAAAATCCTTAGCTAAATTTGGTATCTTATACTTTTCTATTTATTTTATTTAGTTTTCAAGTTGGAAATTTACAAACCTCCGAGGGTTTTTTAATTTTACTTCATTCTAAAAATTCCCCTTTTTTTAACATCTTTTTTTTGGACACATTGAAAGACCTGCACACTATCACTATTAAAAAAAGTGTATTAAATTTAATTAATTCAATTAAATATTTGTAATTAATTGAATTAATCAAATATTGTGGTATTTTTATATCAAGAAAAATTGAGTATTAATACACAGTATGGTGAAATGCAATTTTTCCTTGTGATTGCATTGCCTCTTATCAACAGCATATTAAGTTACTTCATATCAGAATATACTGTCATTTATGGAAATGAGTTTATTCTTAGCTTGGTATGTCATTGTAAACATTAACCAATGAGAAGATTGGGTTTCCTAGTTGCTGCTGTTGAAATCTTGTTCCCTAATTGTTTAGTGAGATCTAGTAAGAGAACCAATCAAAACAGGGCGCTCATTTCAAAAATGTCCTGAATACCACAGATTGTTCATTAATTAATTTCTGTATTGTTTGAAAACTGTACTGTTGTTTGTGGTTTTATCAATATGAAAAACTAAGCATTAAACTGTGGTTCTTTTCCAAAAACATGTGTTTGTTTTACTAGTAACCAACTGGATTCACTGGTTTCTGGACTGCATTCCGAACAGAGTATGTCATCCGTTCTGAATTTGGTCTAGATTCCAACACATTTACACTGTCAGTTCTAGGGGATTTAGGGTGGGGGATTAATAAGTTTAATATTACACAATCAAGAGGTATCAAAAATAATGTTATTGTTACAGAAAGCACAATTTTTCCCCCTTTTTCCTTTTGAGTTTAAGGAAGTTACGATTTTAGTTTAAGGGTTAAAGCTAAATTATTTAAATGATAATGTGTTTGCAAAAAAAATCATCTGTTTAACATCCTCACAGACACACTAAAACAATTTATTGTAAATTCAGAAACTTCACCAAACTGTCTAAAGTTATGTGAAATCTGTCACAATATGAAAAATTCATGATCTTTTTAATTATAAATATTGATATTTTTCTTGAAGCACCTATTTGTCTGTAATATCAAAGACGAGGAACTTTGATTTCTGAATTTACAATTGCAAACTACAGCTAAAAAAAAAATCTATCAACAAGAGAAAAAGATGCAGTATCTGCAAAGTGTGCAATGGCTGAAAGTGAAACAGTTTTAAAACTTCTGTTTGTTAGTAAACAATCTTGTTATAGAATTGAAATGAGTGAAATTACAATTTTATACACCTTTATTTACCTCTTTGTTGTTGAAACCAAACTAGACTATTTTCTAGAGAAAAAAATAAGGTCTGATTGGCAAATCTTCAACTAATTACAGTAAATTCAGAAATTATTTTGTGCATTTATAATCGAAATTTTTTAAGAAAGGACCAAAAATGCAAGATAATTATTGCGATTTGAGAAAAATCTGCGTACAGATATATGCATGGTGTATCCAAATGTGAGTTCTTATTATTGCGATATTCACCCAGTTGCATTATTCACATTCATTTTTATTACATCTTACTACCTTTGCATAAGTAAAATATTTCAAAAGCTATTTCTTATATATTTTTCAATAGTTTTCAAACAGAGGCATCTTATTCTTACAAGGAAATCTCTGTTTTTTAATATATGTCAATAAAATAAAGATATATTGTATACCAATAAAAAGAAGATAATGCCATTAAAGCACATGCACCTGGTGATGATTCATAACCTGACCGGTTTCTGTCCTTCATTGACCTATAAATCTTCAGAGGCAGAGTGATGGACTGATAGTGGCACACTACTAATATAGAGTCTGAAAGTTATCTGTTACCCGTTTCCAGATCATTTTTATCAGTTCAATTAAATATCTAGTGGAATTTCTTTGAAATATTTAGGCTTTTGATTTGCTGAAATATCAAGTCTTTTAATTTACATTGACACTTACTCTTAATATTAAAAAGGAGGATTGAAGGCTCAATTAATGCTTTCATTTAGAAGACTTGATATTACAACAAATCATAAGTCAAACATCAAGACTGCATGACTACCATGTACAATAATTCAAATGATAATAGAAGCCAAAATGTTGGTAAGATGGTTACCTAATTTATCCTATATCATCAGGTTTAAAGATTACTGTAACATTCAAAATCATTTGAATGAAGTTGAAGGCTAAAATAATGCTTTCATTTAAAATACTTGATATTTTGTTTCTGCTGATACACATAATAATAAATATTGATTTAACTTGGACTGTTTTCAGCTCTTTGGGTTGTTGTTTCTTTGACACATTCCCTGTTTCCATTCTCAATTTTAACTTCAAAGTACCGGTACTTAAGAAATAATGCTGTCATTTTCCATAATGTCTGAGGCCATACTGTATGGAAGAGTTCAAACAGCATCATCATATAAAACAGTACAAGTATACACGATACTGTTCCATGCCAAGAACAAACGCCTTTGGGCCTGGTGAGCTAAAAATGAATGAGTGACTATAGGAAAAAAGAAACTTGCACATGCAGTCACTCATTGAGGCATAAAACCGACACCCTGCAAAAATTCAGCTGTCCATCACATTTTACAGGCAATACTGCTAAACAACAAATTTTCTGATTTAGCCCTCTTCTGGCAATTTGGCAGCCGACTATATTCAAAATTTTCAAATTTTCCTTATGTTTTCATTTATAGAAGATCCAAGTTCGACATATTCAAGACAATTCACATTATTTTTTTACTCACAAAAGTGGCAAACATAAGTTGATTTGCAGTACTTGAGTCATGAAAATCACAGCTTTTTCAATTACCTTATGGTTCAAATGTCCACAGAAGTACAGCTAAAATATCATAGGGTTTGATATAATTATACATCCAATTGCAGTCCTTCATGCTGTAAATGACTCTTGTGAAGTATTTAAAAAGAAACACTGTTTCGTTATCAAGGTTAAGTCATCAATGAAAGAATGACTTTGTCTCTTATGAGTTTTTTATCCATACCTGTCTCATGCACTGACAGAAGAAAGATTTTATGAATTTATTGCTTAAGAAAATTGACAAAGCAAAATAGCAAATTCCCTTCATGAAAGTAGGCCCTGTTTATTCAATTTCATATAATAATAATAATAATAATAATAATGATAATTCTTTTATTTAAAGAATTCATTATATTCTTTACCAGCAACCCTGTTGTTAAGGGAAATATCTCTTGAAAAATCAGTGGTATAAATTCAGTTTCACATGAATGCTTAAAAACATTGATGAAACTGACTGTTACATACGATTTGTTCATTAAAACAGTTATCTAACCTTAAACCAGAATTACCTCCCTTATCTTCAGAATGAAAATTTTCAAGTGTTTGTATTTTGACCGCCATTCCTACAAGCTTGGATCATCTATTCAAGAAATTGAGTTAGGTTTAACTGAATATCTCACATACTCATATAGAAGCATGACTTTCTTTAAGACAATGCAAGCCTCGTAAATCCATTCAGTTGAAGTCATTCACAGATCTTTAAGCATGACCAAAGGAGCATGCATATCAAATCTTACCCTCATCTTCAATACCATCAGCAGCAACAGTATCCCCTTGATTTACTAAAATAGGCCACATACATAGGTAAAATGTGTTTAAAAAGGAGGAAAGAAAAAACAGTCTTCTTACAGCAGACACAATTCCTCAGTTTCCCTAATTTTCCTTGCAAATGGATAGAGTAGTTTCAATTTCATCAAGAGCAATTATAGAAATTGCTTAATGTTGAAATCAACAAATAGCTTATGTCAATTTATCTCAGATTTACTTGGGTTAAACCTGAGCCAACATAATTATAACGGTATTATAAAATTTTATACATCCTAGTTTCAATAAATTTTGAATTGACGAGAGGAAGGAATTTCTTTTTAACACACTATGATATCACTATGAAATGTATGTTCCATTGGATGATATAGTCAAGTGTTTGATTGTGTCAGGTTTTATGGACTTCCCCTTTTTGGATTTACTTTGAAGTTCAGTATTTTTGTTAATACTTTTTTATTTGTCAGTTTAAATGGTAACTTTCAACTAAAACAACCCCTCAGGGTACCATAGGGTATAGCAGTTGGACACGGTTTCTTAGACCTACGGATAAATACTGACGAGGGCCTACATTTTGCCGTGCAGAATGTATAGACAGACGCACACATATTAATCGCTATGGAGACATCAAATCTGATGCTTTATGTAAGGGAGGTGCTAACTTTCTACCCTTTAAGGAATCCTTGCAACATCTGTTTCAGGGGTCAACATTTCTCCCCTTATACATCATACTCTTTTTTTTCTAGTGGCAGTCAAAACTTCATTTTCATCAACCCACTTTGCAGAACCTACTTGTTAGATTAATTGTGAATTTGTTCTCATACTAAATATGCATGAAATGTTTGCCATAAATGGACTTAAGCAACAGCAATAAATCTACTAAATGTAAGCATATATATCCAAATGACACAGTGTATTGAAATTTTAGTCTTAATTTTTACCCTTTCCCTGTGTAAATTGTTGACTTATTAACTAGATACTTATAATATATCATTACCATGAAGAATTCATAATATTTGTCTTTATTTTGTCATGTTCTATCTATTCATGTTATATTTACAAATACGCACAATGAAGGCTTTCCATGTACAATCTATATACACCGTATGGGTTCTCAAAAATAATTTTAAGTATCATACAGACTTTCATACAGAAAATAAAGATGCAGCTATTTTTTTCTATCTCATTAGGAGCATTGATCATTACATATTCTTACCATATATGTCATCTTGATCTGTTGATTCTTTATACATCAGGGCCATCACACTTCCATCCTTCACCATATAATGTTTTAGGGTATTCAGGCGTACCATCCCGTTGCTACGGTCACTGATGCTATCAATGTCCTGTAATGTCAATTTTCCACTTTTCCCGCTATGCCATTCTGTAAACATGAAAATCATTATAGGTATCAAGTCATGTTTTTCAAAAATCACATATAATTTTCTTTTAAATGTAAATTTTTTTATACTAGTACTACAAGATCTTACACATTGACATTTGCCTTAATACTTCATGTAAAGATATGTAAATCCAAAAAAAAGCAAAAACAGTATGGAATACACACCTAATTCCAGATCATCTGGGGTGGGTATTTCTGATGCTGGTTGGTTTTTGTATATAGCTGTACAACATTTCTTTTTGACTTGTGTGATTGTGTCACAATCTAGGACAATGACCGGTATTCTCTTGTCGCTGTTTCCATTCAGGTCAATATCTAAAGTCTTAAAAAGAAAATTGAAACTTTATATAATGTATTATGGTGGACAAAATGTAATATAAACAGTCTCTCTTACATATGGAAAGAAATTATAGTGATAACTATCTGCAGCTATAGAGTTTAAATTTTAACTAAATCAAGCTGTTTTTCCATCATATAAAGATTTGTTATAAATCTGATGTAGTTTTCCAAAATGAAAAACAATGAAATACAAAAGTTTCACTTAGAGAGTGAAGGTATAATTTTTAAAGAGTTCTTTATTATAAAAAAAATGTACTATTACAAGTGTATTTATTCAACCAAAATTTTCTGACATCACAATAATGTTTTTGATTAATGATAATATTCCATGATTTAAATTGGAAAAAATGCAATAGTTGGGTGCATATTTCATGATCAACTTATCCTTTACAAAACATAGATATAGAATAAATGTGAAGTACCAGTGTTTCATGTTCCACCCTGTTTTTTAATAGTCTTTCTTCAGCCAGTGTGTTTTTACAGAGAATAGTAACGGCATCAATAGGAGCTTTTTCTATCACTGTTTGTGTGGCTTTATACAGCATAAACAACTGCATACCTCCATTTTTCTGTAAAATAAAATTATTTATTTTCCATATATTTTTGTCTTAATGATGTAACTGGCCCAAAAACATTATAATAACAAGCATTCTGAGAGTATTGCATGGCAATACATAGTCCTCTACCGGTTAAAAATTAATTGTACTGGAACAAAATGCTAACTTGATCTATAACTTGTCATGGTGTAAACTATATAACAGATATCAAGTCAATATCTTCAAGCATGACGAAAAAAAGTGCAGAAAACTGATAATTTAAGTGAATTTTCTAAGTCCAAGGACCATAACTCTGCAAAAAATCATCAAACCAAAACAAAATTCAAACTTGGTCTGTAACTTGTCATGATAAAATTATATACCAATTATCAAATCAATATCTTCAAGCATGACAAAAAAAAGTGTGGAAAACTGATTATTTGAGTGAATTTTCCAAGTCCAAGGACCATAACTCTGCACAAAATCTTCAGACCGGAACAAAATTCAAACTTGATCTGTAACTTGTCATGATAAAACAATGTACCAATTATTAAATCAATATATATCTTCAAGAATGACGAAAAAAAGTGTGGAAAACTGAATTTTTGAGTGAATTTTCCAAGTCCAAGGACCATAACTCTGCACAAAATTATCAGACCGGAACAAAATTCGAACTTGATCTGTAACTTGTCATGATAAAACAATATACCAAATATCAAATCAATATCTTCAAGCATGAAGAAAAAAAGTGTGGAAAACTGATTTGCCGGACTGACAGAAGGACAGAGAGAGAGACAGACAGACAGACAGACAGACAGACAGACAGACAGACAGACAGACAGACGGATTGCAAACCTAAAGTCCCCTTCGACTTCGTCGGTAGGGGACTAATTAACATAACATTCTGATTAGAGAGAGACTCAACCCATCTATTGTATAAACAAGACTCCAATTACTGTGGATTCATTTATTTTCGTTGGTACCAATGTTTATGGATTGAAGAAAAAATATATTTTTAACAATTCCTGATTTCGTGACAGGTTTTGCTAAAGTTTGCTCAAATTCCTAATGAAATTAATACTTCTTTGAAAATTTAAATTTATGGTAAATTATCTATACCCATGGTCCATGAAAGTCATGAAAATTGGTATCCAATGGATAATAATTAATCCACAGTATGTACATTTACATTTTGTTAACCATTTTAATTTTACAAAGAGTGTTTACACGATACTGATGACATTTTTTTTTCAAAAGCTGAACGTTACAGCAACTCAAAAGAGAGCTTTAACTTATTATCTTGAGAAACAAAATATTACAAATTACCTTTAAATGATCATACAATGATAATGCCAACCAGTTTACCATAAGTCTCTGTGTGATTGATTCAAATCTACAATAAGATGAAGCATTAATATCTATTTAAGTTTTATTTGATAAACAAATGCTCATATTTTTTTCTAATTGCAACAAGATAGAACACCATTTTTCAGATTGTATTAGAAATTATTTTCAGACAAAGGTTGTATTTGACATACATATACAATATGTTTCCTCGTTGTCCTGAATCACTCATTTGAATAGCTCTTTACTCTTGTAAACTGACTTAAACCACCATTCATTATTGTAAACAATTAGGTTAACTTCAAATTTATAAATGTATGTACACGAAAGAAACATGCTTCTGGTATAACCTGCACAAAGAATACTCAGAACTTAAAATTTGAGCAGCATAAATAATAAATCATTTAAGACTATCAAAACCTAAAACAGACTAGACATAATGTCCAAGATAAACATCGATTAGTTTTAGTTCATTTACCCAAGGTCCAAGATAAACATCGCTTAGTTTTAGTTCATTTACCCAAGGTCCAAGATAAAAATGGATTAGTTTTAGTACATTTACCCAAGGTCCAAGATAAAATGGATTAGTTTTAGTACATTTACCCAAGGTCCAGGCCATAATCTTGCCGGCGAAATGACGATTTAAGTCGCCAAAGAATTTTGGAAATCGCTAAATCTCGCCGGCCGACTGACTTCATAGCGAAGTCAAATCGCTATCAAAATCGGTAAAAGGGAGACAACTTGTGATTGACAAGTCTCACAGGTAAAAAAAAATGGCGGCTGATAAGGAAAATCGAGATTTTCGAAACGACCCAGGACTTATACTGTAAACGATCAAATTAAATAAATACAACGGCGACTTTGAACATCCTCGGATATAACTTTCAAAACTGTTAAAACGGAAAACTGACTGTCTGTTTAAGTTAACGTTTTACGATGATTTTCATCTGAGGATGTTGCGTAATCACTCAGCTGATTTGTTTTATTTGTATTACCTACACAAGTCGATCAATTTTACTATTCGGTTGGTAAAGGGTGGGAATTAACGGTAGATTTATTATATTCATTGAATAAAAATTGAAATATAAAAGGTAGAAAGACAGCTGATGGATAATGTGATTGCAAACGTACGACATTCGAGATTGTGATCAGCAGTGGATTTTTTCTCATGACCACTTCGTTGATATGGATGACATTTTTAAAAAGTGATAGAAATTAGCTCTTTTTCGGATAATTAACTTGAGATTGAAAGATATTTTCATTTATAGACTTACAATCTTTAACGATAATCTCAATTTACTACAACTAACATAAATGTCCTGGACATTCAATAATGTTTTACAAAACAATGACAAGTAGTGATATAAATTAAATTCCCAGTCAAGTGAAATTCATCATATTTTTCTTGAGTTTTAAAAATAAATTGAGGCAGATGCACATGAATTTAATGCATCATAATCTTGATAATATTACTAGGCTACTCCCTCATGTCCCAATCAACAAATTTTATTTAGAACACATTATGGTATCAATAAATAAATAACAACTATATATTGTTTAAACCTTTTTATTAAGAACTTTCTATATATACATTGTGTACAATAACATATGAAAAAACTGCAAGTACATCTTTTATTGAATATAAAACAATTTCCTTAGTGATAAGCTTGAAAACATGATGCAACCGAAACCGTTTGGTAATGGAATCTCACTTCTCCAAGAAGTTGACCACTTCTCCCTTCTCTCTCATGGAAGGAGAAGTCACTTCTCCTTCTTCAAAATCCTAGATTAGGCCCTGAAGGTCAAAGATAAACATTGCTTAGTTTTAGTACATTTACCCAAGGTCCAAGATAAACATTGCTTAGTTTAAGTACATTTACCCAAGGTAATGTAAAATTTTGTGATTGACGCATGTTGTCATATCTCTGAGGAACATATATACTGTATAAAATTTTCAAAGGAATAAATAATATTTCTGGATTCGACATAGTTTAAAAAAAAAAAAAAATTATGAATTTCATAACCGTATCATCGATGAAAAGCATAAATTTGACTAGAAGGAAATTTTTGCAATAAAATTCTTTACTATCAAAGCTAATTACCTTCTGAAAAGAACTTTTTGTTGCTTTTTGTTTGCTGATTTTATCATGTCTATCAGTAAACTATTAATCAATCTGAAAAAAACAACAACATATAAATTATAAGCCTAGAGTTGAAAACAGAACATATATAATTATCATTTAGTTGTTGTTAAAACTGCTTTATAACACCACTGATAGTGTATTACACACATTCAAATCAATAAATATCAAATTGACATGAAATTAAGGTAGCTGGGGTGTCTTCCTCCATCTTGGATTCTGAAGTAGCAGATGACAATTGGTCTAGATCTTTAATGAAATGTGCAAATTTTGAGAGTAGTGTGTAATTCAGGTGTAAGACTTTTCATGTTAATATAGAAAATTATGTGTTTTATCATATTAACGTCAGTATTTTCTAAAAAAACACAACATTTTTGTTTGATTCATTTTTTTTCAACTTTGCCACATAAGGGGAGATAACTCAGATAAAGTAAATAGAAAGTGTTGTGAATTTACCTATTTTAATATGTAGCAAGGAAACAAGTCTGGTGACCCCATTTTTTCTTTTTCTTATCTGAAAGCATGTTATAAGAGCTTTCTTCTCTCATTTTATCTTAAAATTCTATGGTGAGGTTTTCTTTTTATCACACAAAATTGGATTTTCCATGCATAATCTATACCCCGTTTTTTTGCGTTTGTGCAATACACTATGCTGTTGAATATTAACCCCCCAAAAAAAAACAATTTGAAAAATTTTCTTTTAATTTCTGAAATCTGAAATGAGTAAAATTGTCCCCTTCCAATTTTTTTCACCTCCCCCCTTTCCCTTATTCCAAAAAATAATTCATTCCCTCAAATTATGGTAATCATCATTTCTTAATACACAATTTACAAGCAGTGTAAGGGAGGTAATCAAACATTGTTATGTAAATTGATTTGGATTTTGATTTGGATTACATCCCTTACACTGCTTTTAAATTGTCTCAATTGTCCTTTAACCAGAAAAACCCTTGTTTTTCCCCTTTTTTTTGCCCCTAATTCCTAAATGGTTTGAGTCATAACCCCCCAAAGTCAATCCTAACCATCCCTTTGTAGTATTGAAACTTGTGGTATAATTTCAGAGATTCATACACTTTAACACAAGTTATTGTCTGGAAACTACAATAAAATGATTCGCTGAGCGCAGCCTGATACGACCGCAGAGGTCGAACCCTGAACTGTTTGGGCAAATTTGACACAATATTCAAGCTTGATACTGTCTGAATTTGGATTGTGATCAAATTTTTGACATAATATAGGTTTCTGACACAAAATAAATGTGGTCAAAGATCTTACAAATCTATTGCGCAATACTGTGCAATTGAAGATTTCTTCTTGAAACTTTTCAAAAATTCGAAATTTGAAAAATTTTGAAAAAAAATATGAATCCCTTAAAAAATTGGAAAAAAAAATCCCCCCCCCTCCCAACTTTTTGAAACCCCCCCTGGGAGCAATAACCCCAAAACTCAATCCCAGCCTTTCATTTGCAGTATGGAACATTGTAATACAATTTCAGAGAGATCCATACACTTAAACACAAGTTATTGTCTGGAAACTAGAAAAATGCTTGTTTTTGGCCGTTTTTTTTGGCCCCTAATTCCTATATGTTTGGGGCAATTAACCCCAAACTCAATCACAGCCTTCCCTTTGTTATATGGAACCTTGTGGTACAATGTCAGAGAGATCCATACACTTACGCACAAGTTATTGTCTGGAAACTAGAAAAATGCTTGTTTTTGGTCCCTTTTTGGCCCTTAATTCCTAAATTGTTGGCCCCATAACCCCTAAAATGAATCCCAACCTTCTACTTGTGGTATTAAACATTGTGGTACAATTTCAGAGCAATCGAAATACTTATACACAAGTTATTATCCTGAAACTAGAAAAATGCTTGTTTTGGGCCCCTTTTTCCTAAACGGTTAGGACCATCATCCCCAAAATCAATCCCAACCTTTCTTTTGTGGTATTGAACCTTCTTCAAAAATTTCATAGAGATCCATTCACTTAAACTAAAGTTATTGTCCGGAAACCAATGTGTCTTCGGACAACGACGCAGATGACGACATCATATCCAAAAAATTTTTTTGCAGTCGTATAAAAAGCATGATAAAAACAACGTTTTGACAAATTTATAAAAAATTCTATGGATTTTAATTAAGACTGGACCCCATCCACCTTAAATAGCTAGAATTCTTTTTTAAATCGGAAACATTACCCATTCACAAAATGTTGTTATACTGCAAAAGTAAATTTCAAGTTTCACTTCCCCTGTCACCCTTCTAACCTGAATGCATGTTTTTTATTGTCTTTTAGGGGGGCTATTTCTTTTACCCTGTGATCTCATTAAAAAAAGAGACAGAAACCTCATCTTAATTAGAATATATCATTCATTTTTACCAAAATATCAAAATAAAAATAACTAGTACTCTTCTGAGGCACAGCACAGCTCACAAAACAAAATGACCTACTCCCCCTCCACACACACGTATGAAAATCAACAGAAGTCTATAATAAGCTCAGGAACATCCCCCCCTTAACAAAACAAAAATACAAAATAATTGGGATACAAAATATTTAGGTGTACAATGGCATTACATTGTGAAGTTTATTAGAAAATTTCATTTAATTCTGTTCAGGGTTTAGGAGAAGCTGATACAATTGTATAATGTATAGTGTGTGGATGATGAAGTCTAAATGACATGCCAAATTAAAACTGATGAAGATATGAAATTGGAGGTGCAAAATAACATCTAATAAGTAATATTCTGTGAAATTTTGTTCAATATGTACTTTCATCAATTTTTTCAATTTTTGTTTTAAAATTTCCATTTTTAAAGATATCATTTAATAGACTGTGTAAGACAGTGAAACCTCTGTGTAAGTTAAAACCTGACTTAACAGAACTTTTGCATCAGGACATGCAATGAATTGTCTTTATGAGATCAAACTTTTCAGAGTTTTTTTTTTAATTTACTATCAATATCCATATATACTTACTGATAGAAAAGTTTCATGTTTCCAATCACACAGACTGACAGTAATGAAGCAAACTGGGCTCTGTCAAAAATAATGAATATGATTTTTTTAAAATTAATTGGTACTCGTAAATACAAACAAAAAGCTGTCATCAGTTATTCATTTTTTATCATTGTTCATATTTAATCACTTATATTAATTATTTACCTTTGGAGCTACAGAATATACATTAAGTCAGGCAGTTCAAACTGTGAATTATTTTATAATGTTAACTGATATTATAATGTAAGTTTGGCATCTCCTCTGGTTTGTTGGTGAAACAATGATTTTGTTTCTATCATGAAAATCCCACAAATACAGCCCAATAGATCTTTTATCAAATTTTCATCATATTGATATTGTAACATATTAGCTGCTTAACACAATATGAAGCCTTTTTGAACCCGTTCCCTGTCCTCACTCTACAAAAAGCTTCATTGGGACTTGCAGCACATATTTTACAGTATCAACATGCAGAAAAATACATCTGATAAACATAAATATTTTATACAATTTAAAAAAAGTTATATTTCAAACTTTTAAAAATGAACACCTGTAATGAAACATATTCCAGTAATTTATTATTCAAATCTTATATGTGAACATTTAAATAAACTCTTAATATATTCCTGTTGTATTTCTTTTTTTCAAATTATTTTTCAATGAACTTCTTTCACATATTCCAGTATTTAGTTTTTTTCAAATTTTCAAGTGTGAACTTTAGACTGAACTCCTGTTACAAATTTAGTACTTTTTTCAAATGTTATTTGTAAATGTTTCAATAAATTTCTTTTTATATATTCCAGCACTTAATTCTATTTTCATTTCAAATCGTTAAATGTGAACTTTTTAAATGACTTCATACTCAACATTTCCCAGTAATTATTCTAAGTTTTTACATGTAAACTTTCAGATAACTTCTATAACATATTCCAGTACTCTTTCAAAAACATCTTTTCATGTGAAACTTTTGAAATGTCTATTGTTTTTTCAGTGTTTCTTTGATGTAAGTCTCTATGAAGTTTACCCATAATCTGCTTTTTTCAAATATTTACATACCCGGTAAATAAAAAAAAATAACAAAAGTTTTCTAGTCTTACTTGTCTTGAGGTGAGAGTTTATTCTGACTTTCTAAAGTTTGCACGAGTGATTTCATAAACAGTTTGTTGGTCATAAGCTTGTCAAACATATCCATAGCTTTCTGTACTTTCCTTCTGTTGTCATCTGTTACCTGCAAAAAAAGATAATATAAGTATATACTGTAGATTCATTTATTTTCATGGTTAACAAATTTCATGGATGTGGTTTTGCTAAAGTCTACGTACAAGTCTATAGAAAATTTATACTTAATTGAAAATCTAAATCTGTGGTTCACGTATACCCATGAAATCCACAAAAATCACTGTCCCACAAATAAAATTGAATCCATAGTATATCATAGTATTGTATGTTATAAACTCCAAAATAACTTCTCAGGCCTTGGTAAGATTACACTGTCATAGATCTATCCCACCAGTGCCACCATATGGTCCGAGTACACAGTTATTTCGTAGTGCATTTCTTTTAGACAATAAATGAAAATTAAAAAAATCCCACCTGCGCTTTCTCAATAATATTTTTACAGTGTGATGTACTACTTTTGGGACAAATTATATTAAAATTATAGAAAACTTCATCGGCTCTAACTCAAAATATGGACAATTTTATGTTAAGGGGGTCTTGAAATCTTTTGACAGCTTCCGAAGTGCTAATTTTTAACCTTTTTCAGCTGGACCAAATCACTACTTTACCTTAAAATTCATGACCCAAATTTTTTTAAAGTGTAACTTCATCCCCCTACTTGCTATTTGAGGCATAAAACATGGAGAAATAAATTTGAAAGGGGTATAAAAAAAACTGGCAAGTAACACACTGTCCACACTAGGGACTATATTTGTGGACAAAGAAAATCAAAGGACGATAACTGTGTACTCGGACCATATCAACATCACAAAAAGTATAACAATAACAAGAATGCTTGTCTGTCATCAGTTTTTGTAAGGCCAACATATTGTTCCAACTCTTCACAGAGAGATATACGTCATCTGTGTGTATTTTTAATAGCATAATGCATAAAAACAAAAGCTAAAAATAAAAAAAAGACTCTGAGGGTAGACTTAAACTTGAAAAATTTCAATCCAGTTGCACATCATTATCCTGAGGTACTGTTGATTCATTATTATTCATGGGATCTCAGACATTTACATAGATTTTGTGGGTAGAGGTGAAACCAGAATTTAAATGTTCAACATAGTACAAATTTTGAATAGACATGTATAGAAACTTTGGCAAAACAAAACAAGAGTGCACTCGCTGAAATGTCTAGCCTGCTTTACTGACCATTGATTTTATGTTGAAAGTCTTAAAGATAAAGGTTTAACTAAAAGCATCAAAGAAACTCAGGTCAGATAAATTCTGTGACTGTCAGACAGACATATATTCCTTACAATTTTTTATACACAAAATACATTTGACCTCTTGCTTTAATATGATAATTGAAAAACAGATCAAAAAAAAAAAAAACTTAACATTGACCTATGAACTATGAAAATGAGGTCAAGGTCAGATGATACCTGCCAGACAGACATATACACCTTACAATCATTCCATACACCAAATATAGTTGACATATTGCTTATAGTACTTGAAAAACAGACCAAAACACAAACACTTAACATTGACCAATGAACCATGAAAATGAGTCAAGGTCAGATGAAACCAGCCAGACTGACATGTACCCATTACAGTCATTCCATACACCACATATAGTTGACCTGCTGCTTATAGTATTTGAGAAACTGACCTAATTACGTAACTTTAACCTTGATCACTGATCCATGAAATGAGATCGAGATCAGGTGAACCCTGTCTGATGGATATGTAGACGTTGCAAGGTATGGTTATCCTATTACTCATAATAAGTGAGAAATTCACATGACAAAAAAACTCAAATTTTTTTTCAAGCAGTCGTTGAACCATGAAAATGAGGTCAAGGACATTGGACATATGACAGACGGAAACTTCAGTATCTGCATACAAGATATGAAGCATCAAGGTCTTCTACCTTCTGAAATATAAAGCTTTATACAAATAGTTTACGCCGCCGCTACTGTATAGTAATACCTATGTCTCGCATACTAAGACTTTCGTCGCAGGGGAGACAAAAATCAAACATCCACGTAGTTACAACTTTTCCGCAATCAACGAAAATAAATGAATCCACAATATTAGCATATTAATTGACATAATCACAAACTTTAACATGTAAACTGTGCAAAAGTTTCAAAGTCAGTGGACCTTGATATATGACTGACATGTTGACTGAGGGGGAATGGAAATGAGATATGACAATGCAAATATAAATGCATACCAAATATCATTAAGGTACCATATGCATTAATGAATCCTCTTAAACTGATACCAATATAAAATATAACAAAAGGCATATGGGTAATTCTTTTTAAGCCTTTCACACTGTTGTCTGAACTTACCATTGGTTCAAATAGAATTGGATGTGTGTCCATATCTTGGTTAGGGAATAGTTGATGGAAGGCATACGACTGATAATCACAGTACGGTACTCTAGATGTTACTAGATCTGATTTAATGTCTCGTATAGTCATTTGGGCATCAGCAAATTCTGAAATAAATATTTTCAGTTTATCAATAAATGTGAAATTGTTTTAAAATATCATTCTGCTCAACATTTCCAAAAATACTGTCTACAACCCAACTTTGTGACTTTGTAAAAGATTTGACCAAATTAAGCTTGATCTGCCATTATCACAGCTAGCTTTAAACACTTTGAAACAATGCATATAGAATTGAAGATATAGAACTTAACATATTGAATAGACACCCCTGTCAATTGTTAAAGTTAGTAAGTAGACCTATAGATGTCTTTTAGTTTTTTGTGTTTCATTGAAGTAAACCCAACATCTCATTTTATTATAATTTAAAAGTTAACAGGAAATAAAAAAAAATTGTAAGGGTTCCGCGGAACCCAGTGTCTCGCCTACTTTTGTTGTTAGTCGCAGGCTCAACAAAAATGGGGAAAAAATTATTAAAAATTTTCCTCTAGATACTATCTTTTGATTGTAAGAAGTTCTGTTCAAGTTTGGTAAAAATCCAAGAAGGTTTATGAATCTAATAAATGATTTAAAAACTTTTAACTGCAGACTGTACGTAATGTTAACTGGAATAAAACTAAGTCCATTTATAAGTAATATACGGAAAAACAGGAAATAAATTTTTACAAAATTTCCTTCTAGATATTAGTTTTTGATCATAAACAAGCTTCTGTCCAAGTGTGGTACAAATCCAGGATAGTTTAAGAAAGTTATTAAAATTTGAAAAACTTTAACCACAGAGTGAATGTTATGTTAACTGGCAGAAAAACTAAGTCCATATATGAGTAAAATACGGATAAACAGGATTTTTTTTTTTACAAAATTTTCTTCTGGATACTCTAGGATAGTTTAAGAAAGTTATTAAAATTTGAAAAACTTTAACCAGAGTGAATGTAATATAAACAAGCTTCTGTCTAAGTTTGGTACAAATCTAGGATAGTTTAAGAAAGTTATTAAAATTTGAAAAACTTTAACCAGAGTGAATGTAATGTTAACTGGCAGAAAAACTAAGTCCATTTATGAGTAAAATACGGATAAACAGGATATTTTTTTTTTACAAAATTGACTTCTGGATACTATCTTATGATCATAAACAAGCTTCTGTCCAAGTTTGGTTGAAATGCAGGATAGTTTAAGAAAATTATTAAAATTTGAAAAACTTTAACCACAGAGTGAATATTTGTGGACGCCGCCGCCGCCGACACCGACGGAATGTAGGATCGCTATGTCTCGCTTTTGCGACAAAAGTCGCAGGCTCGACAAAAATGGGCATGTTACGTACCATATCCAGTTAACAACTGTTCATGGTAAGAGTGGGACTGACATGAAAACATCAACAAAAATTACTACCTCCCACCTTTCGATTGACTCTTGGAATTTTTAGCTAGATTTTCATAATAGCAATGAAGTGGAATCAAAATCTTAAAGGATTTTAAGTATGCTTTATTTTATCACCTTGCACATTGACGACTTGACTTTATTTTTCTACAGCAGTTGGTCAAAATTTCTGAGTGTTGGATCAAACAAATCGCAATTGGGTCAGAATTTTAAATGAACTGCAACTCTTGTATTCAATTCAAAGCAATAAATATCATTGAATATACAGAACAGTTTGTTAAAATTTCATTAGGATTGGTGACTGCATACTCGGGTTGATCATAAATTATATGAAAAATTGCTAAGATTTTCATTATTTAATTCCTATAGACTCTTGAGCAACTAATATGAAAGTTATTGTAATGAAAGGCTTAAGTTTGTCTCTATCTCTATAAATAAATGAAAAAACCTTATAAGGATTTTTGAAAGCATAGACAAGTTTTTAAGAGACATTTATAAAAGTGCCTGGTTTATGCAATAATAAAATTCCTATAACTCTGGAATGACCTATCTCATACCTGCCAACCTCTGAAACCTTCAAAGAGGGAGATCTCCCCCTCAGCTATGACAGCTGAGGGGGTTATTTTGTGTGAAGGACATTTTCAAGTTAAATGTATGACCCATTTACGTATTAATCTACAAAACACCAATAAGAGTTAATAAATATACTTTATTTCTTCAATTTATGGTTATAATCTATACAAGGTGGGTTTTTTTAAGCCTTTTTCAATACCTCTGAGTCTCATTACTCATAACATTCCATATTTTGATTTTGTTGTGAGTCTCACACTAAGCATGCTTTCAAACATCGCTGATTGAACAAGATGTGCAAAAAGTTGATTGAACATGATGTGCAAAAAGATTCATTGCCAAGTGAACTTGGTCGTGAAAATTGAAAATCTTTTAATTCAAATCTGCTTGATATTTCGATTTGCAATTATTTATTTCTTCTTTTGTACACTGCCACTTGGTCCAGAAAAAGACCTCTGTCTTGTTGGAGTTGACATAGCAGAACTGAATTTCGATTACTTATATATCGAACACAAAAATTATTGACCAAAGTTTTCAAATGATAGCTGATTGTTTATTTATTTCTGTTGAAAGTAATGAAAAAGGCAGAGAATTACGAACGCGGGTTATTCAAGGTCAAACAAGTGAAACTGCGAGCTACTGCTCACTGATGATACCCGGCCCAAATACTTGACGGTAAACAGGAAGATGTTGAGTGAGAATCTGAAAAAGCATCACACTATATAGCTGACTTATATAAACCCTGCAACCAAATTTCAGAAATCCTTATGATGTAGTTCCTGAGAAAGATGGGACGAAAAATATTCATGGGACGGATGGACGGTCAGACAGAGGTAAAACAGTATACCCCCACTTTTTTAAAGTGGGGTTATAAATACAGTCGAACCTCGTTGTGTCGAACTCGGTTGTGTCGAAAACTCGGATGAGTCGAAGTAATTTCTCGGTCCCGGTAAAATTCCCATTTGATCAATGCATCATTACCTCTGATGAGTCAAACTCGGTTGATTCGAATACTCGGTTATGTCGAGTAAATTTTATAGTCCCGTCGATATAAAATTAATGTAAATTGACCCCGATGTCTCGAAGTTCGAAAGTAAGAATTTTCCAAAGATGCAGACCTAATGATAAAAACTCAAATCGGATGTATTTCTTATGTAACCTAATCATTTTCAAAAGAGATTAAAGCTGAGTAAACATACTTGTTTGTATAACAGTTAAATTGACATGTTTATGGTTGCCAGTAATTAACACCTTTGTTGATTGTACAAGCGGAACTTTAGAGTGTTGAACGTATTTCACATGAGATAAAAACGAAACGAATTTAAATGACACTAGCCGAGATTAAAACAATCGTTAGAATTAAAACTCATTAATTACAATAAATAAAGGATTAAGACAATTATCATAAATTCATGATAATTTAATGTACAGCAGACGCCCTCATCAGAGACCGTTCAGAACTTATTTCGTTCCGCGAATGATTTCATAATTTATAGTGACTGACCTTTATAAATATGTGTGTAGACTTGATTTTATTTGTGCATGATTTGTATCTGTTCTTGTGTGTTTGATTATTATGAAGGACCAACAATGGCGATTGCATACCATTTATAAAGTGTGTCATATCGAAAAAAAGGCACACTGTTCAAAATCAATGATCTAGTTTACGCAAATTTCATACCGTATTTCTTGCATTCCAAATTTTGACGACACACTCGACCTCGGATGAGTAGAACCTCGGATGAGTCGAATACTTTGGTCTGGTCCCTTCAACTTCGACACAACGAGGTTCGACTGTATCCCAAAGCGGGAGATTCTATACTCCTGCATGGAAGCAGACTGGCAAGCGGGATATTTTCGGAATTTCGTCGTTTGCACGGGAGACTCCCGCTCAAAACAGGAGGGTTGGCAGGTATGACCTATCTATAAATCATCAAAATCTTTAAGTTTGCTAGTAATATCATGAAACCTAACAATGTTTAAAAATTGGCAAGGATTTGTTACTGAATGCTTGAGGCATCATGATTTGATGGACGGACGAACAGACAGACAACAATATACAATAATATTTTTTGTTTTTTAACAGTTGTATAAAATTGTTATCTGACAATTACAAAGACACATATATAAATATGCCTATCTTAACTGCAAAAAAAAGGAATATTGCATAAAGCATTTTCCATTTACCCTCTCTACTGGTTTCCCTGATTTTATCTTCCATATTTACTAACTCCATCTGGAAGTTTTTCTCTGCTATTTTCCTCTTGCGCCTTGATACTAGTACTAGAGCTGAACCTAAAACAACAGCAACAACAAGGAGACCACCTAAAATTCCAATCACCATTGCCAATATTGGTAACGCTGTAATGTATTTTATATTTCCAAGTTTTTCATGAATACGTCCAACCTGTACCTGAAAGAGAGAGAAAAAAAAATATATTAATGAAGTTTTCCATATCATAATACTAAGTGTTTTCAGGTAAGTCTAAATGTTTACTCTTCAAAATAAAGGCAAAAATAAACAAAATTACTGTTACTCCTTAGAACCCTAATAAGTTTGTTTTTTGGGTTGTTTTTTTTATTATATAAATTTCTTTATCAACAATGAGAGACGTAAATATTTGTTCTGCACCTTTAACATTCTAAAATTAATAAAAATAAAAACTAGAACACACCTGCGACATAGCATGTCTGCAACTGAATTAAAGTAGCTACACCTTATTTTAGCCTGGATTTTTAGTATTCGTATTGTCAAATGATAAAGTCATGCTGATTACACAGTTTTCTCTGCTTTCAAAATCTTTCTGTTTGAACCCCTCCTGGTTTTCTTACTACAATCCGAAACTACATGTGACATATACTATTGGTATCGGATTTGACCCGCAACTTGTTAATTATTGGTAATATTAATTATGTAGAAAACAATAGGGCCTGGAATGGCGTAATTTTTAAATCAACACTATTGTCCAATATTTTATACATAAAGTTGAATTCTTTGATATGTCCTTTTTATATCATGCTGGCTAACAAATTGGACCTCATTATTTTAGTAGTATAGATGTATCCATTTGGATGAAACTTGTCTCCCATTAATTTTCGAACAGTTTTTTTAATTGCAGCATGCTGAGTTCTCCAAATCATCTTTATTATTAGGATCTGTCATTCGGACCAAAAAGACTACAAATTAGGTTAAAAAGTCAGAATTCAAATGATAAAAATGTCCACTTATAACATTTAATATGTAAAATAAGTGGAGAAAACATAATGATCATTAGACATTCAAATTTGTCATAATTGACTAATGCAACAGGGAAATAGGCATAGTTATTTTTAAGAGTAATAAATCATAATAATGAAAGACCTTTCTTCCTCAGCATCAAATTTTGTGGTTTAAGGTAATTAAGGCCATTTGCCAATACATGATCTTTCAATTAATGCTTTTTCCTGGACGTCACAAAGTAAATATCGTCACTTCATAATGTTCTATAACGCTTTTCCCCCAAAATGACCCCAGGTCAACTGTGTCATGTCATTTATAAAATCGAAATTGGAAACTAATCTACTGTGGAAAGCTGCCTTGATCACTTACATATCCATCACTGCAGTAATTGTGAGCTGAACTACAATATTACGATAGCCAGTTCAAACATTATCTGAAACTGGAAAGCTGCAAAAAGAATAGATTGGATATTCCTGCTGGATGCGAAGCAGATATTTGGCAAGGACCCCATCTAGGCTCGAAATGTATGATACCACAGATTTAAATTGGCATTGGAACTACCACTGCACTCAAAATTTGTTGGATCTGTCTTATTGTTGGTGGTTAAAAGAATGAGTTTTTTTTTTAACTCCTGAATGTTAATTTTGTTATTTTGGTGGAAGAAATATTCCAAAAGTTAGATGAACTAGGTCAAAATATTTCAAGTGAAGGGAAAAAATAGATCTAAAATAAAATCAGTCAACTCACTATAACAAACACTATATTTTCATCACTGTGATTTGTACGTGGTTTATTTTTTGGTGGAAGGCATGTTATGTTCCAGTCAGTCATTTCTTCTATATAACATTTCCCATCAAGTCCAATATTTACAATGTAATCCTCTCGTTTTGCTCCATCCAAAAAATTTCTTCCCTAAAAATTCAAAAACAAAATTATTCTATTTCAGCATTTCTTTGAAAAATCACTGAAGCCAATAAAAGCTAATTTTCTCACTGCATATGATTATATTGGTCAAGATTTTATCTAGTATGCAAAAGAAAAGAAGCAAGATGACTTAAATCATATTCAGAAAAGAGAAACAAAAAAAATCATAAATACGCATTGTAATACTAGTACACATTCTTTTTTCAACTTGAATAACATGACCTTTAAAAGTAAATCTGAGACTTTGTCACTCAACAGTTGCCGACACATTTATATGATATAGCAATTGAAAGTATGGGAATATATTTTAGAGGGACAAATGGAAGTTATAAGTTCTCAATAGTCTATGTTTATGATTGATTGATTGTTGTTGTTTAATGTCACCATCAGCACTCTTAGCTATATCATGGTGGGCAGCAAGGCTTCCAAAACGGTCATATATTCCGGACATTTGTATAATGTCCGGTAAAAGTCCGGCTGGGCAAAGCACAAAACGGTCATCTACTTTTTACTTTTCAAGGCTTTCTTAAGAGACGGTCATTTTAACATAATTCACGATCTTTTTGACCCAACCTTTTGCCTTTAACAGCCACACATTTCCGGTCATAAAAGTGACATGATCATACTACCAAAACAAGAGGCTCTCAAGAGCCTGAATCGCTCACCTGTTTTTTTTTTGCTTAAATCTTTCATCAATGATTATTTTTGCTTTTTACCCATATGTTCCATTTTAGCCATAGTGTATATGTATCTTGACGTACAAGGAAATGAAATACAAAATTTATACTAGATTCATTTGAGAAGATTTTTAAAGTTAAGAAACATAAAACAACTTGTGTAAAATTGTCCTTAAAGGGCAATAACTCCTTAAGGGGTCAATTGACAATTTTGGTCATATTAAACTTTTTTGTAGATCTTACTTTGCTGAACATTTTTGCTGTTTACAGTTTATCATTATCTTCAATAATATTCAAGATAATAACCAAAAAACTGCAAAATTTCCTTAAAACAACCAATTTAGTGGCAGCAACCCAACAATGGGTTGTTCGGTGTGTCTGACAATTCCAGGGCTGATAGATCTTGACCTTTTGAACATTTTTTACCCATGTCAGATTTGCTCTAAATGCTTTAGTTTCTGAGATATAAGCCAAAAACTGCATTTCACCCCTATGTTCTATTTTTAGCCATGGTGGCCATGTTTGTTGATGGATCAAAATTTCTGATACAATACATAAACTAGATTCCAAAAGGAACATTCATTCAAAGTTAAGAAGTAATAGGCACAATAGTTTCAGAAGAGAAGATTTTTAAATGTTAGCAAACTTGATGAACACATTGCGTAAAATTGTCTTTAAAGGGCAATAACTCCTTAAGGGGTCAATTGACAAATTTGGTCATTTAACTTTTCAGTAGATCTTACTTTGCTGAACATTATTGCTGTTTACAGTTTATATCTATCTATAATAATATTCAAGATAATAACAAAAATCTGCAAAACTTCCTCAAAACTACCAATTTAGTGGCAGCAACCCAACAATGGGTTGTTCGATTTGTCTGAAAATTTCAGGGCTGATAGATCTTGATCAATTGAACAAATTTACCCCATGTCAGATTTGCTCTTAAAGCTTTAGTTTTGGAGATATAAGCCAAAAATAGCATTTGACCCCTATGTTCTATTTTTAGCCATGGCGGCCATGTTTGTCGATGGATTAAAACTTCGGATAAAATTTATAAACTAGATATCCTAAGGAACATTTAGATGAAGTTTGAAGGTATTTGGCCCAGTAGTTTCAGAGGAGAAGATTTTTAAATGTTAGCAAACTTGATGAACAAATTGTGTAAAATTGTCTTTAAAGGGCAATAACTCCTTAAGGGGTCAATTGACAATTTTGGTCATATAAACTTTTTTGTAGATCTTACTTTGCTGAACATTATTGCTGTTTACAGTTTATATCTATCTATAATAATATTCAAGATAATAACAAAAATCTGCAAAATTTCCTTAAAACTACCAATTTAGTGACAGCAACCCAACAATGAGTTGTTTGATTCGTCTGAAAATTTCAGGGCTGATAGATCTTGAACCATTGAACAATTTTACCCCCATGTCAGATTTGCTCTAAAAGCTTTAGTTTTTGAGATATAAGCAAAAAACTGCATTTGACCCCTATGTTCTAGGGAATAGTTTACGACGACAGACGACGACGACAGACGACGACGGACGCCGAGTGATGGCATAAGCTCACATGGGGCCCTTTGGGCCCCGGTGAGCTAACAACCCGTACTTTAATACCTTCTCATTTTAATCAAGGCTAATTAGTTGTCGAACAGCTGAAATTTACCTGTTCAGGTGACAGGTAAACTATTTTGAACCGGACATTGATCAGTCTATTCAAAGATATTTTCTTACATTTCATCGGTATGCATCTAATTAATTTAGTCAAAAAGATTTAAATTATCAGAAATACATTTACAAATATGATTTGATGAAAAAATTAAAAAGGTGAAAATGAAAAATCGTCATAACCACGTTTTTGAACCAGAGACATGTCTCTGTTTGAACTCGTACACGTGTGCGCATGTGCGCAGGTGTGAAATTTAATTATGCATACTAATTTCTTCAAAAAATGCTCAATTTGTCATTGATACCTTTATCTCACATTTATTTCGAATATTTTCTTGAAGAAAAAACGTAGATTGAGCTACTTACACTCATTCATGCTTTGCAAACGTACACGGAATTTACGTATCCATCTCTGGTCCATGTTTTACCATTGTCAAGAAAACATCCGGTATTAGATTTAAAAACGAAAGTAAAGTTTTTGACAACGTTATTTTGCACAAATAAAGAGTCTAAGGCAGATATAAGTACGCTGATGTTGCACACTTCGAATGGTGCACTGCCAATTTAACAGTTTACGTCAGAACTTCGAATTTGAATCAAAGAAAGTTTAATATTGTTTTTTTTTTTAAATGTCAATCATTGGGATGGCCAACTCGGCAACTGATTACCATAATTGCCTTTTGTTTATTTAGTCTTAAGGGATTAAAATCAGGATAATATATAAAATGTCCGGCTGGCTAAAAATAATTTTGGAAGCCCTGGTGGACAGATTTTAAGGGGTGGAGGAAGCTGAAGTGCACAGAGAGAACAACTAACATTCAGCAGGAAAGGGGACATTCCTAGTCAATTAAGAATGGAGTCAAACGCACCTAACACATGCAGGTTTGAACTCACAACCTCAGTGTCGGCAGATAAGTTTGAAAAAATCAGTTCTGTAGTTTTAGGGGAAAATACAGACAGCTACTTATCAAGAATTTCTTCTAGTGTCTATTTTCATGAATATTAAAGTATGCATTGAAATGAGATCACTATGTCTGTTTTTCCTATACTGGTTAGGCCAAGTGTGATATTATAACAATGACTTTTTTTTTTACTTCACACATTTGCTTGTCTCAATGATATAATCATAAACATGTTAATTATGCATAAAAGAAAGAAAATAACTGTGTTCGAGTTACTGTATTAATTAAATATATCCAACATCTCTATTTATTCATAAACAGAATTTCTATAAATGGTAATGAAATAATTAGCCTTCAAATTCTTATATAAATGCATACCTCAATCACAATAGGTGCACCATTTTCACCTTCCTCATACTCCATTACATTTGACCATTTGGAAAATGTAGGATCATCAACATAGTAGAGTGTTGAAAGATGACTGTAATCATCAAAATGAATAAAAACATTTTGGCCAGTTGCTCTTTTCCTCCTGTTAAAATCAGACTTTACAAAAGGAGGAGTTTTACACACAACACTGTCAGTTTCTATAGAACAAGACTCATTCTGTAAAAGTATAATAATTAATTAGACATATTATTTAAGCATGTCATTATATGTGTTTAAAACCAGTGTTAAGGTAGATCAGGTGCGCCATCTTTGATTGTAAAATAGCAGAAAACAATCAATCTAGATCTTTAATGTAGTAATGTGCTTTTCTTTATTTTTATGTCTTTTTTTATCAATACACAATATTTTTTTTCTTTTTATTAGATTTTTTTTTTAAATTGCCATATAAGAGGAGATAACTCAGATAATGCACAGACAATTTTGCACAACTTGTAGCTTAAAAAAAGCCCTGTGACCTATACTTTTTATTATACTTTTGAAAAAAGCATGATACAATATAATAATCTATATTTAGGCAATTTATTGATCTGCCCCAAATAAGAAGTATTAATAGTAATTATAACATTACACAAATCCAAACTCAGTTCATGTTGTGATCTCATTTTATAAGGTTTAATAAATATACAAAATATTTCATCCTTTTTTTTTGTAAATTCTTATCTACTTCAACTTTTGTGCAATACACATCAATTGAAATTTACTAAGCATGTTACAAAATTGGAAATAATAAAAAACAAAAAAAATTTTAATTTTTTTTAACTAAGTCACGTTTGGTGTGTTCCAAGCTCTTTTCTGGATTAACAAGGCCTAAAACAGGAACGCTCAAATCAAAAAATTGGAAATCCAAGGACTGATAAATACGGGAGTTATATGACTAACAGACCTAATAGAATAGTCAAACCATGTATGGGTAACTCTGTCTGATGGAGTTAAACCTTAATAATTTCTAAAGTAATGAACTGAAAAAAGTAGCAAGTTATCTTCTTGCAAGCCTTGGGGGTGCCACTTCAATACTTAATTGATAGGAGGTGCCACTGGGGTTCTCTTACTTCACCCTTTTCATATAATTCAGATCTTAAAAATGTATACCTTTTCATATATTGTGTAGGTAAAAATGTACTTTTCCCATATTGGTTGCGTTTCGTGTAGTGTGTTGAAAAGTGGAATATTTGAGTCTAAGATTTAATGTTTACTTACAGCAAGACTTTCAGCTGTGAAAAAAATGACAGAGCTTTGAATATCACAAGTAATGGAAACTTTATTGACCTTATCATCTATTTCTGATAGTTTTACCCACCTATTCACATATTTTCAAGCTGGAAAATGTGACCTATTACAGCGGCATATCCTATCACCTTGTATATAGGAAGTGCCCCCCACCCCCCCAAGTTGCAAGCACTTAATTGGCATGTTTATTTAATCCCACCCACCAAATTAGCATATACCTACATCAATACATTCTACAATTTTTTTTGTCTAAGGCATAACATACAGTTTTTTTTTAAACATTTTTTTTTTTAAAGCATTACGATGAATTCTGAGATTTTATAACTAATCTTACTACGTTATCCATTCTAACTTCTCCAACGTCATCAAAGCCACTTCCTTTTATTGTAATCTTTGAGCCTCCACTAAATATATAAAAGAATGATTGTTTTATACATAAATAGTAATACTGATTCAAAAAGGAGTGTCAAAATGACAGTTGAGTTAACCAAGTTTTAATTGCATTTATTGCTATAGCCACCAAGAGACATAAATATATAACTTACTCTCATTTTGTCATCAAAAACAATGTACGAAAATTTGAGAAGGATTTGTTCAACAATTCTATAATTGCTGCACAATCAACAAAGGACCATAACTCCTGAACACCGGAAAAGAAAAATATCAATATTAAACTTGACCTCAATTTTGTCATTTTAAAGGGATTTGTTGAAGGTTTCTTTGAAGTTATATTGCACATATTTGACATAAGGCCCCATTTTTCAATCAATCAAGGATCATAACTCTTGAACTAGACCCTCAGCCATACTGCCTAAAATAAAAACAGATTTATCCATTAAAAACCTGTATACTATCCTTTTACAAAGTAACCTAAACTTTTTTGCATGACTTTGTTATTTAATCAAAAAATACTGCAAGTTTGATTTGTGTTAAATCTCATGTATATTTGATTGCCAATTTGAAAAGTTTACCCTAAACATAAGACATGGTCACACATGTCCTTGCATAAAATTTTTCATAAAAAACAAATGTTGAAAAATGAATAGGATGATGCTATCTGGAACACAGAAATGTTAGTTGCAATGTCATCCTGATTTTATATATAAACATATGGAGATCAACTTATTTTTCTTAAAAAAAAATATATCACCCACCTTAAAATCTTTGTATAAGATGTCTTAAGAAAAAAATATCTTTTTAGGTTAAAGGCCTTGATTCAAATTTAATATTAATGATAAGTTCAGTAATCTGAAGGGGGTGGGGGGAAATCAATGAGAAGCCTTGACAATTTTTAGGAATGGAAAGGGAGGTTATCCAATTTTTCAATACTTCAGATGGGATGGGGGGGGGGGGGGGGGGTCATCAGAATTCTTTGAAATATTTGAGCAATTCTGTATTTTCAAACTGCTGCCATGCAAAAATTTAGCTAATTTGATGAATTAACTAAATCAGAATCTGATTATTCAGCATGACATGAAGAATGACAATATCAGAAATTGGTGGTTTGATGTCTTCTTTATGGCAGGTTTTTTAAAAAGTTTTTCTAATTATACCCTTTTCCATAATAATAAAAAACACTGATAATACTAATATAGTTCTTTCCTAATTATATGATTAATGGTAAAACATCTGACTGAGCATAAAGAATGCATTAGATCATAACTGGGAGTCAAAGAGGGGCATTACTAACACATGAAAAATTTTCCTTTATAACCTGAAGATGTAAAAAAAAAGGCAGCCAACAATCAATGCATCCCCTATAATAAAAACAATGTAATTTTTTGGCACAAAAGACCATGATTAATTTTTTTCTACTCGCTCTGCTGGGTTCCATTGCTTAGATCCAAATTTTAAGTGTCAACATGTTCTTCCATGAAAGTATTTTTATATGATGATCATTTACTGGAAAATGTGCTTAAACTGATTGAAATTGTAAATGTCAATGAGACCATAACAGGTATATCCAAATAAATATTCCTGACACCACCAGCAACTTCCCTACTTGACAGTGGCAGACCTAGGGTCTAAAGGTCCTCAACCAGCCAACTATTGTACAAATAACAGGTACACAAATATTTTTTTGCTTTTTGTACATGTACAAATAAAGTCTCCTGTTACTCCAGTTCTATATTGAGCAAATAGTAATGTGAATATTTCTTTTCGTGTAACTGTTCATTTCTGGGTCCTCTTCGTGGTCTGCGATTAAACTACTGTGGATTCACTTATTTTTGTGGTTATCAATTTCGTGGATTTAGGAAGACTTGCACTTTTGTTGATATTTGATTTCGTGGTTTTGCAAATCTCTGCATATAAAGCCTATAGAAAATCTGTAATTCGTTGAACATTTAAATTTGTGGTTCCCCTTTTTCTTACAAAACCCATGAAAATTGATATCCAACGAATAATATTACGAATCCACAGTATGTCAATTTCTTTTAGAAATCAGAAACAGCTATTTGGATTAAACAACTAAACCTTAAAATGTCAGGTGTAAATTGCAGGATAAAAACAATATATGTACGTTGTCCGACATATATAAAATTTATTTGTACCCACTACAAAAGAGGAAAAAAGCTCTGCAAGCTCCGCTTTTTGTCCTATTTCAAATATAAATCTCATACAAATCAATTTTGAATTTTTTCGACAATGTTCATATATTATATATTTATTATCATTTCATACACCAAATAAAGTTGACCTGTTGCTTATAGTATCCTTGAAATGGACCCACAAAAACTGTTGATCAATAACAAGAAAATAAGGTCAAATCAGATGAACTCTTCTCAGACAGACATGTTTACTATACAATCAATCTATAGCCCAATATAGTTGATCTATTGCTAATAGCATCTGAAAAACAAACCTATTCATGAAAACTTTACATTGATCACTTGTCCATGAAAAAGAGGTCAAGGTCAGATGAAGCCTGTCTGACAGACATGTTTACCTTGATTCTATATGCCAAATATAGTTGTCCTGTTTCTCATAATGACCATACCATTTTTTAAGCAGTCACTGAACCATGAAAATGAGGTAAAGGGTAAGAAACAATTGCCAAGCAGATTCTTCAGATTATAAGGCATCTCTTATAAACAATAAGTGTTATCAAGGTGTTCTACTTTCTTAAATATTACACTTTATACAAAGAGCTATTGATAAACACCAGGTTAGTGTAAACAATATTTGTATTTAGAAACAAATAAATAAATACGTACATGGATTGGAAAACAAGTGAAAAGTCACTTATACAAATTCCTCTCCTTATCTGGAAAACACCAGATTAGCATCTCTATGTCTAGCATTCTGCCAAATTTGTCACAGGACAGACCAAAAAACTCATATCAACTTCACAAATGTATAACTGTTAAATAATCTTTTTGTGAAACTACCTGAAAATGTCTTCTTTTAAGAATATATATGTAACACTCAGAATCATGTCCTTCCCCCCAAACGTGTCCGATTCCCCCAAACGTGTCCACATGACATCACTGAACTGCAAAACATGTCTAAATGTAAAAGGGCGCCAAAGAGTGTCGTTTGTAGAAACGCCCAAACGTGTCCAATCCCCAAAACGTGTCCATATCAAGCTTAATTTTTTTCTTTTACTGGAACTATCATTCGTGTCCATATCATAAATACGTAGGTTATTTGGTTATTGCTTTTTCATTAACGTATACTCATTTTATTATTTCATTAAAAGATAGAAATAAATTACTTTCAAGGTCTTTTTTAAACCGGCAGTATAACCATGGTTAAAGTGGGGGCGTCCGTTCGGCTATGTTGGATGTAAATGTAAGCAGCCATTCTCAGTTAAATTGTAGATATTAAATCAAATACCTCATGTAGAGAGAATGTCCCATTGTCTGCGCATTAAAACCTTTGTAGCAATTCACTCTTTTATGGTGCCATCAGTTGTATTTTGGAAGGCAACATTTTTTTTAAATTTCCGCAACTTTTATTTAAAACGGCCTCTTTTACATAACAGAGATTGAAGTAGTTTCTTACTGATGTCATACAAAAATCGGTCTTTACTTGCTCTCAAATTTTTTTAGATTAAAATCCCAACTAGTGTTAATCCAGAATAACCGTAAAAATTTAGGCCCAATCCTAAACTCCCGGTATGATAAAAAACCTATCTACAGTATTTATTGTTAACATGATGTCGTTCAAATAATGCATGAAATATTTGTTACTGGTCGTAATGTCTCTTGTTCGTGTGTCTTTAGTGTTGCTCGAAACATAAAAATTATTAAAAAACCTGATAACCAGTTTATGATTTGAAGAGCTTTTAAAATATCAGAACTGTTGAAAAAAGGGAAGTCAATTCTGCTGAAAGCCGGCCATGCAATATTCGGATTAATATAAAAGGAATCATCAGAGTTTATTAGTACAAAATAATTTACATTGTAAACGACTAATTCAACTGTACTAGAATTATTTGTATGTTCGCTCTAAATGAGCATGAAATAATTGCAATTGGACAATAAGCAATTTCAGTCAAAAATTAATTCATATGTTACAGATTAAATTTACAATTATGCTAATCATTAATAACCGGCATTGTACAAACTAATGCTAATAAATGATCACTTCATCAACTGTGTCCCCCATCATAGAATTGCCGTAAATGTTATTGATGTCATTTGTACATGTATTAGCGCTAAAAGACGTGAGACGTTCTGGCGTTTAACAGTGGACACGTTTTGGCGAATAACAATTATCGGACACGTTTGGGGGTTATGAAATCGGACACGTTTGGGCAATATTGAATATTACGGACACGTTTGGGGAGAATGGACACGTTTGGGGGAATCGGACACATTTGGGGGGATGGACACGTTTGGGAGTGTTACATATATACAGTAGTCAAACTAAATTATACTTACCTTCTGAAGACCTTTCCACTTTCTGGTTCAATAGGCTTTATTGTTGGATTTGGAACAAACTCAAATTCTTTTTTTAAGAATAGTTCTGTGTTATCATCTATTGTAACATACAAATTTGTGAGTCTCAATCTATCATTAACAGATTTGCCCATTTTACACCTAATTTTAGTGGTATTCACTATCCTGTCTTCTATATACCTTAAAGTATAAAATTTAGTGAAATAGAAACTGTAAGTACAAAACGGAAAACTAATAACAAGGAATTATTTGAATATGGAATAATTTTGATTTCTTGAAAATTGACAAAAATTGTATGATGAAAACTAACACAACTAAATACTGTAAATTCAGAAATTATTGCGTGCATTTATTATTGCGATTTTGTCATTTTACACTTAAATGCGATTTAAATTTTTGCGATATTGAGAAAAATCCTGTTTAATTCATATAAAAAAATTCAAAATGCGAGTTTAAATTATTGCGATTATAACCCTGTCGCATTTTTCGCAATAATAAAAACATCGCAATAATTTCTGAATTTACAGTAGGGTTAGCCATGTGCTGGGGGTTATATATAGTTAGTTCATACTGAAATATCAGTGAAAGTAGAATTAACCTTAGCCATGCAGGCATGGCTTAGTAACCCTATTCGGTTGGGTTAGTTTTCATCATACCTTACTTATCTTATCAATTTTCCAGATTCAAATAATTCCTTGTTTAATGTACAATAGAAATACTTTACATGAATGTTTTATTATTTCATAAATGCATTCTGATCAACTAAATTTTATATATATATCATTGTAATTCTTGTGAAAACAAAATTGATATTCTTCAGGTTTTTCATTAAGGTTCATCATAACACATGGACAAAAATGGGTGTGTTTTGGCTACACTGAAGATTCTGTAGCAGATCCTTCAAATTTTTACAAATCAACATCTGCTTGGCACTGGCAGTTGAATATACATCAGGAAAATTATTTTAAAGGCAATCCCTTAATGCAAAAAGATTAGCAAAGAAAGAACCTAAGAAAGATGCTTATTTGAACATTGGGACAACCTGGTTATATTATTGTTCATTATAGGGATTTTTTTGAAGTTTTGGTATCCAGTACAAAGAAGGGAGATTGTTATCGTCCTTTGTGATGTTAACACCGAAGGAGAGAAATCATATTTGAGATTTTCTAAAATATCCTATTTCTTAAATGATTCAGGGCCAAATGTGGGACTCCTTGTCCAGCTGCAAATTCCAAGTTCTTCAGCAAGACATTCCAAACATTGGTTTTTGCATATAAAACAATAGAGTTTGAGGCTGTGTCTACTGGAACAACAATATATTTGTCATGAATAGAGGATACAGCATCCACAACCTCTGGCTTCTTGAACGGGTCAGATACCAGTGAGCTCATTGTACATAGCAGATTATAAATTAGCTTCAGTGAGTGAGTGAATGCATGAACGATCAGCTTGATACATTCAGATAAACAATTTTGATTCATCTGGTATGGGCTTAAACCTGTTCTCCATTTGAAAAGATATAGCAAACCTCCCCCAAAAAAATTGATAATCAGAACAAAAAATATAAAGTAGGAAGTTCATACTGCCATTAGATACAGAGGTCGAAATTTTATTGAAACCTTGTTGTTGTTATAAAAGAGGAAATATAGAGACAAGATGCCAATCTGTTTTGAAGATATATGGCAAAGTCAATGTTTTGCTATAGGAAATGCAGGGCTGCCAAGTCTCACGCATTCTCATGCTTATTTGACGGCATTTTCCTTTGATCTTTTGTTTTTTCTCTTTGATCTTTACAATTTTGGCCAAATTTCACGCATTTGCTTCATGAAAAGTTGGCAGAACTGGGAAATGGCAAAAAAAAAAAATAAAACAAAATATGATCGGCCCACAATACCATCAGGTACTAAGGGCTTATTGTAATTTGTAGGATATGAATTTTCTTAGATTTCATGGGGATAGGTAAACCACAAAATTTAAAAGAAGTGCAAATTTTCTGTAGGCTTGAATATAGACTTTAATTATCCAAACCATTGAAATCAAATAGCCATGAAAGTAATGTTTTACCTCAATCCACGAAAATTGGTGTCTACAAAAATAACTGAATCCACAGTATTAAAATATCTTTAATATGAAGGTTTGGCTGAAATCTAGACACTTAGTGTCAACCTTTTGCTGTCATTTGGAAATGTCCTAAAGTGAGTCATCTAATGAAAAAGAGTCAATTTGGCAATCATTCTGTTCCATTTCTTGACCTGAAGATACCAGACATACCCCCACTTGCATTTCACAGTACGTAAAAACAGGAAGTAGTAGTTTGACATATATATTACAAATTACCACCAAAGCATTGCAGTGTTAATAATGTAAAATTACTGAGAATCACACCTTTTCAAAAAACGAAGTCTAATCAATATCACATAAAAATTAATAAACAGCTGTGCCATGAGCGCATGATATGCCCGTCGCATTTTTTAAGAATTATGTTCAATATTATAACTTCTCAATGTCATATCAGAAATTTGTGAAAAACTAAAGGGAGGTTATCTTAATTGATATAAACCAGTCATTAAAGTTTAATGAAAACTGCTCCAAGCACTTTAAAGGTATTGTCTGAAATCTGGAAAATCACCCCTTTTTTATGAATAAAATCCCAAAACACGGAAGTGTAAAATCTAAAATTTATAAAAATTGAAAGGGTGCTTACATCAATAGATATAAACAATTCTCCAAAGTTTCATGAGAACTGCTGAAAGCATTTTTGAGTTATTGTCCGAAAACTGGAAAATCCCCCTTTTTTTTAATGAATAAAACTCCAGAACTCGGAAATGTAAAATCTAAAATTTATAAAAAATCAAAAGGGAGCTCATGTCAATAGATATAAACAATTGCCCAAAGTTTCTTGCAAATTGGTGAAAGCATTTTTAAGTTATTGTCCGAAAACTGGAAAATCCCTCTTTTTTTAAATGAATAAAACCCCATAACCAGGGCTCGACAATAACGCTTGTCCGATTGTCCTGTACCAGAGGAAACAAAGGTCGGACAAGTAAAAGCTATATCAAGCTTGTCCGACGGGACAAGTAAAATTATTCTGCAGAAAATAAATGTAATCCAACTTTGATGAACAGAGTAATTATAAACAAAAAACAAGAAAAGAACATAAAAACAAGTATTAATTTGACATGTTTACTTGCAATCGATAATTTAAAACTGGTTCTTTGTCAGGTACTTTTTAACAGGTTCTCGGAAACCAGTCTTACTGATCCAATATGCTGCGCTTTGTAGATAAGGTAACTTTACAAGACAGTTCATCACCAGCTCGGAAGCGATTCGGCTCCAAGTTTAATAGACAGTTTGGCACCGTAGGAGACATATTCAATAAACATAATTAATAGACAGTTTGGTAAGCAGGAGACATTTCAGGACCAAGACAAATCAGTACCTCGTTTTCCTACCTTATTCTGTTGCTTTATAACAAATACCATACCGGTAATTTTTTTAGAAAAAATATTTTTAAAATAAAAATGACCATAACATTCACAAAATCATATTTGATCATATGTTATGTATGTAGAAAAAAACAATACTTGCAATACGGTGACCTATAGTTGTTAATTTCTGTGTCATTTGATCTCTTGCAGAGAGTTGTCTCATTGGCAATCATACCTCATCTCCTTTTTTTATTGATTGCATTAAATAAACTTTTTTCAAATTAAAAAACCAGGATACAAATCCAATGAGTGTACATTGGCAATCCTATCAGACGGTGCCTCATGTGCAGAGTCTGATGAGACTTTGGCATTGATGAAAACTAGAACCTAAGTCCTGTGACATGACTAGATTCAGTTGTTCTCGACTCATATTTTTGTAAAGTATTGCAAAAGATATGTTAAAATCAAATTCTGTTCTATTGTTTTAATTCAATCAACTTAAAATGCAAAAAAGGTTATTATTAAGATTTTTTTTGGACAAGTTACAATTTCATTCGGACAAGTAAGTTTTGGTATGTACTTGTCCTACTGGACAAGTTGAAAAAAAAGTTATTGTAGAGGCCTGATAACTCAGAAACGTAAAATCTAAAATTTATAAAAAACGAAAGAGAGCTCACGTCAATAGATATGAACAATTCATAAAGTTTTATGCAAATTGGTTGAAGCGTTTTTGAGTTAATGTCCGACATGTTGACAGACGGACGGACGGACAGACGGACAACGGTATACCATAATATGTCCCGTAAACAGGCGTATAAAAAGTCATGCCTTGATGAAAAGGTCACAAAGTAATTTATATTGAATTCAAAATTTGAATGACCACAAAGGGATAAGATATAAGTCCATTTTGCAACTGGTCAGAGGACACAGTAATTGCCCTTTGATTTTCGTTGTCCCTAGTGTGGACAGTGTATAACTTGCAAATTTTGTTCATAAAATTTCCAAATTTATTCATTTATGTTTTATGCATGAAAAATTAAGTAGGGGAATGAAATTACATGTTTAAAATTTAGGTAAAGTAGTGATTTGGTCCAGTTGAAATAGGTCAAAAATTAGTATGTTTGAAGCTGTCAACCTGAATTATAAACCCCCTTAGCATAAAATTGTCCATATTTTGAGTTAGAGCTGATAGACTTTTCTATAATTTGTCTCAAGGGTAGTACACTACACTGTAAAAATCTTTTTGAGAAAGAGCAGGTGCAATATTTTTAATTTGAATGTATTGTCTAATAGAAATGCACTACAAAATAACTGTGTTCTCAGGCCAACTGGATCAATTCATTTAGTATATGCAGTAATAGTTCTTTTATTACTCTGCCCATATTGTAAACTTGGATTTGTATGATGGCTTGTTTTGAGGCAAAGACATTTCACTGATGTGGTAAAGGAGTAAGTTCGGTAAGGGTCATAATTGGCCCCGATTATTAAGTTTAATGTTTCAAGATAATAAATGTTTTAACGTGATAAAAAGACATGTGCAAAAGTTGAATAGAACTTTTATTGTCAAAGTTTTAGTTTTAAAGCATTGATTTTTACATCCCAAATAGGTCAAAAATAGAGATTTTTGAGAGATTTGACCAAATCATCCAGAATTTCAACCAAATTAAGGCCTAGGAAACAAAGAACGCAGGCGTCAACAAACTAAATATTCAAGTCAGATATGTAAAATGTGATAACAAACATTTAGTTTTA